GGAGTTGGGAGTGTCGCTTAACCGTCACCTATCCCGTTTTGATGGTGAGTGGTACATGGACTACCAAACAAAAATGATTAATGATTCAATGTTAATCAGCCAAAAGGGGGATATTCGTCTCTTCCTACTCCTGTCCCACATGTGGGGTTTCACGAGAACCCCCCGAATTTGGTCGTCCAACATTTGGGAGTTTATCAAAAAACGGTGGACCTCGTTTTTGGCTGGCACCAAGAAAAGCAACAGGAAAACCCCATGGAGGAGACCCCGACCATCTACACTTCCACCAACTAACATGGAACCTGACAGGGACCCGGTCCCTTTAAAAGGAAAATGGTCCAAACCAGGACCCGAACCGCGAACGATTCTATGTGAAAAGGGTGGGGGGTTATATGAACTAGGTGTTGAAGAGACCCCCAAAATGGGCTCAGGTGTTCCCTTTGGTTCCCCTTTAAAAAGAACCGAAAACAAGGCTAGGTCCTCTGATAAAGAGGTTAGAATAAGGGTACCCTTTTTTCTGCAGTCTATTTTAGTAGGGGAACCCTCCCAACCAAGAAAGGGGTGAGAAAGGGCACTACTGGGGGCCCTAGACGGGGTACCCTCAAAGCAAGGGGTATCAAAACGGGGTGTTGTTGAAGAGACCCTATAAAATGGGCTTAAAGGTTTCCTTTTGGTTTCCGCTAAAAATAAGAAGAAGAAAAAAAAAAGAGGAAATATAAACAGAAGGAGGTTCCCCCCCCAAAAAAAAACAACGAGGTCCCCCCCAAAAAAAACACGAAAACGCACCTGGCACCCTCAGCATCGTCCCCGGCATCTCTCCTGGCGCTTCTGGCTCAGCTCCGCCGCCTTCGCTTTGCCGCGGCCCAGGCGCCGCAAAGTCAGGTCCTGGCCCGCCGCTTTCGCCGCGAACTCCACGGCGGCCTGGCGGCGGCTGGGCAAAAAGTGGCCGAAGTGGTTTACCCGCTCAAAAAAAAAACAGTAGCAACCAACATAATCATATATATATATATTATATGTATCTGCCACTCAACATGAACAGAATCCATACAACTTAACAGAAGCAACCAATGTAAACATACATACATATATATATATATACATATGATTGTTTACCCGGTCATTAAAACAACACAGAAGCAACAACTATATATATATATATAGGATTGTTTACCCAGTCAATGAGCATGAACATAAGCAACACATATATATATATAAGAAAAACACCTAGCCGAAGATGGCAACAGTGAATATTTTCTGACCTGAGTTGACGGACCAGCAACAGTTCAAACTGTTGGCGCTTGGCATCTATAGCGACACACACACACACACAGAGACACAAACACACAGACACAAGCACACAGACACAAGCACACAGACACAAGCACACACACACAAACACCAACACAAACATAGACTCAGACTGAGACAGAGACGGACATTACAAAGGCCTCACAAGAAGCCCCCTAAACACGTGCTACGTGCCAGCAGCAATGAACAGATCGCATGGTTCCCGCGCCTGCAGCAACGAGGAGTAGTCGCCGTCAACGAGCTGATCGTAGAGACCAAGCTGTCGCAGAAAGCGGAACCCGCGGAAGAACTGCCCGTTACTCCAAATACCAACTTTTGCTATACGACCCTAGGTATTTGGAATAGGGGTGGGTACAAAGTCAAAAGCAACTCTTTCAGGGGTCCCATCATGTTCTCGAAAATGGCGGGCAAAGGGCAAACCCTGCACCAAGTAACCAAGTGACGTCCGGCACAGGGCCAGTTACACAGCGCCACGAACCCAAGAACTGGTTGACTTTGGGTTCTACCAATATGGGTGTCTGTTTTAAGAGACCACTATTGAGTTCCCCTACAAAAAGGACACACCCATACAGGTATTAAGGTTCAAACTGCAACAACGCGAGTTCTCGGCTCACGATCAACACCTAGTACTGACAGGGTCTACCCAAAAGCATGTAACACATCTAGATGAATGGGACTCTAACCTGCGGAAGGAAGGCTAGAGCTCTGCGCCATCAGCCCAAAGTTCTCCCAAGTTCATAGTGGTGTGTCGTTTTGTTTGGAGCTATTTTTTTTGGCGTTTTTTTTGTTTCTCCTTTAAAGGAAACCACGGTGTCATTTTTTGGGGGTACCCCTTGCTTTGCTGTTTTGTTTCTTTCTTTTTTGAGGGCAACCACCGACAACACCTCCATTTTGGTGTCTCAGCCGACAGGTTTCCCGGGCTTGCCACGGTGTCCACCGGGACATTCGCCTGCACGGCCTTCTGAGCCTTCATGGGCGTGCCACGGCAAATAAAGTCCACGCTCTTCTCCTGCAAAAACTTGCTGCCGCTCAGTAGCTCAGTTGAGTGACCCTGGAAAAACAGAGTTAACCCTTTTTGAGGAAGACCATTTTTAGAGAGCAGCCACCAAAAAAAAGGGGGAAACAGGGTGCCACTGAACAACTGAGGTAGGGAATGACCGAGGCCGGGTGTTGGGAATGAACCGGAAGGGGATTACCTTACAACCACAAGGGATGGTTTATGGGGATCATTCCCGCATGCTGAGAATCAGCAAGCAAAGGGCTACGAGCAGAAAACACACTAGTTATACCTACCCCAAAAAGGGGTACCCTTGGTCATCTCAAGTGAGATACACTCGGGGATTTATGTCCACCCTTGAAACTATTCCGAGCCCAAAATGCCGCCATCCTGCTGTCGCTGAAGGAAGGTGCTTGGGTTGAGCTGGGGGTTCGGGGCAAAATGGTGCGCCATTCTGGCTCACACGTCTTCTTTAGGGTACTCTTTTGTGTGAGGTGTTAATAAGAAACCAAAGGTATAACCAAAGGGGTGAGGGGGCGGGGGGGGGGGGGGGGGGGGGAGAGGGTGGGGGGGGTCCCCAAAACGAAACGCTCGTGTTTGAATGCTTTAGAGGATTCAGGGTAGCTGTTGGGGTTGCTCACCCCAGACCGTGGATTTGCATGGAAAAGCAAGGGCAGCGACTTGCCTTTTGACGCTTTTTGGTAGTTGATTGAATTGAAAGAAGGAGACAATCGCTGAACTGTTACTAGTTGGCACCCCTTTCATTCTGTTGTTTGTTTGGTTGGGATTTGCCGGATTCTTAGAACTGAATCGCTCCGAGCTGCGGCGCCGATGAGGCGCGGCAGGCGCTGGGTGCCGCCGGCCCCGGGCAAAATCCCCAGGTTCACCTCCGGCAGCCCCGCCTGGCCGTGGGGGAGGGGGGGGGGGCTGGGGTGGTGGGGGGGTGGGGGGGTGGGGGGTGAACAGGGGGGTGGGGGGGTGGGGTGGGGAGGGGGGCAGGCTGGGGTGGGGGGGGGGGGGTTCGAAGTGACCAAAAAATGGTTGTTTGTTTTGTTTGCTTTCTCCCGGAAACCCATGGTTGCTTGAGCTTCAAAGGGCACTAACAGGCAAAAACACACGACTTTGGGGGGCCAAATTGATCCTGGATTCCCATTACACCTCAAACAAGCTCCCTACCTTTCAAACAGCAAGGAGCCGCCCTCTTGAATGACCTCCCAGCAAGAAGATCTACCTCTTCTCCTCTTACCTTTCAGCAAGGCCCCCCCCGGTTAAACAACCCCGTGCTCGCTCCCACTATTACACCTCAGCAAGCTCCCATCCTCTTAGCTTTCAACAAGGCCCCCTCTAACAAGATGCCCTCCTAAAAGTGAAGTACCCCTCTTAAATTGGACATCCCCCATCGATCAACCATGCGTTACTTGGCTCAACTGACCTTCCCACTGACCTTCCCACCAGGTCCCATGAGGCCTTCTCGACTAACTTCCCACAAGGTACCCTGGCCTGACCTTCCCACAAGACCCTTGCACAAGGTAGCCTGACCTGAAAAGGTCCCCTTTTCATTTTTGGGGGGTCACACTCAAATCAATGGCAGAGCAGACTTTGTGACCTTGGGGGGGGGGGGGGGGGTTGCTATCCGGGGATGCAATAGATGGACACCCAAACCACCAAACATAATTAAAAACCAAAGGGGACGGCTTTAAGTGGGTTAGATGAAAACCCAACCATTTAATCAACAAAGAAACAGTTGTTTGGTTAGATGGAAGCCCAACCACTAAACCAACCAAAAAACAACAAAAATAAACCGAAGAGGAAGGCTTTTAGTGGGTTAGATGAAAACGAACCAAAAAACACTAAGAACCGTCGGCTAGAAATACAACACCCTAACAGACACACCCAAATAACATCCCTTTCTTACAACAGACAAATGACACAGCCATACTACTCGGTTGCTTTCTGCTCCCCTGCTAAAAGTTTAACTCTTAGTGGTTTGATGGAAGACCCATTCGTTGGCCAAACAAGTTAAAGTCCTAACATCCCTTGGCAAAATGCACCAAAGATTAGATTGCTCGTCTGATCTCCGTGCTTGGTTCTACCCGTCCCCGGACGCCGGCCTGCGCCCTGGAACTTGCGAGCCGCCAGTGGCAGCCGAGCGCCACCTCGTAGCCACCTTTTCGTCGCGCATTCCGCAGGCATACCCGGCCGGGAGGAGGGGGGGGTCGTTGAAAACACCTGGACCCTTAATCTCCTTTAAACATTGGATTTTGCCCCAAACAACATATATATATATATATAGATAAATTTCCCATTTCGGGTACCTAACAAGGTTCCGAGCCTCAAAAAGGGGCCTGTGTCAACATAGGGGGAACCCCCTGTGTTGATGTTTTTGTCTGTTGGTTTCCTCTTTCATCCACCCGAAGTCGCGGGGTACCGAGGCTTAAACAACGCACCCCCAAACCTACGTGTCATTTGGGCAAAATAGATGGCTTTCCTTGGCAAATGGATGGCACAAAAGCAGAAAGCCAATCTAGACCAGTGGAACCCATCCAACTTTTTCTAACCAAAACCTAAAACGACACCTATGCCCCACAGGATCATCTTTCCGGCGCCTCCCAGGGACACTCCATCGATGGCAGCCACCACCGGCTTCTCAGAGTTCTCGATGGCCGCGATGATGTCCGTCAGCTGGGGCCGACGGCGTCGAAAGCGAGTCGACGGATTTGGGTGGCCAAGTTGTTGCCAAATTCGGACCCTTTGGTCGCAAGTTCAAACAATACAAATGAATTGGGGACTCAGTACATTACCCCAATGAATGACGTAGCGTAGGGAGTATATTAAGCATATGCTTGATCAAATCACTAAACCCAAACATGTTGGACTACTTTGAACCCTGGTCTACTTCGAGCTTTCAAAAGGTTAGCCTCTCCGCCCACTATGGAACCTGACGCGGTCTCTCAAAGCTCTGGTGGCTTCTCCTTGTGCCTTGTTCGGGTTGCCTTTCGTCCTTGGGGATCCAAGAAAAATGAGGGGCTTGGTCATTCTCCTGGACGAAAAGTCCAGTCTGCCTTGGAGGATTCCCCCGAAAATGGGCGGTCTGTCCGGTGCTTCCCTCTGAAACCGCCCAAAAGAGGGTGCCCGAAACCGCCCAAAAGAGGGTGCCCGATTCAGGCTTTCGTGTTGCGGGGCGCGCGAGTTTGGAGGCCCTGCCATCACAGGCAACACAGACATTGGACACCCCAAAACACAGACACACGACGCACAAACACAGACAGGAAAACACATACGCAAAACAAACACATGCACAAATGCAAACACACGTATACACAAACACAGGCACACACGCAAGCAAAACACAAACACCGGCACAAAACACACACACACACACACAGAGACACAGAGACAAAGAGACAGAGAGACAGAGAGACAGAGAGACAGAGAGACAGAGACACAGAGAGACAGAGAGACAGAGAGACAGAGAGACAGAGAGACAGAGAGACAGAGAGACAGAGAGACAGAGAGACAGAGAGACAGAGAGACAGAGAGACAGAGAGACAGAGAGACAGAGAGACAGAGAGACAGAGAGACAGAGAGACAGAGAGACAGAGAGACAGAGAGACAGAGAGACAGAGAGACAGAGAGACAGAGAGACAGAGAGACAGAGAGACAGAGAGACAGAGAGACAGAGAGACAGAGAGACACAGAGACACAGAGACACAGAGACACAGACACACAGACACACAGACACACAGACACACAGACACACAGACACACAAACACACAAACACACAGACACACACAAGCAATACACAAACACCGGCACAAAAACAAACACACACACACACACACAGCCAAACCAACACTCAACGCCCATGAATCCAAACCGCCCAACTCAAGTCCGATAGAAGTCACGGTCAAGCTGCCGATGGCCCTTCCACGCCGGTGGCGAACTCACTGATGTCGGCGCCTCGCGGAAAAGCAAAGCACATCGAATCTAAACTCAACTGGGCGCACGGTGATCCTAGAGTATGGTTGTCTCGCCCTTTCTGCGATGCAAACATTGGGCATTCTCATGACTATTTCATCACCTTGACTTGGAACTAGCCCTGAAACCACATGTGCCATAACCATGTCAAGGGACATATGTTTTACATGCCCGAAGGTTTCTGTTGCCAGCGTAAAGTGGATAAAGGGATCAAATCAGGATTTACATTTGGGGCACATATTCCCCTCAAAAGAAAGCTGGACAACTACGGAGCAAAACGTTTTGTCATGGGGCACATCTTTGAACTTGCAATACCTGGAGTTTCCATTACCATGTGCAAATACTTTAGGGTCATGACGAGTGATACCCATGTCTTAACTAAGGGGTCATGGGGACCCCAACAAATCCGCCGACCCCCTGAAAGCACAAAAAGTAGATTCCCAGGACCGGTCCCGGGACCGGTCCCCTGGCACCTGGGATCCTGGTTGTAGTCAGCCAAAGCCGGTCGGTCGGACCGGTCCCAGTCCTGGGACCGGTCCTGGGACTGGTCCAAGGACCAGTCCCAGGTTTGGACCGGTCGACTGGTCCCGGGACCTGGTCCAAGCCGGTCCCAGATCGAGTCCTGGTCTGAGTGCTGGTATCGGATCCCACTTCAAACCGCTGCCCTCATGCCACCTCAAACTGCTCCAGACACCTGTTTCCTCCAATGTTGCTGTTTCCGGACTGGCACCCGTGTTTCAGGACCGGACAGGGTCCCAAGTCCCAGTCACTCCCTGCGACCGGTTGAGGGGCACCGACGGCCTTGTTTCTAGGACCAGCCCAACGTGACTTGGGCGCAAACCGGCCCGTGCAGTGATTGACGGACGAGCTGCCATCTGTCTGACTTTTCCGTTAATCCTTGTGGTAGTAGAGGATCCCTGGATCTATTCTGCAAGAGAGTCCAATACGTCGAGTCAAACCGCGCCAGACTGGGACCAGCCTGGACAGGGTCCCAAGTCCCGGTCCCTGCCGGCGACCGGTCCAGGGCAACTGTCCCCGGGGCAGTTTCGGGAGGGCCAGTTTCAGGGCGATCCCGGGAGAGGCGACTGCTCCCGGGCCAACTCGAAGTGACTTGGGCGCAAGCCGGCCCAAGCGGTAATTAACGGACTAGCTGCCATATTTCTGACTTTTCCGTTAATCCTTGTTTGTGGTCGTAGAGGATCTTATAAGTGGTCCCTGGGTTTGCGGACGTGTTTCAGGACCGGTCCTTCTGACTTTTCCCTTAATGCGCCGAGGGTCGGCGGCAGCAGGCGGGAGCCTGGTTAATCCGGCTACGCCTCCTTGGGGTAGCATGTCGCCGCTAGGCAATTAGCCTGCTAGCTTTAGCTATAGGGGCTGCACCCTGGTGCCGCCGACCCTCGCCACTTGGTCGTGATGCGCGGCCTAAATCCGGCACCTCTGCATCACCAGCTCGGGCTTGCGGTTTTGCTTGACTGTGGGAAACCCTCGCGAAACATCGCGTATATGCAGGGTTTAGGCCATGTGGCTGACATCGTCAGGGTCTGGGGTTGGGCCTGGGTGATGCTTCAGCGGGGCTTGGTCTGCATCATCAAGACTTCCTTCCAAAAAGCCTCTCCACCCAAAAAGCACTGTTTTTAAGTAGGTGTCGGAGGGGTATAAGCGAGGCTCATTTTTGCGCATTTTGGCGCCAAGCGCTGCCGGGCATGCCGGCGATGCTGGGTCCTCGCTCTACAAAACGCTGTAAATACCGCCAAAAACTGCTGTGCTGAGCGTTGGGCTGTTGTTCTGTCCGTTTTGTTTTTGCTGTGGCTGGCTCGCGTGCTGCGCGGTCCTTGCTTTTTACGCGTTGGTTTTCGTGGCCGCGCGCGCGCGACCCCAGCCACAAAACGCTGCTATTTACGGTGTTTTGTTGCATTTGCGTTTCCGGCCTGGCTTGCGAGCTGCTCTTTTTGGGCTGGACTTTTTGGGTCCTCTGGCGCGCGCGCGAGCGACCCCATGTCAGCCTTCTGGGTTGGGGCCCGGATGGAGCCCAGAAAGCCGGCATCCCCGGCATTATCTGGGGTTAAGGTGGGCAACATGCATAGCCTAGCCAGCCATATCATAGCACACACTACGTTTCTCATGCAAAAAACATGACATGACATGGTATAACTTCAAAGAGGCGTAGCCGGCTAGAGGCCGCAGGCCCAGAAAATATCAAAGGCCTGAAGAAATGGTGGTGCAATCACTCAAACAACCGCATCACGGACGCATATCTATGCCAATCGTATACCAATTGCAAATCCCCCCTACCCCACCCCCCCCCACCCAAAAAACTCAACCAGCCCGAAGCCTGAAACCAACCCTACTCACTCACGCACACAATGGATGTCTTTCCTGTTGAATTCCATAGAAACCAGCCCAAAAAGGGGAAAAACAAAAACAATCAGAACACCAGACAAACTCATATGCAGAGCTCAACATTCCAGGGGCTGCTTCCCCGTTCTCTTCACCCCCCATGCCGCCCATTTTTGTCAGTGCTTCTCTGCCCCCTCCGAAGCCTCCGCAGAAGACGCCTGGGCCGCCACTCAGCACGGCGGCCTTCACGGAGCTGTCCGCTGTCAGCTCCTGGCCATTTCTCTCAACAAAAACGGATTTTCCGACCCCCCCCCCGACCCCCCCAAAAACAGGTAAAAAACCGAACAGGGGACCCCCCCCCAAAAAAAAGAAGAGCAGAACAGGGGACCCTGAGAGTGCGCCAAAATGGCGCGTTTTGAGGCCAGTTTTTTCATGGGTCAGCCATGCCAGTTGCACTTGATCTAACGCGAACAAAGGAAACATCTTAAAAAAAAGGAGAAAACAACGCAGGGGCTACCCCACATCGGCCGATCTATGCAGTGTTCGGCCTGCACTGTTGAAAGTTGGGGCTGTCAATAGAAGGAAACAAAAAACAGAACAAACAAAAAACAAAAAGCATATCCTCCTCACTCGGGGACCATCTTGTTGACATGAGAGAACAATAACGACGCTGCGCTCAAGCCACATCAAAACACCGGGGCTTTCTTCTTGGTTTCCCTAAGCTGATGGTGTAGCCTCAATGGTACTTTCCCGTGACCAGTTGCCAGGAGTACTCACCATAGCAGGGTTGAGCCAATTAAGCCATGGTTTAAGCCATAGCTTAAGCCATGGCTTTTGAAGCGGGAGAGGCGCGTTGTTGAATCAAAGCTTGCCCGAAACTGCCCGCAGGAATCGAGGAGTGCAGCACGGGAGGCTGACATTTGCAGAATCCGCCCCATAAAGAATAACTTTGGCAAAAAAAATAATATCTGAGAAGGGTTTGGTTGAATAGCTGATGGCAGCCCCGCCCCCCGCCGAGTAAGAAAAATCAACACATTTGTTGGGCTTGCTAAAAAAAAAAGGGAAACCCCACCAAACACATGATCACGCCCATTTTCCCAGGTATTCCTTACCCGTGTGCATTAGCTTTCTCATTATTTGGGAGCGCATCACTGTTTCGTGGCCGAATCTAAGCACAGCAAATCACACTTTCACATTTTCGTCTCAGATGTCGTCAAACTTCAAACATCGACCCCAACATGTTGCTTGTCCTTATTTTAGCATCCCCCCGAAAAAGCAACATTTTGTGTGTCCTTGTTTTAGACTTCCCAAAACGGTGGGTTTCCGTTCATGTTCCTCCCAACCCAACAAAGGCCTCGCTTAGGCCATGGGGCGACGCGTCGCTCGCGATCGAAGCGTCGATCCAAACCGTGCCTGGAGCTGCTTCTCTAGGCCCACCCGGACCCCCGCCGACAGCGCGTTCACGGGCCTCACGTTGGTGGATGACCGGCTGCTTGGCTTCCCTGAGACCTTTCTTTTTTTCCTCGAAATGGGAAAAATGGAAACCCCAAAGGGAAAAACACATTGTTTGTTGACCTATTTCGCTGGGTTTCAGAATTGGCCCACTTTTGAGTGCGTAAGCCGCTCCTTTCAAAACAATGCCCTCCAAGAAACAACACCACAAATCCCACATGGGGACGTCTCTACAAACAACTACGAAATCAACACCCAGGATACCAAGTAGGGTTGGTTCCCCAAAAGGAAATTAACATGAAGGCAGGCCCTTTGGGTGGTTGTAGCCGCACACAAAACGGGAAATGCAAGGATGCCTGGAAGGTCAAGGAACTGCCAGCCCAAGATGTGAGGCAAATCCAGCTATCGTGAGGTACTTTGTGATCAACAATTGCCGACAGTCTTCCGCTGGTGACTGAGTATGTGAGGGCTCATGGGGTCAACAGGATTCACTCTTGTCCACTCATCATGCTAAGTTGGCGGCTATTGCTGTCCGAAAAGCTAGCTTTCTGGTGAGTGCGGAAACGAAGCATTGTCCCAGCAAGTAAAAGGTTCGTTGGGTCCAGCCACGTGACAGGCCATTGTCAAGGGTCAGACTTCCTCGGCGTTTCCTCGCAGGCCCGCAAGCATGAGCACAAACATTTCCCCTACCCGGTTCTTCAGGTTCCCACCGCTGGCCCGAATGCACCCCCTATCTTTCTAAACCACCCATTGGCTGACTCCCCTGCAAACCAACCCGCGACTCCAAACACGGATCCTCCAAAAAGAGGCTTCTCCGAAAAGCATGGGGGCTTCTTGGATACCTAGAACTTCCTGCGGCGGAAATTTCTGCCGCAACGCATTGCGGCGGAAATTCCCGCCGCATTCCAGAAAATCAGCCGCAAACCAAAAAAAACGCCGCAAGCAAAACAAAAACGCCGCAACACCGTTTGCTTCCCGGAATTTCCGCCGCATTCCCGCCGATTTCCGCCGCATTCCCGCCGATTTCCGCCGCAAATCGGGGGGTGGAAAAAACTGAAAACAAGTTCTGCCGCAATTCTTAAAAAAAGCCGCAAGTCAGGAAGAAATGCCGCAAATCCAAAAAGGCACCTTTTTTGATTTGCGGCAGAAATTTCTGCCGCAACGAATCTCTAGGTATACATTCATCTGTAGGGCCTAAAATTTGAGAAATTCCTGCCGGTCCCCGCGAGCTTTTCGCGCGCTGCCGCTGAGGCGCTTGTTGTCCATGGTGAGCACCGCCACGCAGCTGCCATCTGAGGCGGTCCTCTTCTCGCACAGCACCTGGCCTTTCATCGAGCTCCTGGACGTGCGCGGGAGGCGACCCGGCCTGGGACCCGGCGGCCCACTTAAAGGGCAGCAGGTACGTCAAGTGGGTAATGGCCCTGGCTATAACCTGATGCCATGATAAGTCTCCAATCCGTGGGTTGTAACACCGTAGCCATTGCAAGTTTCCAATCCCAGGCTCACGAACCACTTACAAAGCACCCTGCCCCTTTGAGCAGTGACCCTGCTAGACACAGGGAACCCTCAAAACTGCTCATTTCATTGAGCCCGTGTTTGTCTGTCCAGGCAACAGCAAACCAGATGACCGCAGAACCCGAGACAACAAGGCAAACCCAGCAAACCGGGCACACCAAAACTACTTGGCAAGCCAGGCAAAGCAGGGCGTGTTGGTTCGTCCAAACCGGGCAGCCATATGAGGCCACGGTGTTTCAAAGTTGACTAGTGCCAAGCAAGGCGCGAACACTGGGCATGCAAGACCGATATGCGATCACCACGATCCGCTTACGCAGTCGGCAATGACAAACACACATGCACATGATCTGTTGCAGGCACCGTGTGCCGCTGCCAAAGCAACTGTTTGAAACGAGCTCAGTTGGGAACCTCCAAGAAGCTTGGTGTTTGATTTCGCGAGCCTACCTCCCTGAGTCGTGTCAAAGCTGGAGGCTCCACAAGAATCAACAAGCAAGTGATTGGCAAATGCTGATTTGGCGCCAACATCAGCCAGGAATTCACCCTGCCCCTCCTCAGTGAGACAAGCCGGTGCTCGCCAGTGAATGCGGATCTTCTATGGAACAGCTTGTGCCACAAGCTTTCAGTGTCAAAGTTCAGCTTCCAAAGTCTGATGTTGGTCACAGCTGCTTTGCTTTTCTCTAACTACAGTAATTCGTTTGGTCCAGTGAATTCATAGCCTGTCGACTCTGGAAGTGGAAGATGGCAATTGGTTTGTGTGTGGAGCACATATTTTCGCAGCAAGCTGAATCCGAGAGACGACGCGGACGCCAATTTTCGCAGGCCAGGCAGCATGACCAGTTCCATTTACGTGTTTTGGTAACCAAAGGAACCGCCTCTAAAGCCCACCAAGAGTGCTCACGTGGGTCTGGGAATTGGATGGCTCTGTAATGGACTCAAAGAATGGGGTGGCAAGCGTCATAAATGGGGATGTCTTAAAATATGGGAGCTCGCAAAATGGTTGGTTTCCTCTTGGCGTCCCGTTAAAGCCAACCAACAAGGGGGTACCCTCAAGGATGCTGGTCTCAGCAAGGTTTGGTTGGAAAAAATGGGCGTGAATCTTCTTGGGGGGTCCTTTGGTTGACATAATTCTGGTGGGGATTCATGCCCACCCATCATTTTCGAGGAGGTTTCATATTTAAGTTCACTGCCAAATGTGTGTTACTCATGGCCTCCTGGGGGTCCTGGCCAAAAACACACAAACACGAAACGAGGTGTGCAGAGCGAGACGAGTTCAGGCCCTTGTTCCTCACTTCCCGAGTGGATTGGACAAAAAGACACAGAGGGTTGTTGTCTTTGCTACTAAAATGGTGTCAAAGCTCGGCTCGGAACTCAGCAAGTGAGCTGAATCGGAAGAGGAGCACTTAGCTGGTGGCGACCTGGTGTCACCTTGAGCCATGGTCAAACTGCCAGTTGGAGGTTGTATCAAATGAGGATGCGTTTGCGAGCCATCAAGGGAGCTGGTGTCGAGACCTTTGCTTTACACAACCCTCACCTGGCTAATCGGGCATGTGGACAACACTTGCACGGGTTTCTTAATCGGGCATGTGGACAACACTTGCGCGGGTGTCTATTGACTGGCCCTTCATTTGACGATTTCAAAGTCACTACTTACTTAGTAAGTAGAAGGCTTGAGACCAAAAAGCCCAGCGTCTGCCTTTGATAACTGTACAAATTTGGTGAACATACTGTGGATGGACGAAATCCTGCACCACGCTAAAACCATGGGAAACCATGGTGGGATATGGTGGGTTTATCAGGCGATGTAGGATTTCGTCCATCCACAGTAGGAGATGGCCAAGGCCTCATGACGCCATGGCTCGCGATGTCATCTTCCAAGGGCTCAATGTTCATGGGGGCTGGGGGGGGAGGGAGGGGGGGGGGCAGGGAGCCCCAATAAGCCCTAGATAAGGCCTTATTAGGGGCTTAATCAGGGCTTATCTGGGCTCCCCCTCCCCTCCGGCAATCATGCTGCATGCAAATCATGCGATAGCAGTTCAGACAGTCCTTGCGCACACTTCAAATTATCAGCAAGTCTATGAATCATGTCCATCTGACCCTGAAACCACGCCCATATAGGCCTTGGGAATGAGCGCATCTCCATGTCTCCTTCGGGTAGGTTCATCCCGTTTCTTGTTCGTCCTCCCGCTCACTTGCAGTGGATGAATTACATACAAACATGATGCAAACCAAGAAGGGCCCAAGTACAAACTGTTAGAGCAACGGGATCAATGAGTGTTGAGACCGCTCAAATGGTGCAACTCCACCAGAGACGGTCGCTTAACATCGCCCCAAAATCCCACCAAACGGAGCGAGCCGAGTTGAGGCCATCACCTCAGCTGCGCCTCTGCGAGCGCTTCTCGCCTCAGAGAACGTCAGCTTCTGACCTTCCAGGAAGGTGCCTTTTCCTCCGACAGAACCAAATATACTGTTGACCCAATATACTGTTGACCCCATATAAATAAACCAGTTTTAAAAAAAGGTCTTCCAATTCGCCTTTTTCTCCGGAACAAAGAACAAACATAATGTTGACCCCATATTTGTTTCAACCAGTTCATTGATATGGGGGTGGTTTTTGGCCTCTCCAAAAGTTGTCTGATTCCCCACTAAAACCGGAAACACCCGCATATTCATAAACTGGGGTGGGGTCAACAGTATTCGCAGTGGCGATAGATTCCCTAGAAAAACCAGGAGGGTAGCAAAAAATATTCAGCAAATGGAACAAACCCAAGTAGAAAACCCAATGGACCGCATGAGTTGGTTGTTGGCTGCTTGTCTCCCAATAGAAATCGGTGGTGTCCGTTAGGCCGAGGCCTTTCAACACATCAAACAAAGTGGGGCCTCGAAAAAGAGACACTCCCAGCTCTTTGTTGGCACCCGAAACCACCCAAAGATTGCTCTTCTTTTCTTTCGGCACCCGAAACTCCATGGTCTATGCGCGAGCCTGACGCACTTGGAAAGTGGCATCCAACCCGTCTCCTAGATTTGCCCCATAGCCAAAGCAGTGAGCCACTCAGTCCACGGCTCCGCATCGAGGGCACGTTGCGCTCGCAACTGCTCCTGCTGCGCGTCTTGCGCCTGGGCGAGATCCAGGCGCGGAACGTGAAGATGGGAAAACACTCAATTTGGTTGGGGGTCCCAAGAAAAGACACACCTATATGGCTGTGGGTCAAAAATAGGTACCCAAAATGGAACCCTGGTAAATGGAAAAATGGACTAAATACATATGGCCATGGGTCAAAATCAAAATTGTACCCCCAGTGAACATCCCAATCCCCACTAAAAAACACTAAAATGAGTGGTGCACCTACCCCAAAATGGTACCATTGGTTTGGACCCACAGCCATATCTGGCTATTGCAATTGATTCACCAACCGAATATACGGCATCCCCTCTGAAAGAAACAGTCATGAGCCAGGCGTGACATCGCAAACCCTAGTGACTTCGTTATAATGTGCCCATATATACTCCTGTTTTATTAAGAGAGTATATAGATGTTGGGTACCCCAAAAGCAAGTTGTTCTCCAACCATTCCAGAGAGTGCGAAAGGAGTTGCATGGGAACTCTAACAAACTGCAAACAGTCCTTCTAAGCTCCCGCCTTCCCATCCCAGCAACATTTCGAGGCGACTTTGCAACACATAAGCCTACGAAACAATACCCAGGAAAGTACCTTCAGGGCTTGCAGGCTTGCACTACTCTGACCCCCAAATGGTCTGGGACAAATTAATCCCAAGGAACTAGCATCACCACCCCCTTAAGGGGGGGGGGACCTGAAAATGTAAAAAAACAAAAACAAAAAACAATTGACCCCCTCCCCCCAAAATCAAGAGGATTAAGGGAGTGATACTGGCAGGGTTTTCCAAGCAAGACCGGAGCAACGAGAAAGTGCCTCGTCTCTGAGCCTCGTCTCTACCTTCACGCGCCCATGCCCTCGCCTGCTTTCGGAGCTGAGCCTGCCGGGATCAAGGCTTGGGTTCTCGTAACATCGGCCCAACTTGGCCGCGGGTGGCATTCGTCCATTTGCCTAAGCCCCCAGGAAAAAATATTCTAAAAAACATGTCCAGTAGTAATAGATTCCCTTTAAAACCATCAGTTTTTTTTTTGTTTTTTTTTTTAAGAAAATAATAATAGTCTTAACCAAATGGTTGCATTGCAAACCTTCTAAAACACAATGCCAGGGTTTATGGGGTCGTGTTTTTCGACGGGGCTCTATCAAAAACTGGAAGCCATTTGTTAGAACCCATTGAACGGCTGACTCATTGGACGGCCCCATACAAATTACTACTTGGGTGGCACTGGTGGTTCATCTGGTGTCCTTAACTAGGTGCCGTGCCGTTGGACGGTGTTTCAACAGAAAGTTCGATTGGAGACAAACTACTTGGAGGTTCCCCCGTCGAAACACCCGTGAAGGCAAACCGCCACGACCACCTGAAGGACAAAACGAGATAAAACTCCCAAGCCAAGCCTCTGAGCATCCGTGATATTGGGATTCTACACGTGTTCCCATATGTGTGTGTGTGTGTGTGTTTTCTTTTTCTTAACAAACACATCAAGCAATGGTGTCCTATTGGTTTTGGCCTGCTGAATCTTCCAGCGTGTGTAACCAAGCTGTAAATTGCCATCAATGGACTGTCTATCAAAGTCAGGATGGTGCGCGATGCCACTCCTTTTTGAAGACGACTGCCCGACCGTTGATTTGGTTGCAGAATAAATCGCCCTCTTCAACGAAATACATCCGACATGTCTGAACTATGACACAGACTCAGCCAGGCAGGTAATATCAGCAAATATGAGCAAGACATGGCCTGTGAGTCCCCGCTGCGTTCTGGGATCTGTTTTGAGGTTGATGGGAATGGCCATGACTCGTTTGCTAGAAAAGCCATTGGTGTAGTTGCCATACAACCCTGATCAAACACCCGCTCAGACCGAAACCCCTCAAACGGTGGCTTCCGTTGGCTTCCCTTCAACCACCCCCGGTACCCTAAACACACACACACAAGCAGCATGCCCTCCTTAGTTCTGCACGTCCCTTTTGTCAATGGACGCTTTGTGCCTGTTCGCACCAAACGGCTCTTGGTCCGTTGACTCGCAACGTCTTAGATCGATCCACGACTTGGCTGTGGCTCAAAAATGAAATCCTGCCAATGGGTGTGACTTTTCTTGAGGGTACCTTTTTATTGTGGTTTTAAAGAAACAACTGCCATGTTTTTTGGGGGTCCCTTCAAAAACACAAACACACAAAGACCCAAACGGCATGGAACATGGAAAGACTAACACCTGCGCAACCCCAGCTCTAAAAGCATTTGAGCCACACCCAGTTGCAAAGATGTGGCGTGCAATCTTTGCCTTCGACCTACTGGTACGTGGGGAGTTCATGAGGCGAAAAGAAATCAACCGTGCCAACGGGGAATGCTCCAGGCATGGCGCTTGCAAAACGAATTATTGAATTTGTGGTGCCCAATTTAGGAAGCATCAATTCAATTGAAGTATGTTTGTGAATGCGCGGTTCCAAATTTTAGGAAGCATCAATTCAGTTGAAGTCCGAATATCTTTGTACTCGAGGCTCGCTTGATCAAATGACGGTGCGTGAGTGCATCTGCAAGGATCTCCCTCACGAGTCCTTCCTGGAGCGTCGTTCGGGGTACTCCAGACAACATTCGGCCCGGTGAAACCCCCAAAAGGCAAAACGAGGGTTTGTTTGTCTAGAGGTTTTTGGGAAGGGGGGGGGAAAGGGGCTGTGGGGAATCCTTTGGTGGACGCTGTTTACACGATTATCTGCCAAACATGTTTGAGGATGTTACCGATCAAATGTTATGCCGTTGCGGTATGTGTTGCAATTCTCCCCAGTCTTCTCTGCAAAATGACATTCTTGCTGGCAATGCCAGATGCTCACTTTGCATCCTTGTGAGATGGTAGCAGTTTTCAGCCAGAACGTAAGAACAGCGCAAGAAAAGCAATGGCATCTATATGTGCCACTCTCGTGTCTCACAAGCACCAATCTAAACTACTATGACTCACACACCGAAGAGAAGGGGATCCATAGCAAGGGACCTTCATGGGTAAGCTCGTGTTACCCCCCGGGTGAGCTCGTAAGACAAAAAAACAGACCAATCTGAACCACCTGCAACTGTCAATGTCACCACACTGCTGTAGCCACTGCTCACCGACACCAGGATGCCCCTCACTCTTATCGGAAGAGCGACATGGCTCAAAAAGTTGCTTAAAGGGGCAGGGTACTTAGTAAGTGGGTGCTAACCATGGTTTTCAGTTATCACCCACAAAATCCATGGTTGTAAGTCTTCTAAGTGGGTTATAACCAGGCTTACCAATCGCTAAGTTCCCTGTCCCTTTAAGTGGAGGTCCTGAACAAAACCAGCAGTCATTGAACTCCATGAAAGACATCAAACCGCCCTCATGCTTGTCCAAGTCGCATGTGTGGTAGGTTCATCCCGCAGGAACAAAACCAAAGCCAGTGTCCCTTTATACCACCCCCCATATTCTTCTAGGGTCTTTTATAATGGCTTCCATTCTTCCTGCCCCGACCTGAATGCCCTGAGCGCAGCTTCGTTCAGGGAATCCACCGCTGTTGTTTGTTTTCGAGGTTCATCCCCTTGAGAAACAATGCACATGGGCACAACCAAAATATACAGGGATCCTTACATTATACACCTGAACATTGCCTTGTAAATGGTGGTTTCCCCTTATTTTGGGGGCAAAAAACATGTTTCAAATGGGCAAAATGACCAGCGATTCTAAGGGTTGTGCTACACTACACGCAGTGACCCTAACGCACAGCTCAAAAGAGTGGGTCGGTAAAATTCACCGAGTAATATGAGCGGCTGTTAGTTATACAACTCGTCTGATCATGACTTTGGTTTTAACAGGGGTCACTGGCAAACCCCATCAGAAGTTGATCAGTTTACTGGTGGGCTCCACTCAAAGGATTGCCACTTTTGGAGGTCCACAAACGGGAAATGGAGGAAGAGGAAGAGACTCGGACTCAGTGAACTCGCATTTCAAAGTTATGAGGGGACTCTCTCTTTCTTTTTTATTTTATTTTTTGTTCTCTCTCTCTCTCTCTCTTTTACCAATACCCATACTGTGGATGGGCGAAATCCGCTTCGCACCACCTAAGAACCCCTGGCTTCTGATGATTCCCCTGAAAATACCAACCAAAGGTGTCCCATGTCAACATGGTGCAGGACATCGTTCATCCACTGTAGGCCCGGCAAATCCTGCCCACGTCACGGCAGGTGCGTGCTCCAACTTGCATTAACTTTTCTGGTCCGGGACACCCCCTTCTTCAAGGGCTGGAGCAATCCTGGGTGCCCAAAGGCCACTTGGGAGAAAGGGTTCCGCCAAAGTCCAGTCGCTCTCAAAGTGTTGAATAGCAGACTAAAGAACAAAACGGTGCCTGTTCAATGCGGCAAGCAGGCTACTATAACAGGGGTTCACCGAACCTCAGTCCCGAGTGGGCTTTCCGTTTTGCTTCGAGAACTGGGGCCGCCCATGTCCAGACGAAAAGCCGACAACTATTATTATCAGCTCACATGGCCGACTGCGGTAAACAGAATAACAGATTTCAGGTTCTGCTTCATACTGCATCCTACCCTTCAATACAAAATAGATTTGGACATCCCAGTCAACAAGACACATGGAGTTGCCTGGTCCAAACAATGGGATGCCCTTGTTGGATGGCTCAAGGAAGATAAACAGGATTGTCAGTTGATCACATTGGGGGGGGGTATCTTTTTGAGGCTGGTGGTTCTAAGCGGAACTCAAAGGAAACCAACTTGTTTTGGGGGGCGTCTACTAAAAAAGAATAAACAAGACAGACCCACATGCTCCTACTGGACGATGGTGTTCGTCTTTTCAAAGTCGAACTTCTTGAAGAACAGCGAGATCCGCTCTTCGCCTACGAAGACACACACACACACACACACACATGTGCGCGCGTTTTCCAAACACTTCACTAGCGCCATGTTCTTTGAACCGAGGGCTAATTGCTTAAAGCCAGTGTGTACCGCCCAGGGGTTGAATACAACCACGATATCCACTATGTAAGGAGTGTACACCTCGCTTTCCGCTCGGGATACAGGTTTGGGGGGTAGTGGAAACCATTACCATACCCAAGGAAATGGGCTACATACTCAAGGAACTGTTGGTTGGTCTGCAACGGATTTGCCCAGGCTCTTCAACAAAGGAAAACGTGATGAACAAAACCGGCAGGAAAGCGGACGCAAGAGAAGCGCGCCAAAACTGAGGACCTGGAGTACATGCTGGACAGGCCTCGTGGATTCCCGAATAATTCATGTCACAAATCGGGCAGTTCACAATGTGGAAATGGTGTTGCAGGTGTACAGCTTGTGCATTGTTCATGCACTTGTCGTCGTCAAGACCAGGCCTGAGGTTTGACAGGTAGAGCATCCTGGCCTAAAATTAACCATCAGTTGGGTGGGAATGTATGCCCACCAACAACTTAGGAAGGTAGTTCGCATCAAAAAAGGAAGCTAATTCCCCTTTGCAAGAATGGAAGGCCTCAATTCAGGGCCGCATCGCTTCGCATGGAGCCCCACATCCAACCAGCAGGAGTCACTGGCGGGCCTATTGGAGAAGTCAGCTTTTCAAGTGGTGGGCTTAAGACATGGCTGGTCTTTGGTGTAATGGCTGTTCCATCAAGCCTACAGCCACACGTTGCCTCTTGCAACCCAGAAGAGGAAGGGGCTCCTTTTCATTAAGGGTACCCGCTTTTTGTGGTTTTGAGAGAAATCAACAGTCAACCCCCCCATTGTCCAAATCCTACAGAAAGACACGCCCAAATTCTGAGTCTTCCCCACCAAACTGACTGGCCCTTGCCTGGATTTTGGGCGCCAAGCTGACCCAATGAAGGACCTTTGCTTTGTCCCCGCGCCTTTGATGTTGCCCTTGGCATCAACCTGCAGGCCCTTGAGCTCCTGGCATCTCTCTGAAGGACCCCATATGCAAATAGGAAGAAGGACAAACACGATAGATAGACAAACAAACATCACATGCATATATGTACATGTGTTGATGTATAAATATATAAACAATACAAGCACAAATGCATAAATACGCATATTAATATGTGAGCCACAGAAATAACATGCTGTTGCCAAATACACGGGGAAAATCAGGAAGTCAATGAGTCCCCAGACGTCCCTCCCAGGTGGACCATCCACTGAATATTGTGACCGTGTCACAAATGTGTGTATGGATCCATCGTCAAGAAATGAGTGCTGTAAACAGAAAGCACATCGGCAGGACTATGATAACCAAACTTCAACAACTGGAGACCAGCGCGTGACACTTTCTTAGACAATCAGCCTGAATAGACTCGGCTCTTTCCATTGGAAATTCATGTTTTGCAAACCATGCTGAACGATATGCCAAAACCCATGAGCAAACATCGATCAAGGAGCACAGCGACAAAGAGATGGACCTTCGCCAAAATCCGAGGGTGTCAACATCAATACTTGTTCGAGCGTGGTTCGCAAAACGGTGGCATACCAAGTCCTTTTAAAGGATATGTTGTTTTGTCCAGCATTACACACAGAAATACACAGGGACGTGTTCGCGTCTTGAAGCAGAAACCTGGATTTGGGCAAGTGGCGTCATGCTTCGGCTGAACTGATGCATGTGGAGCAAATCAAGGTAGGACTAAAGGGACCAAAGCGAAGAACTGCTGGCATGAAGAACATTTAACAACAATCTGGTTGACACCCTTCAATAAACAACCTCGTGGTATTGGCTTCAACTCAATCAGTGCCAATCTGTGCGTAAAGCAACCGTGATCCACCATATCGCCCGGACTCCGCTCCGGCCTAGAATGCCAACGATTCAACGCGCTGCTTGAGAGTTGCACCCCTCACCAGTGCAGGAAATGTTACACCAACCCATGGAAAGAGGTCTGCCCAAAACTAAATTACCCTTCCTCTGAGCAAAGGTCGATCACCTTTTTCAGGTTTCATGGAATGGCCATTTCGGGGCGATCCGGTCACACCAAAGACCAGCCATGAAACGAAGGGACGGAGGTGGTTGGGGGGGGCCAAAACATTGAGCAGAAAGTGTTTCAACCTGCTTTGCCATTGTAAGGCAGCACAACAAAACCTTCCACTTGCTTAAACTTAAATCCCCTGACACAAAGAACATAGATTCCCTTTAGCCAACAGGATGAACAAATAGCAGTCTAAAGCAGATGTATGCAACTTGTGCGTGTCCTGGTTGGCAAATTACCCAGCCAAGTGGAAACAAGGCATGCAGTTTGCCCAAGAGCTCATCAGCGAGCTAGTCTTGCTACCCCATGGCAACATGTTTGTAGTTGTGTTGTTCTTTTCTGGGCTGATTAAATTCGAGGAGGATTCACGTATCCCCAAAAGTAAAGGACATGTATTGTGCTTCCCCCATTCAGCGCATTAAACACTCAAACACGCGAATCATGTGCCCATGTAACTTGCACAGCTGGAACCCAGACAAACGTCTGCAAGCTTGCTAAACACTCCATGGACTGCTGTCAAACAGTGTCTAGTCTTCCCCATTTCCTTTCAATACACGAACCACCTGTTAGGAGCTGTTTTGAAGGGACATCACTGGGGAAACAACCATCTGGCAAATTGAAACAGAGACCCAAAAGCAATCACCGGCGGAAGCTCTTTTTGGCAGCCGCTCTTCTTGGGGGTTCCATTTGTGCTTGCAGGGAAGTACCCGTCTTGTGCTGGTTTGAAATAGGGGGTCTGAAAAAAAAGAAGAAGAAACGTGCCCCTTGTGGGTTCCTGTTCGAAAAAAGAACCACGGGCCCGCACAGCACCCAACAGGCTCGGAAGCGTAGATTTCCCTTGGCTGCTTGGTTGATTCGACTTGGGCAAACAAAATCTTGGTTGATATAAATAAAACCCCTTCCAAAACTAAACCAACAAACAAAAGCTTTTTGGTTGATTTAGGTGAAGCCCCTTAGACCACCAAACACGGGACTCCGAGTGGACCAAACAAAAGTTGCCCTCCGCTCCGCACAGCGCGAAGCGCGAAGCGCGAATCGCTTGCCTCCTTAAAGCGGACCTTGATGCGGCCGTCTTGGCCAAAGCTGCCCTCCAAGATGCCTGCGGGACCAAAGGTCCACTTGAAGCGATGGCGTACTTAGCAAGTGGATAGAAAGCCTAGATATACATATATATATATACACATATATATATATATATACATATATATATATACATATATATGCATATATAACCCACGGAAGAGAGACTCATAACCATGGTAAGTGGGTTGTAACCATGGCTATAACCCTCTTCACCCTGGTTGTAAGTCTTCTAAGTGGGTCATAACCAGGCTTAACAATCACTCACTAAGTACCCGATCGCCCCTTCAAGTACTCTTTCTTCCAGACTTCCTATGGCTGTCAGGGGCCGAATACTTCATAGAGGCCGAATCCCAAATCCCAGTAGGTGCGAGAAAAACAAAAACTCATAATTATTCGGGACCATTTCTAGGGGTGCCCTCTTTGCGGGGCGCCTGACAACCAGAGGAAGACTTGAACCTGCAACAATTTCATGACTTTATTCTCTCGCGTGCAACTGGTCGGTACTAGCATAATGTCAGTTTCACTTGTTGCCAGTTGAAAGATAACACGATGGAAAACCAAAAAGGCAGAAGGTTAAACCGGTAAGTCAAGTCTGGCAAAGTTTCATGCTATATGTAAACATGAACAATGCGGTTAAATCAGGGTATAACAAGGGCCATAGGGGCCAGTCGCATTGATAAATCTGTAGAGGCACACCTGTAAGCCACCAACCCAAGCCACCAACCCAAGCCACCAACCCAAGCCACCAACCCAAGCCACCAATCAGTGGGGACGCTGAACCCTGGTTTTGTCCACTTAGGCCGTCGAGGCCTGGAATTACGACATCGACCGGGTGCTTGTTGGCGCCGGTCAAAGACTTTGTAGCGAGACGAGCCATGGTTTTTGTTTTTTTTCCCTTTCGGCTGGCCGAAATGGGAATGCTGCAAAGAGGTGTTGGGGTTAGAAATCTTGTTGAGGGTCGCCAATACGGTGGCGCCTTTTTGGGACATCTCAGGGAAGGGCTCGTCCAAGGGCGATGGCTCTGTGGGTTGCGCATCTAGTTGGGTTGGTTGGCCAAGGCGATGCCTGGCTTGGGAGTCAAACAAGTCCGTGAACAAGCTTTTCCTTCCGTGGGTTGATAAACATTTCTTCTGAAGCATCCAGTTCAAAATAGCTAGGCAGCTAGATTCCATGAGATTCAATTGCAGACTTTCCACAACAATCCACACATATTCAAGAACATCATGCGCTCATAGCAAATCAAGTCACTTTGCTCCTCTTCTTTGCTCTTGCAAACATATGCTCACTGAGCATACTCTAACTGCATCTCACAAAATTTAAGTGCCAAGTGGTAACAGGTTGCATTCTGAATGCTCCGCACCATAAGCATTGACCAGCGCCTTCCGTAACATTGAAGTCTCGATATAAGTAATTAGCTGGCCACAAGCCTTCAAGCTACCCCTCGGTACATAATCCCTAATTCATGTTCATTCCAAATCAGACAAAGCTCCCCAAAAAGACGGGAATTTGGGGAATGTCTCCTGTAGTTGGGGGGTCCATTTTTTTTTAAGACACACTCATTTGAACAGAACAGGGGGAGAGGGCGGTTAACCCCCGAGAAGCACACAGAGTATCACACCCCGACAAGGAATGAATCCTCGACAAGTCCGCGGGCTGAATCCCCGAGAACCTTCCAGGGCGAGTTTAAACCCTCATCGAACAGGGGTCAAAAAGACAGGAACTTTGGTCGTCACAAATTTTTTGGGGTCCATTATTAAACGCACACCCATTTGAACCGAACGGGGGTCGCTCACATCTCCAGCAACAGAGCTCCGATGTTTCTCCGGGAGTGCCTCGCCTTCCAAGCCGGAGGACTCGTGGGTGATCTGCGTATCGGCCGAGCGGGCGCGAAAAGGCGCGAAAAGTGACGGAAGAAACCGCAGGGAGGCAAGGGGAAACATTACTTAGGGTGTGTTAGGCTCAGGGTAGGCTTTATTTTTCCTTTTGGGGTGGGTTTGAAGGGTTGAAAAGGAAACCACCAATTTGGAAGGACCTATTGCGAGACATACCCAAATTAGAGCTAGGACAAGACATTCTGCTGGGCTCAAATGAAGCTCCCTTTGGGAGACCAGTCACAAGGCACTGGAGGGGACCTCACGGCGACGCTTGGTAGGGAAACTTGGGCGCTTGGGCTAGCCACCAGCTTCAATAAAAGGCGGTCGGAATGAATCGTGAGTGACATGTGACATGTGACGTTCTCCCTTAAGTGTCTGGGAATAGGCAACACAAGCTTCGTCATGTGACTGGCGAGCCGATTCCAAAGCCCTGGAATCCACTGGACCCACTCGAAGTCCCCCGTTCGATGGGTTTTCCCCTTAAAACATATGGCCCCCCAGCGCCTTCTCAAGGCTCTGGGAGGAATTCGGCAACCCCCATGGGTCTCGGTGGGTTCGAGTCTCGGTCCGGCTTCTCGCCTTGAGACCCACGAAGCTTTGGAGGTCGGAGTCCTGAGAGCTTCCCACTGGAATGGGAGCAAGCGTTGCAAGGATTCATGGCACTTATGGCACCACCTGTAGAGAATCCTTTTAATTTTAACCCAAGAGTTCCTTGGGATTCATGGCACTTATGGCAAAACCACCTGAGGATCCTGTAAATCACCCCAAGGATTCCTTGGGATTCATGGGACTTATGGCAGAATCACCTGTAGAGGATCTGTTTAAATCACCCCAAGGGTCCCTTGGAGAACTCCAAGCTTGCTTTTCAAGGATGCAAACACCGAACACCAAGGGGATCCTCGAACAAAATCCCGGTGACTGTTTAAGTCCAATGTATTCTTTAAGGGACCCTTGCTTGACCCCGTTGCTTCAAGGATGCAACAGGCTTTCTGCACGAGGGTCTGATTGAATTGCAATGACTCACAGTGCTGAAGTAAAGGACCTCTAAGAAAGAATACTTCACCCAGGTGCTTGAGGTCATGTTACTCCCCCCAAGTGCTGCTACTGGGGTCTTTGATCTGCAACTTGGCTCATGAAAAAACAATCCATCTCAACACTGGCTAAGGCGCACTAGTTCACCAAACGGAAACAAGGGATAGATACCCATCCGCGCGAACAATTGCACAAACATGGTATTGGTCGGTGGACACTTTTCCGTTCTCCATCCAAGACACCTGACATTTCAACATCGTCCAAAAGCCGGCTTTGGCATTGAAGCAACCCTGTTTCAAGGATCTTGGTGTTTTTTTGTTGCATCCTTGAAGCAACTGCTGGAACACCCCGGGACTTCCACCCCCCCCCCCCCGAAATCTGCCACATACCGCCATGTTCGAGGGGTTGTGGCAAGAAAAACACCGAAAGCTTCACCCCCCCGAAACCCAAGGCGACTTAAATCAAAGGCACATGTGGGCTTGGTTGACGTTGGAAGGGGAGCAACAAAAATGACTTTTAGCAGTTGAGTGGTTGGATTTCAACCACTCAACCACAACGAGCAAAAATGGAAAAATGTTTCCCAACAACAACCATGTAAGACCCATCCACCCACCAAACCCATCCAACCACCAACCCACATCCAACAGCAGCTACAGGCAGCCTCAGGAGCCGACTGCCTTGAACATGTCTTTGCAAATGATGAGAGTGGGCTCCTGCACCAGAGCCGAGAAAACGGCCTCAATAAGGGAGGGTAGCCAGCCATTCCTGGCTTCTAGTGGGTGGTTCCCTTGGATACCTGCTATTTATACACGAATCGAATCGCCGGCAAAAACAACACCTGTTGCTGCTAGGATCACGATTTCTTTGTTTTTTTTTAAGTCCCATGACAAGATGCCAATTAGGGAGGTTCTCGTGTAGAGTATTGAGCCCCACGAGACGGCCTTTGAATGCTGCTTGCTCACCACCGAGAAAAACTGGGTGGTTCGTATTTCACGAATCCAACTCCCAAACGCTTCGCAGCAAGTCTGAGGGTATGGCTGAGGACTGCGAAGCCCATTCCTCACATTAGCATACCGGGGCTCCCATAGTCCCATTGGTTCAAAAGGCCGTCTTGAACCTTTCCCACAGAGGATTCTCAACTTACCCCCAAAAGGCACTTGGGCCGTTGTAATCAATTATGTAAGCCCACAATCAAAGCTTCCACGCTTCTTCCGGATGCTTAGACGCCAGACGACTACTCCGTTGCGTGTTCTTGAGCATGATGATGGATAGAACAGCTTGCCAGGGCTCCTTGGAATGACACGATGCATGCTGGCAACGGCAGCGTAAGAGCTTTCCCGCAATGATCCACATCATTGGCAGTATCCATCTTTGCAAAAAAGCCAAATGGTTTGCAAACGGGACCAGCAAACAGAGCACATAAGAGAAGGAATACATCTGGGAGCATAGCTATAATATATATATATATATCAAACTAGAACAACTAATCCCCAAGTAAGCAGTCGTCATCAACCTGCAACTGGCTCGCGAGATGCTTGAGTCCTGCTTGTCCACTCTATCCATCACTCCGACCTTCTGCTTCATCTTCACTAAGCGTATCTGCTTCAAGTCCTGCCGAACGAAAATGCCGCGGACCTATTTGGGTGTGGGTCAAAATTAAATCACCAGGGGACCGCAGGTGACCCACACCCATTTTTGCCTCCCACCATTGGCATCATTGGAACACCCGTTCAAAACACAAACATGCAGACAAGCAGGGTATCCACATTGCTTTGCCTTTGCATTGCAGCTGTAAAATTACATCCCTGTGAGCACACCGTCTGATTGAATATACTTGGCGTTGGCGTTGGGGCGTCGTCAAGCATGACCCATGTGAGGCCAACGTGGCTGCCCATCTCCAAAGCAGCTGTGCAACAACTCGAAGCAGGATACCCTTGGCATCACGGCCAGTGTCACTCCTCTTTGGATATGTCAAATTTGGACTTGGACCCCCAAACTCGTGGGTTTCCCCTCGGCTTCCCGTCACCCCCGATCGATTACTCCGTGAGCCACACCCTTTCTTGCACATGCCATTGGGACAACACTCCGTGAGCCCGCGACGAAAGGCGCGAACAGCCTTCAGCATGCTTCCGCTCCTTGGGGTTGGCGGGGCTCAAGACGCGCCCGAAGAAGGCCATGCGGCAGTTGGGACCTGCCCGAGGTTACTTCGACGGTGGAATCCGCCGGATGCCTTGTGACTCCTCCGGCTTTGGTGGGGCAAACAAATACACCACCCTGTACAAGCCGAAGTTGACAAGTGGCTGGTGACATTGGGGGAACTGGGATTATGGATCAATCTGGGCTTGGCATAACTCGAAAAAGTCAGCTGGTCGCTTCGAGTTGCGACTGAATTGGCCCCCACAGGTTTGCAGTCTACCTGGGGAAGTGAAGAGTTAGAGTGAGTGTGACTGCTTTAAACGGGAAACCACAGTGAAACCAAAGGAAAAACCAAAGGAACCCGGAACTCCATTCTCATTTTGGGCGTATTCAACCATGAGACAAATCCATGTTCCGGGCTCGAGGCATTAACTTTTAGCCGTCCAACACCAGCATGTGCGCACGGCCTCTGGCTTGGCAATGGCGACAAAGGGAAAACCACCAAAAGCCACCACTGGGGGGTCCTGATTTTGAGACGCATACGGTATGAGCAAACAAAACACTGGAGAGGCGGTACTGTAGCTGCCACATGCCCATATGTTCAAAGCTCAAGGGGAAGCATTTAGGAACTGATATGAGCGAATTTCAGAGGCATATTCTCAAAACTCACCAAACCGACCAGTTTGCAGGGAATCGCTCTGCGGCGCCGTGAGCTCATTTCACCCCTTTGAGCTTGCAAAGCCCAAAGTTACGGGACGCCTCAGCAACCTGAATTCAGGTGTCCCAAAGAAAATGACCTTCATCAAGATCGCGAACCCCGAGGAGGTTGGTCTCGGTCCCTCCTTTTACATCTGAACCCGGCAAACCAGGTGCCGAGCTGTGAATATCAAAGTCCAGCTTGCTGCCGATGACCAAACTCCTCAGCAGCCGGTAGTTGGCCCAGAAATTGCGGCAAAGTACGTTCCCTAGATTTCCACTGTTTAACATCAAGATTTGGTGACGAAACAGGTTCTACAAAACGAGGGCCCCTGCAACTGGGTTTGCTTCCTTCACACCCGCAAGGGTCTCACCCCCCTCGCAGGCCCCCGACCGCCTTTGGTTGTCAACCCCCCCCGGGGAGAATAATTGCCCCTGCAGCCCACTCAAACAAGCAGACGGCGAGGAACCGGTCAAAGCCACAGCCAGAGCTCAGAGGCTTTGAAGGCCGGGTGGGGGGCTCCAAGGTGCACTGCGGTAGATGGCGGAAATGTCCGCTAGATGTGGGATTACTACAACCAGAATGGGTTGGAATTGGGCCATCTACTTTCACCCTGGTGCATGTGGGCGTGTCTTGAAGCTGCAAGCGCCGAAGATCGCTTCACAAGGCGGTCACGATGGTGAGTGCTCGAAAACATCAGTCGGATGGCAAATGCCCTGCCCGGTTATCAGGGTCCGAATGCAGGGATCTGTTGCAACCTGACCAATGAAGGCCTTGCACAAGGAAGCACTCATCCCCGTGGGTATACGATATCCCTTGTGCCCACAAAGGGGCCCCAAGGTGGTACCCCTCCCCATACAAACACTTGTTGGCAACATAGGGAGGGACCGGTCATTTCTGGAGGGGCTGCCTTTTGGACCCCGTTTGGATCGAGTCAGCCCGCTGAGCCGCCCTGCCCCATGGGACACAGCACGGGCTTCTCGAGCAGCAGAAGGGCGTAAAACAACGGCTCCTAGGAAAAAAGCGGGCAACCCTACAGGCTGAACGACGTCCACAAAACTCCGCCGTTTATTTTGGCAGAAATCTGGGAAGCCAGCCTTCAAAGCGACGAGTTTTTGTAACGGAGACAACCTTTGACAACCTGCACGTGCGCGAAGGATGCTTGTAGGATTCAGGAAATAATGACGGCATTGTGGGCAGGGCGATCCAAACAATGGTGTCCCGTTTGGTATCCGTTTGGAACCGAGGGTGACAGTCAACATTGCTTGTGCCCCCCTTTGGTGCGTCCCATGACTTTTGTGCCATAGTTAAGTAATGAGCTCCCCCATGTCCCTCCCAAATGAACCGGAAACTGGTGATTTGAAGACCGAATCTCAGAGGTTACCCGTGTGCCCTCCGAAGGGAGGAAAAGGAGTCTGCTCGCCAAGGCACATGGCCTGGTGGTTCTTCCATAGGCAACTACCTTATCAAATGGGTATTGACTTTCAACTGGGGACCCTTTGATGGACACTTACAACTCATAGCCGGATCGCCAAAGCAGCCAAGGAACACTAAAAGAATCCGAATCCAAACCACCAATCTTAGCCACCAACCTGACGGGTGACCCTGCAAACGATTCTACGCCCTTTCACCCTCTACAAGAACCAGAGGTTCAAATCCAAACCACCAATCCAAACCACCAACTTGACGGGTTACCTGAACAAGATACGCCCTTCGACCCCATGCACCTGCGCACATCCACCATATCCAAAAGCGCCATTGTTGCGGGCTTTGAATCCATCACAAATTGATCTTCCTGCAAATAATGAGACCCTTTTGCTCCAATTGCTCCAACTGCTCCTTCCTCCTTTTGCTCCAACTTGAGACCCCCAGTTTCAGTCTCAGGTCTCCTCGGCGTCCTTCAAGCCGGGCACGCCGCTCTTCTGCGCCAACCAGCTGAGAAGGTACATGATGCGGTCCCGGTCCTTTTGACGGGAGGGCTTTGGGATGTGGCCATGGGCTTTTCAAAATCCAAATCGGTTAGCCCCCAGTGAACGGGACCGATTCAATCCAACCAATAAAATAGGTTCTAAAATGGGTGGTGCACCGAAAACCCCCAAAATGGTACCAGTGGTTTTGACCCACAGCCATGTTGCACGTTAGAGCCAAACACCGTTGTTTGTTGGGTTTACTCACTTCCGAACAAGAGGCTTGGCCCCAAACACCCCCCAAAAAAAAGTTTACCGCTAAAAGGATCTTCCCCAAAAAGTTCAAAGGGCAGGAACTCGTGAGTGTAAGACAAAGGCAACAACTGCGTCAGTCAGCTTTCAATGCCAACTAGAATGTCGCTGACGCTTTGGTTGGTTGCTTTGCTGCGAACGTGTAGGTGACCGCGGCTCGACGTTCGAGGAATAGCTTTCCAGCGCTTTCACTTGCAAGCCGGTGGTCCATGAACATGATCTTCATGGGTCGGTCTCAAACCAGGGAACCCGGGAACCCCCTCTTTCCACGGCTTTAATCCAACGGCAAAGGAAAACCATGAAGAAGACTTGGTTGACGTTGGAAGGGCAGCAAAAAAAAAAGAAGTTAGCAGTTAAGTGGGGATTTCCCACTAAACAACAATAAGCAAACATGTAAAATGTTTCCCAACGACAAGCATGAAGAGGCCCCGGACTTTAAGAGACACACACACATACATATATATATATGTATATATATATATAGGTTTATGAATCGGTGTGTTGTTTTGCTGGGAACCCCTTGTTTGGTAAACCACCAGGATAACCCCAATTTTGAGGGGCTGCAAAAAAACGACAACATGACAACATGTGTATATATATATATATACACGTGTATCTATACATATATATATATATATATCCATCGCAAGGAAATGGTTTGAACGCGGCCACTTTCGCCAAACCTGCATGGTTCAAGCCCTGAGTGCAGAAATGGCATCTGCATCTCGCGTGTACTTTTCTCAATGTTGGGTGCTTGCTGAAAATGATGATTCTTGAAAACAATCTGAGTGTTGTTCTTCAAGAAAGAAAAATACAATTGCTTGATTGAAGGACCACCCATTCCATGCTTGCAAGCGCGACGCGGACCTCATTTCCAGGACTGGGCAACTTACTCTGGTTCGCAAATTTCACCATACCCTCCTACCCATAATCATGGAAGTGGGCAGGGGCCTTCCGCAAAAGCAAAGTGGTCCGCCAACCCCTATGGGCAGCTTCTACTTGTTGGAGGGAGGATAACTCGGGATTTCCCAGGTAAACAATCTTCATGCGCGAGCGCGGCTTGGAACATAGATCCGTATAATGTCCACAGGGACATGTACGTGGCACCCACCCACTGCTTCCCTCTCCTTTAGCGGCACTACGCTTCTGCTATCAAGCCTCGGCGTGTTCAGGCCACGGTTGACTTTGTCTCGGGCCCGTGATACCCAGCTTGTCATTTTCACAACACATCCCTTTCAATGGGGATCCCCTTGGGAAAAAAAGAAGATGGCCCTGGTAAATGGAGTGCCAAGCTAAATGAGTCCCCTCTCTTTCGAACTAGACTAAACTAAGAAGGACACCAATGCTGGGCATTGTAGAAAAGAACACCGTTAACCCGATTTCTCGTAGCTAGGCAGGTGTACGCTGGGAAGTTCCAATCATTCCTTCAACAGTTCCTGTGGAGGCTGGATCCCAAAAGATCCCAAAGATTGCACATACGATCCCAAATGCAGAGTCCCAAAAAGAACTAAGGCTAAGGATGGGCTCTTGGGGCCATTGTCACATCTTCAAAATAATTCTCTACCGGCGCTCCAGGCACTGCCCGCCAATCACTGCTCTTTGGACAGACTTGGGAGTTCGGACATGGGAAATTGTTGGGATCGCTGGTCAATCTTAAAAGGTGGTTTAAAGGGACACTGGTCCTCGGAAGTAAACTCCTTTCACGGACAAAGGGCCTTCAGGCTGATAAGGCGCTGCGCGGGAATCCCTGAACATCTCAACATGGCCGTGTCTTATTCAGAGGCCATCCGATTTTGGGTTGCTTAAAAAGAGACCTGCGGTTCGCTTGGTCACAAACGCCAAATCTAGTTGGACATCACCTGGATCTACAAACTATACACCACTGCACACTGGAAGTGTTGCCCACACTGGATGCTTGCTTTTACACTCTTGCAGCGTAACATGGACCCCCCAAAACAAGGATTTCTAGAGGAGTCTCCACAAGAAAAGGACACGTGGGCGCTTCATGTTTCATGAAGATCTCGCGGGCGTGACCTTGAAGTTCACGCCCGAGGCCCAGGCTGAGACAGCCGATGTCCCCCCCCAAAAACCAAAAGGGAGCACATCCCACAGAGGTTGGATTCGGACTTGTCGCACCTCCGCAAACGTTGCTTGTTGCGAAGTGTCAAACAACGATTTGGACTTCAGTCTGTCTCTCTTGGGATATCTTTCATGCATCCATATACATGTATAGAGATACCCACAGTGGCCCCCTGAAAGCCACGCTGAGAAGAGCATCACCAGAAATCACATGCGACGTCCCGTAGCTCAAGTCCGCCATTGGGCCGAGGAGCGAGGAACCCAAAGGCAGGCTGTCTTGCATGAGGAGTTGGCCGCTGGCGCGGTCGAACCTGGAGTCAATATCGGAAATACTGGGTCGCTGAAAATGGTGGGGGGGCGGGGTTATCCTAATTTGTGTTCCGCAGTGAGACACTCCTGTAAAACAATCCGCAGTGGGACAATCTTGAAAAGACAGCCAAGACCATCATAAGTTCTCAAGGATTTCATCAAGCCAGAATAAGGAACAGCGCACCAAGGGGAAGCATCTCAAACACTCTGAATAATACCTGGATACTGCGATCTGCAGAATGGTCGAAGACCCAAGTTTGGCGGTTGCCCAACAGGACCATGAGAGAAAGGGGATCGGATGAAGCCTTAGAGGTTTGCTCATGGTGAGAAATGGATCCCCTTTTCCGAAAGCCAAACGCTGAGTCCCATCTACACCCAACCGCGAAAGTCCTTGCATTTTTCGTGTTTTGCTCGAAAGTCCGCAGCCTGCCAGTAAAAACAACGCCACGGATAGTCCCGGCAGGGTCCTTGCAACTGAGCCTTCCCCACTGGCACACGGCGCCCAAGTGTCTCCTAAAACTGCTTTGTTTGAGTACCACTACGGACGCAATCCCCATGGCACATCGCATGTTACAAGGCACTTAGACGCATTTTAAGCATACATGTTTAAGTACGAGTAAGAAGGCAATCCCCATGGCACATCGCATACCAGTTGGGACCAAGATGTTGCTTGACTATGTGTGTTTGCACGCCAAAAAGAAGGCAATCCCCATGGCACATCGCATGCTCAACAACATCGAAACAAGTCTTGCAAAAACAAGTTCGTGTGCTAGTACGAAGGCAATCCCCATGGCACATGCATACCCAAAGGCAACCAAATGCATCTTGAAAACATCTATTCGAAGCACAGAAGTGAAGGCAACCCCCATGGCACATTGCATAATCAACCGCAATGTGTCTCCTAAGACTGTTTTGTCTGAGCGCCACTACGGACGCGATCCCCATGGCACATCGCATATTACAAGCCGCTTAATCGCATTTTAAGCATACATGTTTAAGTATGAGTAAGAAGGCAACCAGCATGGCACATCACATACTAGTTGGGACTGAAATGTTGCTTGACTATGTATGCTTGCACGCCAAAAAGAAGGCAATCCCCATGGCACATCGCATGCTCAACAACATCGAAACAAGTCTTGCAAAAACAAGTTCATGCGCTAGTATGAAGGCAATCCCCGTGGCACATGCATACCCAAAGGCAACCAAATGCATCTTGAAAACATCTATTCGAAGCACAGAAGTGAAGGCAACCCCCATGGCACGTTGCAGAATCAACCGCAACGTGTCTCCTGAAACTGCTTTGCTTGAGCGCCACTACGGACGCAATCCCCGTGGCACATTGCATATTACAAGGCGCTTAAACGCATTTGAAGCACACATGTCTAAGTATGAGTAAGACGGCAACCAGCATTGCACATCACATACCAGTTGGGACCGAAATGTTCCTTGACTATGTATGCTTGCTCGCCGAAAAGAAGGCAATCCCCATGGCACATCGCATGCTCAACAACACTGAAACAATTCTTTCAAACACAAGTTCATGTGCTAGTGTGAAGGCAATCCCCATGGCACACGCATACCCAAAGGCAACCAAACATCTTGAACACATTTCTCGAAGCGCCAAATACAAGCAACCCCCATGGCACATCGCAGAACCAACCGCAACCGAGCACTGTTTTCAACATATATATATATATATATATTTGTAGTAGCAGTAGTAGTAGTAGTAGTAGTAGTAGTAGTAGTAGTAGTAGTGGTAGTAGTAGTGGTAGTAGTAGTAGTAGCACAAGCAGCAGCAGCAGCAGCAGGAGTAGTAGTAGTAGTAATAGTAGTAGTAGTAGCAGCAGCAGCAGCAGGAGTAGTAGTAGGAGTAGTAGTAGTAGCAGCAGCAGCAGTAGCAGTAGCAGTAGCAGTAGCAGTAGTAGTAGTAGTGTAGTAGTAGTAGTAGTAGTAGTAGTAGTAGTAGGAGTAGCAGAAGCAGTAGTAGTAGTAGTAGTAGTAGTAGTAGTAGTCGTGGTGGTAGTAGTAGTAGTAGCAGGAGTAGGAGGTGCCTTGTGTTAAGTTTTTGGCAAGTTTACCCAGGAAAAAAACGAGTCCAAAAACGAGTCTAAAACGAGTCCGAAAAGAAAGAAGACGTGCAGCCGCAACCCACCTAGGCCTCAGCCTGAAAAGCAGGCCGTTGAAACCAATTGATGTGTTAAGCAGACTGTCGGCCTTAGCCTAATACGTATTACAAGCACTTGTTGAAGATACGTGTTTTTCAAGCGTGTGCCAATGCGATTGGCCTCCCAAAGCCCCAGCTTCAACAATGCAAGCTGTTCTAGGAATCTTGTTGCGGATGACTGCGTGTGCCAACGCGCTTGGCCTTCCAAAGCCCCAGCTTCAACAACGCGAGCTGTTCTATCAATCTTGTTGAGGATGATTGCGTGTGCCAATGCAAATGGCCTCACAAAGCCCCAGCTTCAACAACGCAAGCTGTTCTAGGACGATTGGCCACCCAAAGCCCCGGCTTCCACAACGCAAGCTGTTCTAGGAATCTTGTTGAGGATGATTGCGTGCGCCAGTGCGATTGGCCACCCAAAGCCCCGGCTTCCACAACGCAAGCTGTTCTAGGAATCTTGTTGAGGATGACTGCGTGTGCCAATGCGATTCATGTGTTAGTTGACTGAACCTTCTCATTATCTTGGCCAGAGGCAGTGTGCCATTGCGTTTTGTGATGGGAGTGGGCCTCAACATTCAACAGCGCACCTTCGCCAAACACTCCTCAAAGTATCCGGCCCCCCATGGCACACCAGACACTTGGCTTTGTGTACGGTGGGGGGCTGGGGTAGCACTTGTGATCATGACCCTAAATAGCTTTCCCCACTGGCACACTGCTTGCGGCGCGAGATCATGGCTTGCGGGGCGTGTAACCACAAGGACCCAGTAAGTGTTTTTTTCAGGCGTGTGCCAATGCGATTGGCCACCCAAAATGCCTCAACATCATCAACACAAACCGCGATCGAGGGAAGGTGTTTTCCATGTGTGCCAGTGCGTTCGGCCTACCCAAAAGACCTCAACTTGATCAATGAAACCATCTCAGGGGACCACGTTCAGCATGTATTTCTCTACAAAAAAGACCTCAATATCACGCAGCAATTGTCTCTTGAAAACATGCTAAACCAAACGCCACTGGCACACGGAGTTGCAACGACCCTACCGGATGCGTTTCGTGTGCGTATTACACGAAAAACATGCTGCCAAAACCAAACGCAACGACTTTCACAGGTGAGAGTATAAGGGCATCTCTTGGGCATTGAGCAGCTCTCAGCCGATGGACGAGTCTGATCCTAGAAGCATGCTCAAAGGCTTGATAGGCCCCATTCTCCCCCATGATCGCTACTAAACCCGCGAGTATGTACAACCCCTGTGTAAAAACAATATGGGATCCCCATGAAAGAACCTCTAACATGGGTGAGAGGTTGCAACCCACTCTGTGAGGTTGACACAACTTGCTCAGGCTTGACAATATAGTTGTAGAGGAGCAGCCGTCTTCTTGCAAAGACTCCATGGGCAGGGAAAAGGGTATCTAAACACCGTCAAAGGAATTCACCCATGCATTCCAAACTCCTGTTGCCATACTTTTGCAGCGTGGCTTGTGAAGTTGATACGTCCAGAACCTGCACAGCCCAAGGCTCCAACATATGGCCATGGGTCAAAATCCCGTACCCCCAGTGAACATCCCAATCCCCACCAAAAAAAAAGAGAAAAGAACTAAAATGGGTGGTGAATTCACCAATCCCAACCAAAATGGGATCAACCAAAACGATTTTGACCCACAAAAGTGGGCTGTGGTTTGTCTGTCTTGGATTTAGTTGGACCAATCCATGGCTTCGGCTTATCTTTAGAGTCACAATCAAAGCCCGGTATTAAAATGGACCCAGAACCATGCTTCAAGAATTAAGAAGGCGGCCGCAACCTGGGACTGCCCCTTACTAACCTTCATCTACCCGGGTTTTGATGGTAGCTCTTTTGGATTCCCTTTAACATCCCACAAAAAGTGGTCGCCTCAAAAAAGACAGACCCGTTTTGGCCTCAACATTTCGGAGTCCAAGTGGGGGAACATTTGCAGAACCCTGTGGACCCAGGAAGACCAAGACCGTTGGCCTATCCAAAAGGTGCTGTTGACGCCAACAGCACATATGGTGTGTCATCTGTGGGGAACCCTTGGATGGTGTTCAGGGTAACTACAAGGAATGCAGGATTTTGGGGTCGTTTTACGTCACATCCAATACATGCCCGCATTATGTATTTGCTTTATGGTACACTGGTTGGGCTGGCTTTAAAGAACATCCTGAAAACACATTGAGGGCTGTTCTGTTTTGAGCCACCTGGACACGCTACCCACAACCACAACAAAATTGGCTATTGCCGCCCTCAAAATCTGGTGTGATTTCGCATGTTTAGTAGCTTGAGGGTCCAGGTATAGGTGTATGGGTGTCTTTTTGGTTGATTGGTTGAGGACCCCGATCCGGTCGATTCGCTTTGGACTGAGCCATATGACTTAGCCCTAAACTGGGCTGTGCAAACTGATCCCTGCTGCTAAAAGCTTAACTTTTGGTGGGCTGACTGGAAACCCAACCACTAAAGCAACTGAAAAAAGCCAACACGCTAAGGAACCGGATGGCTGGGAGCCACCACGTAAACACATGTTCCACCATGGCCATTCCGGGCCTCAATTCGGTGACCTCGGCCTTCGTGATGCCGTTCAGCTCGAACAAAAGCCTCGTGGTGTTGTTCGTTTTTTGTGGCGGCGAAGCGTTTGGGGCGTCTTCTTTTTGAGGGAGGCGTCTGGAAAACACGGGGTATGAATGTTATCAAACATTCGCCAAACGTTGGATCGAAAGGCGGGGTGCCCCTCTATGTTCGGGCTTGAACGCTTTCCAAAGTCGGCCACATCGGTATGAGCATAGATTTGGCTATAGGTTGGGCTAATAGTTATGAGCCCAATAGCACAATCTAAATTAGGCGATTTATACCACACAGGGCCAAGCAAAACACTTCAAACGGACACGTGATGACCAACAGGTTTCGAGCTACGTGAAGATCTGCAGAAATTTCTCCGAACAAGCTGGCCGTTGCGCGCATTCGCGGCTTCACTGCTCGCCCGTCGCTGGCCCAGTCTTACGAAGGCGTGGCACTTCACAAACGACTCCATTCCACAACGAGCGGGTGCGGAAAAATCACTTGATATCACTTCATCCTGAGAGCAGCCCTTGAACACATAGCCCTTGAACAAATAAGAGCAGCCCTTTAACTTGTCACACGACGCGTTCACTACTGCTACTATTGAGAAAGACGTCAACCCTTGTGAGGGGGAAGCCGTTTGTGCTGTTCGCCGTGTCTCAAACGCCGGCTTTCTTTGATTGAGGACATCAAGACCTCCAAGCAACGTGGGGCCGGTCCCGCTATGCTCCCGGGTTCGTTCAAGAAATAATCAATCCGTGGACCATCGAGTGTTGATACCAACATGAGCAAAAGGAATACAGAGCTTGCGAACTTTCCCCTCCAAATCGGAGTAGAACCTAGGCGATTCCAATTTGTTCCAAAAAAATGCCCTCAAAACCATCCTGCGGGGATCAAGGGACCTCGGGGTTTTCTTAAAAAACATATAGGGGTTTAAACCACGAAGCGCACCAAGGGACCCTCTACCAAGATCACGGGCTATGACGGGCGCACCGCGCCACGTCTGCGAGTCAGGAGGCTTGCCGGGCTCGCAGGGCGACAGCTTCACGACGTCTCCGTCGGTGTTCTCGTATTCCACCGCGGTGTTGGACCTTCGCCCATTGAAGTGGTTGCAGTTGGGGGGTTCTCCAAATTGCCTTTGCGGGCTTGCTTCAAAGCGTCTTGAGGATGTCAGTCTACTGGATCCAGAATGAGGGGCATTTTTGCACAAGGCAAGAAGATGGAGGCTGCTACCACGAGGTGAAGTATGGCTATCAGAGCTTCGCAAACAAATGAGTACATCCCAAATGCGCTAATGAAACCCATAAAGCATTCCTAAGCACAAACACGCACACACACACACACACACACAGGTACTTATCAAGAACAATAAACACATATCATATATGCAAGTGTCCTGAGTGTCCTTGATCCAGCGCAGTAAACATTCAATTGGCGGACCAAGTCGTGGACTTGCTGACGGTTTCCCATAGACCATCCAATTCAAAGCTGGCCCCCAAAAGCCGCAAAGGGAAGCGCATGAAGCAACGCATTTTGGACTTCCAGGACCCAAATTGATCCAAACTCCTAGGTGGTCATGCTCTGAACATACCTAAGGGGGCCCTTGAATAGAGTCACCAATGGCAACGGTGACCAGGAGCCCTTGGACAAGGGTGTCACTCATGGCAACTTGACGAAAAAGCCTCGAGGAAAGGGTGTCATAGATGAGAATCATCTTGCCAATATTCACCCATTGAACATGTAGTCAACGTTCTTTTCCGACAAATATTTGGGCTGCAAAATGTTTGCGGCCACAGAAAGCTGTAGTCCATAATTGTTAACCATACCAACAAACTTAAGGTTGCATGACCAAACTGGGCTTGTCTTTGAATGGGCAACCCCAAATTTGGCTCTTTTGTGTTCCTTTGACACGGCTTCCGGGGAAACCCTCAACCCAACCAAAAACGAAACACCTGGAGTCACGTGAAAACTTGGGCATCCACTGCCAAAGCTCCTCCACGTGCAGATAGGCCTGTGAAAAGTCGAAGCTGGTCGGCCAACCGCTTTGCCTCGCGATCGAGTCAAACCGAGGAAGCGCGGTCTTGCACAACGAAAACATCGGCGTAGGGTGCAGCTGAATCGGGTGGACATGCATAAACAGCACCACAAAGCTTCAGGCAGATCTACTGGGAAGTTCGACAATATAGTGTGCCAATCTGCGTGCTTCTTCCATTCCTTCTTCGGTGAGCTCGTTCGAATCGTTCTCCTTGTTCACAACCGCTCAAATGGCACATCCCGGAAGGATTTATCTCCATGTGTGTTGCCTGCAAACTCTGCTTTTGGATCATGACGCAATAGGTATCCTGATGAGTAGATAATTTTCATTTGAAGAAACCACAACAGCACCGGTGTGCTCTAGCTGTGGAGAATGGCCAGTTGTTGGAGCGCTCTGGGTATGCAGAACAGCATCAACCAACATATGATTCAAACTAAGTTCAAAGACAGTTATCCTGTCAATGCCAAGTTCCAGCACTCGCAGGGGATTCAATCGTCACAATGTGTTGATCTAGTTGTGCCTGTTGTGCCAAGTGGATGCCTCGTTGTCAGAGCACCCTGTTGGCTTGAAAAGGACGCCAAAAGAAAACCATCGGGACCGGAATATGGTTCCCATTTTGACGCACATCCAAATCACAATTCACACAGCTCTGTGGAGAAGTCAACCGCAAACACAACACTACGCCACTTGGTTTCTTGCTTCCAGCCATATGGGGCTCAAAGTAGCACAGCATAACGAGCCAAAAGTGTGACACCGAAAAGAACAAGGCCAAGAAAGAATAGAACACAACAAAAACTTCTTTGGATGTGATTCCGCCTGCGAGCAGCCCGGGTTTTAATGTCAATGTAGTGGGCATCCCCTTTGCCAACACTGAGTCTGCAGATGGGTGCGTGTTAAAATCGGGGAACCGCAAAAAAGGCTGGTGATAAAATCTGGTGTTTTGTTCTTTTTCTTTTTTTAATCGTTAAAAAAGGCATTATTAAAAACAAACGGGTTCCGACCTATTTTGGCTGTTGCTCATGTTCTGCTTTCGTCCACTTAATTTTGATAAGACGGCAATGGAGAATGCTCGGGCTTCACAGTCTGTGAACTGGTCTCTTGGCCGTCAAATCACACGTCGACATCTTGCGCAGCATGGCACGCATTTCAACGATTTCACCGTCCAGTTCTCTTCTCTTATCCGAGTTCGGGACACTAGTCTCGATATCCGCAACAACGCCAAGATGCCGGATCTTTCAATCAGCCCTGAAACCTGGTGTCATAGTTACAACCCGCTTGTCATGTACTTGGTGGCTAGTAACCATGGTTATAGCCTTCCAAAGCCATGCTTGTAATTTCATTAACTGCATTCTACCCCGGGATAGCCACTCAGTACCTGATCGCCGGGACAACATGCTGGCACACGCCGCACAGCACCGTGCACAACACATGTCAGTAACTGAGGACGAGCGGAAAATTCAGAGTTATAAAGCTGGGGGGAAAGGGGGGGAGGGAGTCCAAATAAAGGAATAGCTTAATAAAGGCTTATTTGGGCTGCCCCCCCCCCCCGCACCCCCCACCCCCTTCCCAGCTCCCAAAAAAGAGCTGAAATGTGAAGCCCAGTTGCCCAATGGACCTGAAAAAGCTGACCTTTGCGGGTGACTCAAAATAAAGCAGGGGGCACCCCACTCTGTTCTTTGGTCGACTCGCTCTAGGCAGCTCGGATACACCATTGGTTGAAAGCTCAGGTGAGATCCTTTGCCAGTTACCCTCGAAGAATCGTGCTTCCGTAAAGTTGGTCATACCTTTTACCTACCTACACAAAGGGAATTACGCCGCCGACAGTCACCCGGGTGTAATTCAGGAAGCCTGTAGTTGGTGGTGTGGATCGGTTTGGGGATTTGAACCCCAGCTCAAGCTGAAACCAAATGGGGAAGGTCCCCCCTAACGTCCAAGCCACCAATCCAACCCACCAACCATAATTAGATGGAATTGTTGAAAGTAGGGTAATGTCGAGTCCTGATTAACACCCCCTCGCCGCTATGAACCAGTCCCTTTTTGGTGGGGAATCATTTCCAGGGTAACCCCTCTGAATTGAAAATTGGGGGGGGGGGTATGCAGGGATCTTGATCACAGCTTCAGAAGTGGCTTTCCCTCGGCTCATGAGGATCCCTTTGATCAAGCCCATGGAAGGCTCTCGGATCCCCGCCTCTCCGAGACAGCAGCTCCACAGCCTGAGAGACGACACCCAAAGGCCATGGCTGGGGACTCTGTTGAGAACCCAAACACGTCCCGTGTCAATGGAAAAACCCGCGGTAACAGCATCAGAGAATACCTGGCTTGAAGCGACCACCCCAGGGTTTGGAGAAAAACGTCTTTCTTCGTTTACCCCGCTTTTAGGTTGGCTAGATGGGGAAAAAAACAGGTTCCCCCCCACAAAACCAAGCAGGTTATTATGGATCAAGCCCAAGTGTACGTGAATGTCGGTTGAACACATTTTCACAACATGTCCAGTGTCATGACGCCCCTTTGTGAACCATCCCCAAAGCTTCCCCTGTAGATCCTCACCCCTGTGTCGTTGTTCTTATAAGGCTCTGCGGCTGCTCCTCAAACATGCAGAAATGCTACCCGCAGATTCGAGTCAGTCTGCGCACGTCTCTTGCAGCCAACACACAGACAGGCAAACGATCAAGCTTTGAAACACTTATAAGAGATTCACGTTAACCAGCCTGCAACATCATGGCAAGGCCAAAGACCACAGGGCGCCAACAGTCTACTTGGCACCTCTTTGATCAATTGCACAAATTGATTACAATTCAAACCTTCCCCAAAATCAACTTAAAGGGTCCCTTGAAGTCCCTTAAGGCAACCAAATGGAGAACTTGCAATCTGCGAAGGTCCGGATATCTTTTCTCTGAAGTACTCTTCAAACCCCTTAGGAGCCATCCTCAAAGGAGATACCGTAAGCACCTTGCCATGGACTGTCACAAGAGGTTTCTCAACCAGTAATTTATTTTGAACAAGCCAAGCACACTTCACCACGCAAATTTCTGATAAATCATGGATGTATCAGGAGGTGTCATGGTTCCAAATTGGGGACACCTGCAAACCGCATCTTAGCCCCTTGCCCATGGCCAAGGTGGGTCCGCCTGAGCCTGGCGAGTCTAGCCGGGTACCTCTTCAAGTTGCTTGAAATCCATCTGTCAGGGTCCAAATCCCCATGTCACATATGGGGTGAAGGCACCCCATGACATCATAGGACTCCATTCATACATCTGCCCCCGCAGATAGCCTTCATCAAACTCCAATCTGAACTGTGACCATGAAACTAGTTTCCCATAGGGCCACATACGAGAGGTATACCATCCAAAAGAACCAGCATGAAATGGGCGAATGAAATGGGCGCCTCTGTGTTCTTTTTTGAAGCTGCCCAAGGGAAAGCCACCGATTTTAGGAGGGATCCGGATGCACTAGACACCTGAACATTGCAACTTGTAAATGGTGGGAAACCCCTTGATTTTGGTGTTGAAAAAAAAAAAACATGTTTCAAATGGTTGCAAAATGTATATTTTAAGGAGCGCTGTTTAGGAGGTGCCCTTATTTCACACATTCCAAATTTACGTGCGTTGCCCAAAAACAGCACTTGGTTGTAAACACGCTTGGGTGTTTCTCGACATAGACCACGTGAAATTGCAAGAGTTTCCTGTTGGTTTCCCTTTAAACAAAGGGGTCCATCATTGAGCAACTCCTATTTACTCGTTGACGGGCAGGTCTCTGGGCTGTCCTCAGATCCCCTGCTCAAAGTTAAACTTGTAGTGGTGGGTTAAATAGAAATGCCCATGGGTCAAAATCCCGTACCCCCGCTAAAATCCCATTCCCCACTAAAATAGACTAAAATGGGTGGTGCACCTACCCCAAAATGGTACCATTGGTTTTGACCCACGGCCAAATACCCACTAAACCCTAAAAAGCTAACAAGCTAAGAGGATGGCTGGGAGCCACCAAGGTATGTTTCGCTGTTGAACGGGAAGATTCGCCTTACTTCCACACCCGCAGGGCAGTAAGATGGTTTCTACTAGCAAAAAGATCCCAGCCAGGGCTTTCATGGTATATACAACCACTAGCTATAGAGCCACTATACACAAAGCGTGTACCCATAGGTGGCCTTTTGGAAAAAAGGATGGCCCTGGTAAATGGAACAACCCCCATCTAAACCAGGGCCCTCTTTTATTTAAGCAAACCAACCAAAAAGGACACCTATGCTGTACCCCGCTTCCCCGCAGGTGCCGGTAGTTGGGGGTGAAAGCCAATCTTAGCACCGAATCATCGGCGACCCCCCAAATAAAGTGAAGCAAGCCCTTGTTTCACGGCCAGGTGTCAAATCGGCCGTCGCTGGCGAACACATTGGGCTTACAAGCAAGCGAAACAAACGCATTGCCCTGGTTGACGTTGGAAGGGGAGCAACAATTTAAATGTTAGCAGTTAAGTGGGAATTTCAACCACTAAACCACAAATGAGCAAAAATGAAAAATGTTTCCCAACAACAACCATGTTGCGTTCTATGCAAACCATGCGCTAGCATAAATGACAGGGGCAAAACAAAACATGCCTTTCTTCGTCCATCAGCATTTTGCACAGTATGTGGTGAGACTGCTTCCACATGCCATCGTTGATATAGACTGCGTTCGCAGCATATTATGCTGCGACCACGGTTTGCTTGTATTGATGTTTCGTGCGTGTCATGGTGTGTCACTTCGATTTGTTGTAGCAACAACTCTGTATCTATTCTCATCTACTGTTGCAAACATAACGCTGGCTAACACACTCATCGTATCTACGTACCACATTTCTTGTGGAACCCTCTTTAATGTAGTTTTCTCGGGGGTTCCCTAAAAGGCGCTGGATATGCCAAAAGAAGCTCGTCTCCAAATTGCTGCTGGGATCCATTGCTGAGCAATCCCTGAGCCCCTCAGGGGTGACCCCTGAGTTCTAACTTAAGGGGTTGGGTGCTACCCGCGTTGCTACGATGTGCGTTCCACCAATCATCCATTGTGTTTGTTACTCATGGGCGCCCTGAATTGTCAAATTCCGAACCCATTTGAGTGTCTTTTTTTGAGGGACCCCCCAACATGAGTGGATTCCCATCGTGTGTCTTTTGTTGAGGGACCCGCCAACATGATTTGGTTTCCCTTTAAACCAACCCCCCAAAAATACCCTAAACAACAAACAAACCCATTTCGTTGTGTCCCCATCGCAAGAAATCAGAGAAAGAGGCGCCGAGGAGTTTGAGGCAACCTGTGGCCCAATGGCAACAGCCATGGTCAAGAGTCAAAATCGGAATCCTCCCTTTGCAGAAGGCCCTGGATGTGTGTGTGTGTGTTTACCATTCCAGTAGGGCTAGATTCTCTTTAACACCAACAGGGGAAATATAATTATGGGGCAAAAGGCAGCAATATGTGGGTCAGAGTCATTGTTCCCTTGATAGACACCCTACATTTATTCTCCAACATTTTTTTCCGGGCAGCTCCCTCGCGCCTGCACTTGGGTACCCGCCCTTGACATCCTTCGGCTTCTCCTCGCGGCAAGAGACATCGCCGGATTGGCCTCTCTGCCCTCGAAGACACGACGCCCCGGAGATAAAGCAACATGTTCAGGCTCTGCTTCTTATTTTACTTAGTCTACCCGAAAATACAAAACAAGCTTTGGAGGAGACCCCAGCAAAGAGCATGCGCTTATTTGGGGAAAAATGGATCCGACCCGCAAAAGCCGCACTTTTGCTGGTAAGGGCAATGAAGGGACACTGGAAAGGGAGAAAGAAACAATAAGCTACGTCTGGCACTGCCTAAAGCTTGCAAGCAAAGAACCACCTCATCAGTTGGTGGTGGACATGAATCCCCATCTAGATGACGTCCGCCAAAGGGTCCCCTGTGTCTTTGGTGTTTTAACAAAACACATATGCCATTGTGTGGTGATTAGTTGGGGCGTCTATTGTGCCCGCAGGCGGTATCATGGCATCAATCGAAATGCGGTAGGAGCCATATCAGGCAACCGAAGCGATGGGCAAGCACACGCGGCAGCGGCACCAACAACACCTGCACCAGCAGCATCACCAACAACACCAGCAGCAACAGCAAGCACAAGTGACAAGTTTCTGTGCGTTTTGTGTCTGATAATTGCGATCGCCTAGTGCAAGAGGCCGGTGCTTGACTGCCAATCCCGGACCAAAAGCAGCCCTGATTCGTCTTTCCGCGTCCTGCGCCGGTTCCTGTGTTCCCGCGCTCCTGGCAAGTGGCTTGCAGCAATGCAGCTAAGCAATCAACTGATCTGCAGAACGCTCCACAAGTGAACGACCTGATTCTGATGTGGCGAGCAAGTTTGTCCACCAGGTGAGCTGCAGCAAGCGCGCCACTAAAAACAAGAACTCATCAATGGCCAAGTGTTTTACCCAAGCCGGGGCTCTGACTGACCCCAACAGGCCGGTGGCTATAAACGGGGTATGCAATCCCCAAATTGGCCCTCGGCCGGCCTGGGCTATAGCGGTACTTTCATCTCGTTTGGACTAAACGTAAAAGTGGCAGCTTCAATGGAACCCACCTGTAAATTGCAACCTTTGAAGGCGAAATCCAGTGACACGTGTTTCAGTTTGGGGGTCAGGGCTGCAACGCCTATGTCCTATGTTTCCAGCCTGAAGTCAAGGGTACCCCAGAACCTGCGGGTGGACTTGAAACGCCAAAACCAAAAGACACTTTGCCTCGTCCAGCCATCCCACCTCATCCTTTACTCAAGTGGCCATGGGGCAAAGCCGAGTCTTCTTTGACCAAATTTTCAAAAGAACCAGCAACCATGAGCAACAAGAAGAAAAGCCTTTGGTCCAATGCACCACGAGCCAACTGGTTCACTTGGCAAACAGAGAAATGCAGTATGGAAGTTTGGTGCTGGGGCAACATGCCTTGAAGGGGGTGCTTCTTCTTCTTGGCGTGGAAGGGGGCGGCAAGCCTGGAGCCTTGTCCCAGCTGGAGACTTTCGGGTCTCTAGTCCCACAACCCTCTTGAGTCATCATCAAAACCCGGTATCAAAATGGCCGCAGGAACCATGCTTCAAGAACTATGAAGGCCGCCGCAACTAGTCATGGTTGAACTCGTCCCTACGAACTCCTCCACTTGCCCGGGCTTTGAGTGTGACTCTCTTGCTCCTAGATTTCTGCGTCTGCTATATGCCACTCAGGCCTCGCGGACTGGGCTTGTGGCAAGGGAACGGAGGCGCCCTTGTCTTGCGGCAGTGAAGGATGGAATGAACCGGAAGATTCAAAAGGAAAATGGAAACGGAAACCATGTGTGAATGAACGGAAACCTGTATTCCATTTCTTCTTGAAACCATAAGGAAATGGATGGTTCAAAAAGAGGGCCCATTCCATTGCTCATTCCCTGCCTATCGCACCAGCGAGTTTTTGCTGGTCGACTGTTGGAACCCCCCTGCCTGGAGCTGGAAGGGAAGGGGCAGAAGAAGTGGGCGGTCGCCATGACCTCGTGATGGCCGCATAAGAGAATCTGGGTAAATAAATGTGACCTGCATGGATCGTGTGGGACTCAATCTTGCCAAAACCCTGTCCTTAAAAAGGGCTTGCGGCTTATGTCTTTCGCAAAACCACGTGTGGATCTTTTTGAAGGGAGCTGGCCCCTTGGCTTCGTGAGACCTTCAAACCGGCGGTGTCAAGCCCTGGAGCGCCAGGCGGTTTGATGGCCCAAGGTCACATGGAACTTGGACTTGGTGGTCGCAGTACCTCGCAGCGCGATGCGCTGCCTTTTTGGAGCCGCAAAAAGAAATCATTCACAAGGAAGGGGGAAGGGGGAAAACATTCACCATGGAAGTATTTTGGGGGGACATATCCTATGTGTACATTACTCAAAAGGTGCAGAATCATTATTAAATGTGCAGAAAGAAATGAGGAAGCCCCGAAGTAGGGGATCCTCATCATGGGCAAGCTCGTTTACCCGACAAATGAGTTCGTGATCATTTGCCCAGACTTGGACCATTAGTTGAAAAAGTAACTTTTGAGGGTAGGGACCGTTCAACTCGGTATGGGCTGTTCAAAACAGAGGCATAGATTTGAAACTCGAACCCACTAGAAAGGGAGCCAAACTCTTACACATGGATCCCGGCGCTATGGGCGCCATGGGGGATATGGGGGGGGCTGTCCCTGGATAAGCCAAGGATAAGCCCTTCATAAGGCCCTTGGCCTGGAATATCTCCGTTAGTTCATCTGCATGCCGTTCTGGTCTCTTCAAGTCCCCCGTGCCAGGAGCTCGAGACTCATTAACATGGCGTTAAGACAAGGCAATGGCCCCAGTACAGATGATTGTTTTTTCCCTAGGGCACCAACCAACCAACCAGCCAGCCAACCAACCAACCAACCCAGTCATAGTAAACACAACAGCCGCAGGGGTTAAAAAAAAAAAAAAACAAAAAAAAAACCAAAAAAAAAAAAACACTGGATCCGAAGTGTCCCCCCCGAAAACCAAAAACTGCAAGGACTCCCCTCTAAAATGACTTGCATCCCACTATTCAACCCTGGGTTGATCACTGGGTTTTCCCTCCCATCATGGAACCTTGCTCCCTTGACCATTTCGGTTCAGCCAGGGGTTGCTGCATCCTGGATTCCCACTGGTCCCTTGATGTCCTAGGCGTTCCCCTCGGACCCTTGATGTCCTAGGCGTTCCCCTCGGATTTCTCATTCGTGTCACTTTGCTTGGCTGGAACTAGGACCTCAGCAAACAATCCTTATTTTTGCCCTAGTGCCAAAATAAGAAAAGGGGAACGAATTCTGGGGAAGCTTAAACCCCTCATCCTGGATTCCCACTGGTCCCTTGATGTCCTAGGCGTTCCCCGTGGCTTTCCCATGCGCGTCACGTTGAACCCCAGCCTCAACCGCTGACCCCCGTCCAAAACGACCGGACGCTCGGTTCGATGTCCAGCTGCTCTTGAAGTAGCTGATCTTGTCCACCACGCACACCGCCGCATCCTGGCGGCCGAAGGCCGAAGGCCGAAACTGGGCCTCGTCAAGGAAAAGGTCCAAGCGCCAAAACAGGGATCCGGATGTCATTGTACACCTGAGCATTGCCTTGTAAATGGTTCCCTTTGTTTTGGTGGAAAAAGCCATGTTTCAAATGGGCAACATGTATCTTGTAAGGAGCCCTGCAAAACCATCCTCAAAGGATTGGATCTGGGCAGGGTCTGCAGCTGAAACCCTTCATGTTGGCACCAGAAGATCAAACTTTGAAGATTTGGCCGTGCCCGAACGGTCTCGACCGCTTTTTGGGTTTCAACAAAGGCTTGTTGTTTTTGAGGTCCCCGAGGGGTTTGGTTCTTCATTGGGGGCCGCGCGTCTGCATTGGCCGGGTCATAACCCTGAGGGTGCTTGCATGTAAGCACGTCCGCAAATAGAAGACTCTAAGGTGAACATGCGAATGGACACCAACCAGTTGCTTCAGCCCCCCTTTGTTTAAAACGCACGCGTACCATTATTCAAACCGCCTTGGGTCATTTGAAGATGTGACGTGCTCGTCAGTCCCTTCCAAGCGAGGTACAATCAGATCCCGCGTTCTGGGTTAGCTGGTATGCCTATGGGGCGGCTGCTCTTGTCTTCATGGCTACGTTTGGTCTGTGAGTACCCAAGCACCCCACTACAAATATGTAGGCCTTTAGAGCAACCATTCCTGTGTAGAGGACGGAACATCATCACCACGTAACACGCTCGTCAACTCAACGCGTCCCCAACTCCAACCTCCCCAAAACTGTTGTTCAATCTGTTCATGTCCTGGATGTCTTGCTCTGACATAAAACCCAGGCTCCTCAGAAGGGTCATCAAGTCTCAATGCACAATCATTGTCAGGTTCTGGCGTGAGTGTGCAGAGGGTATCACCACAGGGTATCACCTGAACAAGGGCAACAACGATGCTAAGCTAGCATCTTTCCAAGCGAGAGGGTGCCAATCTTGATCCTGAAGTGGTCCCAGTTGACCACGACAACTCTGGCGGAAACCTGTCGTGTCAAAGCAAGATATACAAGATGGGCTCGACCTTGTTGGGGGCTAGGGTATCATAACCACTTGGCCGATGCGGCGGACTGTTAGTCTAATGTGGTGATCAAGGTGCATGAGTGTGTCTTTGTAAGGGGTACTCGTTTTGGTAGCTTTGAGTGTTGTCTGACAAGGAAGAACGAGCGATTTGCTTTACAATAACCCAATTAACCAACCTAAAATGGCCCATGGAAATCTGTTTGGGGCGCTAAGAATTGGGCGACGCGCGATTTGGGCGCCTTGAGTCAAGAGCCAAATGACTGATGTCTTGCATAGGTTTGCACCAAACCCACCTGATCAAACATCGGCAGAATGATAGGGAATGTATTGCTTGGCCCGGCGTGGCCTCTTGATTGTGTGGGGCAACCCACCTTTTGAGCTAAGCGGACACCGTTGCAACTTTCCCGGATCAGCACGAAGATATTGAGAGTGTCACACGGGATAAACCACCGGAAACAAACCAAACTTTGAAGAGTCGTTGAGGACAACTCAGCAAAGGCACGGTGGATGCCCTATTTACAAAATGCAACTAAACCAACAATATCCAACACATCGGGGCGGGGTCTGCTTGTTCCCATTTCAATATGGCATCTACCGTCCATGCACGTCCACCAAGGTGACTCCAATGATCATGCAAGTACCGGATATAAACATGTCAATTTTATCCGCATTTTAACGGCCTCCTTTTGGCTTTCCTTTAAACAAATGCTCCTTGTCCGGGTGTCTAGGGCTGGATTCCCAATTACTTTCACGTGTGCGAACACCAGATCCGATGCCCCCGGCTTTCCGGAAGTCCCTACGAACGGGGCGAGCCCTGGGTCTACATGTTTCCCACAGATGCAGCCCGGCTTCAGACTTCATAGTCTGGGGCTGGCTATGTCGCCGCTTTGGAAGAGTTCAGAACCCGCACCTTGCGGCATTTCTCAAGGCAAGGTCCAACTTCCACCGCTTGCGACTTGGATCCGCAGGTAGGCCCGTCGGCTTTCACAGGATGCGCTGAACAAGTGCAGACATAAGCTTCCAGCGACATACGACTTATCCCCCCAAGCGGCGCACCAGCAAGGGCACTGGGAACTTCTCCCCAAGCACAATGCCGCGCTCCAGCTCCTGCAATGCATATCTCCCACGGAAATCAGCAGGGAGCCCCCAAATTGGAGGGAAAGGCAAACAAGGCTCCAAGCAATATGTAGAGAACTGTAAGGGGAACTCCAATCCCCCAACCCTCTTTCTTGCAATCTCTTTTTTGGCTCCATGTTGTTATTAACTGGAAGCACCACACAAAACGTGTCTGCACTTATCCCCCTCCGTTTCACCCCAAAAGGAAGGTAGTTTGTCTTCCAGAACTCCCCTGTCTGCTTCCATGATTCTTGGCAGGCCAAACGCACCGATGTGTAGAGGATCTGTTGTTTGGGGGACCCCCAAATACAATAGGGGTTGTCACATGGTAAATTTCCAGATCTGCAGGTTTGCCCCATGGACTCCTTTCTTTAGTCCCTGGACAAAAATGCGAAAGTATGTCCGGTTCTCGATTCCCGTTATAACCAACATAAGAAAATTCATTTCAGCAAGTGGAAGATGGGGAAGGGCTGGAAGCGTTGGGGTTTCAGAATTCATTGGAAGGACAGGATGCCAGCAAACTGCAAGTGTTTCATTCAAGGCGCATTAACTTGCGACTGGAACATTGCAAATCCCAACGGTCAAAGCTACAAAAACATAACACATGGAGTGCTACCTCGAGGGACCGCTTTCAATTTTTGCCTGTCACTCGTGTTCACCCAGCCGGCCTTCAGTACCTCCACTCGTGTTGGGGGAAAATGTTTAGGGGCGCACCTCATAGAAGCGCAGGAGCGCAAGAGCTTGGGCGAGTGCAAGATGCAACGATGCATGTGTATAGATTAACATACACATGCGGTGGATCTGTGGCACAACTCCGGAAAAACATGCGCTCGTGAAAACCGACAGACACACGCGCAAAAAACAACAAGAAGACAAACACAGTGATGGATAATTGTCTGGCAGTCTTGCGCTTGTAAGATTTAGTACGAAGTGTCAAACCGTCCAAACGGATGGTAGTTATGATCTTGCCTTGCTCAGAGAGAGGGCCGATGAAAGGATCCGTCATGTTGAGAAACACCCATGGCATCCTCTGTTAAAAATCCCACCCGCTCTCGCTGGCTCCACACAAGAAGGGTCTCTAAAGCTGATGTTAATGTGCAAAGCTGACAACATCACCGGACTTTGTCCGTGGTGCTGCTGACAAAATAAGGAGCAAACGGGGAAGGCTGCCAATATTGCACCTCAAACATTAAAAGTCGTGGCAGCGCATCCTCAGCGCAGCGCGTCTGGGGAAAAATGGGGCCCTAGGTTTCTCTCTGTTCTCAATGGGAAGGCATGCCCAAAAAGCGAAAACCAGTGGGCCACTGGGTATCTGGGTGACTCTTCGAATTTCGGCACTTGCCCAAAGGACCAGGAAGCGAAACTTCCTTGATGTTGGTGCAAGCAAGTAGAACATGCTAAACATGTCAACCCCGGAACAGCACCAGCATTTCACAGCAGGGCACAGGCACCATTCATGGGTGTACAAAGTGACGCTTGCGATACCAAAGTTGGATTCCCATGCCCGTGACTAAATGATCACTTTCAAGAGAATCTCCCCTAGAACCACAGAAATTGGCAACCCGACACCCGAAACTTTCCACAAGCATGCCTGTTCACACAAGGGGCAAACATTACAGGGCCAAGCCGCTTGAGCCGCGGGATCCCAGCAACCGGAATATTGGTTGAAAGCTCCAAATGGCTGCAAAGGTCAAGTGGGCGATGTGCAATTGCTTAACACCACGCCAAGAAGGCTACCCTTAAAAAGGCTGACCCATGTAGTATGCATGTTCATACCAACAATGAAATTAACAACAATGGCAATGATGCTAATAATGACATGATAATACAAATACCAACAACATATATATATATATATATGACATATGAATATAATATTACTACTGCATGTATTGCATATACGTACAAAGCACAAAATATGTATGCAATAATGCGAATTTAATACAGCATTGCATGACTGTCTTTTGCCCACAAGGTTCACAAAAGGCCAAAGACACACAGCAAGGGCCCAGGCAATCTTCTCTGGATTTGTGCCGACACGCTTGGTTTCACCATCCACACGCGTCCTTGGCATCCAGTGCTGCGACACACATGGCGACACGATCGCCTGGCAAAGAAAACTGCTCGACTCTGCGGGATGTTTGGCCGTGGTAGCAAACGGTCAAACAACTTGGCTCCAAGCCGCTAGTTCTCGAAGTTGATTTCACAAATGATATTTCTAGTTTTGCCGAACCCAATGTCCCGGTCGTCGGTGGTTCATGTAAGGTCGGCTGCAAAGAGTGAATGGACTTGGACTTGGCAACGGGTCTCCAAAGAGGTGCAGTGGAACATGGCTACACTTCACTTGGGGAGCAAAAGGCAAGTGCTGGGCATTAATCTCCTGCATGTGGGTAACCACTATAGGGGGTCCCTTCTATTTGCCGGTTTGGTGCCACCAACAAATGACATATAGCCGTGCCTGTGTACCGTTTAAACACACACACACAAACAAACAAACAACAAAGCAAACAAACAAGCAATCAAGCAAGCAAACAAACAAACAAAAAAAACACACACACACACACACCAAGCCAACAAACAAACAAACAAACAAACAAACAAACAAACAGACAGACAGACAGACAGACAGACAGACAGACAGACAGACAGACAGACAAACACACAAAACCAAAACCAAAACAAACACATAAATAACAAACAAAAACAACAAACAAACACAGGACGATTGACAATCACCGTGGAAACCTCATTCTGCCCTCAATCAAACAACGTCTTGTGATTCTGGTCCAAATTTAGTGAACCTCACAAGGTAAAGTCATTTTACCGGAGATGCCAGTTTTGTGAATCAAGTTTCCCACACTGCTGGAGTTACTTTTCCCAAACAATGTACCGAGCGCGCGTGAATGGCCTCGCCACCATCTGTCCCTGCTCGACTGACCCAGACTTGTTCCTGCTCGACTGACCCGCAGGAACAGGTGGTGAGCTCAAAAAGGTGACAAGTTGTGAGGCAAGCAAAACCAAACAGCAGCACTAAAGACACTCGAATGACCTGTCGATGTTGTGACCTGCCTTAAGCTCATGACAGCTGCTGGATTGTTGGCAGTTCTAGGGGTACCTTCCCCATTCTTTCCAGGGATCCTTCTTTTCAGGAAACCATCAAACACCCGGGAGAAACAGTTGGCTTTTGAAAAGAACGCTGGTTGAAACAGGGATCCCTACATTATTACGTTATACGCCTGAACATTGCCTTGTAAATGGTAGTTTCCCTTTATTTTGGTGGAAAAATAACCATGTTTCAAATGGTTACAAAATGTATCTTTTAAGGAGCCCTGTTGAAAAGAATCGAAACGGAACCAACCCCTAGAGCAGTGCCAGGGGCGGAAGCCTAATCTAGGTCCTCCAGTAGATAGATTAGAATAAGGGTAGCCTTTTTTCTGTAGTCTATTGTAGTAGGGGAACCCTTCCCAAAAAAAAGAAACGGTAAAAGGGCACTACTGGGAACCTAGTAATGGCTCATCCCCTGCCTTGGATGGCCTGCTGCACTGGCTGCCGGAACATCCTCGGCCGGTCGAAGGAGCGGGTGAAACGGTGCACCTCTCCATTTGGAAGCCAAGAAAATGTCTGTTGGTCAAAATTAGGTATCCGAAATGGACCCCTGGCTTCTGGAACGATGGATTAAAACCTGTGGTCCCCTGGCGGAATAATTTTGACCCATACCCAAATGGCACTGAGCAGGGAAGTTTGGCTTAAAAAAGGAAGACCACAACTTATTTTAGGGTCCCCCTATTTGGAGACCATGGGTTCTACTAGGATGGTGATAAAGCTGCATATAGGTCTTAGATCAACCTTTATGAAGCCAGCAGAACCACCGAGGAAAATGGCCCACGCGCGTCTTGGGCGCTGCAGTTCATGGGGGTTCTCGAGCGAGGGAACGCCCACCCGGTTGTTTGGGAGTCGAATAGTTTGTGTATTTTGAGTCTCCACATCTTGCCCTTTCAAAGAGCCTACGGGCTTCGCAGGTAGAAACATGTGAGTGTGTCTTGTTGAAAGGGTACCACTTGCGTGTGGTTCTTCAAGGGCAACCAAAAGGGAAACAACCATTTTGCGGGGGGTTCCCTAAAACAGACACACCCATGTTATTACTGAACTTCACGACCTGCTAGTTTGCGAATGGCTCTCTCAAAAAACCGACGAAAACGCAAGGACAACTTGTCTCGGCCCCAATGCCGCCGAATGAGCCACCATGCCTTCACACGGTCCTTGCGTACCCTCCAGGAAAACAGCAAAAACATGCAACTTGATAGAAGCCAACATAATTTTGAGTGTGACGGAGTCCATTCATAATCTCCGCCACGATACTTGATAGAAGCCACGACTAATTTCCCAAAGCTACTGTGTGTGTGTGTGTGTGTTTCTGTCCCTGCCTACCCTTTTGCCTGCTTGTTGACTTGCTGCTTTTTCCATCAATCCCTCTGCCTGCCTATTCATGCATGCATTTATGTGTGCTTTTTGGAGGCTTCCTCACAAGATCTTCAAGAGCGCAATTAATTATCATTGCTTTGACATGGGTGCTCAAGGAAGCATGGTAGGTGCAAGCCTCAACGTGTCCGCAAATGGGAATCTAACACCCAACTAAACACTCCCGCGAAATCCAAAGAAAAATAAACACACAAACTCACAGAAACCACACGCACAAGAAGCCTCAAGAACCCTCGAACCACAAGAACACAGCAATCAAAAGGGTCAAACCGTAGTTGCTGGTTTGATTTGCCAGTGTTTCCTCAGAGGGCTCTTTTCCATCCGAGATGCTGAAGGCTGCGCACCTTCTTGTTCTTGCCCGCCTAGCCAAAGCTCTCTGGTCATCCGAGCCGAAAAATCCGAGGTCGAAAACTCCGAGTCCCGAGTGGCTCCTTTTCCAACCAAAACGATTTGCTGGTGCTCAGTAGGGAATGAGGGAATGACCCTTGTAAATCATCCCCTATGGTTTTCTTTTAGGGAATCCCTATAGGTTCATTCCCTCATTCCCCACTGAGCACCAGCAAGAAGAGACAGGGAATCGAAGAATCTCGCTGTCCATGTTAGCAGGCACTCAGCAAGCCGCAACATGAATCAAGAGTCCATTTGGATTTTAAAAAGAAGCTGGCCCCTGTTTATAGGAAGCGCTTCTGGAAAGGGCCGGTGAACTGAATTTGATGTTCACTGGACAAAGTCCACTGGAACCCTGCGTCCAGAATCCAAGCACTTCAACGCCATCGGCTGCCAGTGCAAGTTAAATGTATTGCAACCAAGCAAGGGAAGAAGGCACAACACAGCTAAGCAAAAGTGTAGGCATGTACCACACGTATTCGAATGTGTGCGTCGGAACTGCAGAGTATGCCAATTATGCAAACGTCAATGCATAATTCATACACCAATCGTTTGAGCATCACGTCTTTGTTATCGTAGCGCAATCAGCTATTATGTATGTGTAAGTGCGAGTGCGACTCATATTTTTAGTGACGTTAGAGCTTCGGCGACTGAGACACGAAAAGCAGACTTACCTCAGTACGCCCAGCTTTGGTCGGTGCTGGTGTTTGGCTATGCATGTTTGCTTCGTAAATTCTCTGTCTCCGAGCGTGCTTGGATTGGATCATCGCGTTTAATTCTTCTGGTATCCCAGGGATGTCATGTAGTTTTCCCCAAACAGCTGAAAGCTTTGGGGTCTCAGCCCAGATAGGCTCCGTGGTGGTCCGGGGTGGCCCTGAGGGAAGGTTCCACGAGGGTTCCACCAGAGTTCCACCAGGGTTCCACGAGGTTTTGCGAGGGCTGCGGGGTGGTGCGAGCACTAAAAGAGCACTGCATGCTGTTGGGAATATCACTTGAGCTTATTCTCGGACATGGCGTAATCTTCTTGGAATCCGCGTATCAAACAGTTTGCTCCATCCCTGAGGCATGCTTGCTCTTTCTGCCACTCAAGGCGTCAGTCTCTTACGCGTGGGAGACCTAGTGCACACTAAAACCGCCCGGCAGTTGCGATTGCTAGTACACCATCTCGAGCACATGCCAGTATGCAGTGGCTTTGTAACCAACAAACACAATAACTACCCTCCCTCCCACGTTGCCATGGCAGCTGACAGGGGTCCCATCAAGACCACATTGATCGATCTTCCAGATACCAGCCCACAAGTATGCTAGTGGGAGAAAGGGCAAGTAACAACAAAGCATTGCAACAGGGCTGCCAGCAAAACGATCTTAGGCAGAATCAGGAGCTCAAACAAGCGCATACGGAGGGATCATACGATGCCCAACCATTGCCAAAGGGGCCGCCCGCAACATGTGTATACACCATATATACATACTGGATATGTATACAACATGTATATATCTATATACGCACTATTGGATATGTACACGATATATATATATATATGCATTCCTGTGTATGTCACTTAGAACGGAGCACGCCTCCTTTTCTCTCGCCGACTCGATGCAATGCAGTTCCAAACCCTACCATAGGGATTTGCTTTGGGATGTCTGTCAGGCCTCGCCTCCTGACAGACGGATGCCTTTGGCATCATGGTCAGAGACCCTTCGTGGACACCCTGTCCAGGAATCTCCCTCCCGACCATGCCAAAGGCATCAGCGCGCCCTGCGCACACCCCAGCCCGAAAAAGTCGTGGGCCTTCAAACGGAGAGATTGCCCGAACGTCGGGTCCCTCCGCAGGGTGGGTGGGTGGGACTCAAAAACAGCCACTTTGGGATCAAGGCCACTTGAGTCCCAAAATGGCAAGACATCAAGGAATGATCAATGCATACCCAAGCCTACCAAACTCAATGCATTCACACATTCCTGTGTATGTCACTTAGAACGGAGCACGCCTCCTTTTGTCTTGCCGACTCGATGCAATGCAGTTCCAAACCCTACCATAGGGATTTGCTTTGGGAGGTGGGAGGTCTGTCAGGATGCCTTTGGATCATGGTCAGAGACCCTTCGTGGACACCCTGTCCAGGAATCTCTACCCCAAAGCACTTTACAGCAACTGCAGCACCAAGGCGGGCAGCGGTAACTGCCACAACTCAAACGAAAAAAGGCGTCTGCCGTGGAAAAACCATTAGCTCTGTGCCATGGATCTGCCCGGCCAAGCCGGCTGATGGCGTCCGCCCAGTTGCTCTTACTGGGGACCCACTCCCAGTAAAACCAAGAGCCAAGGGCGAAGAGCATGATGTGGATCTGATGGACCATCAAATCCAGGTCAGGGCTTCGGAACGCCCACGAACCAGGGCCATCAGGGAGGCCACATTGTCAATATACAAAATTTCCCTCCTGTCCCTGAAGCTTTGCGCCCTCTCCACTAGAGCATACTGAACCATCAGCATCTCCAGCTGGGCGATCTGGTGGTCGCCCGGGCTCCACAAGTCATACAACGTTGGCGGGAGGAACGCCACAAAGCCGTCCCGGCCTTGGGCATGTGTGTCAACCCACACAATCAGGAATCCACCGGCCCCGCACCTCGGGGCCTCCAAAGCCGCGTCCGATGCGGCAAAGAAGCGCGGTACCTCGCGCCAGGTCACCTCGACCTCCCGCATGGGCTTGCTGCGAATGACGGCCTCCAGCACGTCGAGGCACCCTCTGATTGCAGGGGTAAGCTGAGTCTCCTTCTCAGCCTGCCGGTTCTTGATGGCGTTCAGCCCAACTCGAAGAAATTGGCCAGCCCGTAGAGTTTGGATGCCTGCCCTGAGGCAAACGATCGTTGTCCCGGCATGCCCGGATGTAGCCCATCAGCTTCTCCTGCAAACGCTCGCGAGCCCAGAATCGGACAACTCCCTCGGTGTGCACCGTGCCCAAATGGGGTGAGGGCCTGGCATCGTCGAAGTAAAGGGTACAAAGCACGTACACCAGTCGCCTGGCCAGACTCTCTACCAGCCGTGAAAACCGATTGAAGGATGTGACCGCAAGCGGTAACCCAAAAAGAAGTCCGCCATAAACCTGCCCCACTGGTGATGGAAGAATGCCACCACGCACCCGAGGGACTCCTCGTCCCCCATGGGTGCATGTCTGTAGGCATTTGGCCAGTCTTCTCCACCCGACTCCCAACCATTAACCGTTGCCTTGAGACTCTGCAACCTGTGCAGCTGTCATGTGCCTCATGACAGCCGCGACGTGTGCCGCCGGCCTCAGCGGTGTACAGAAAACGAGTTTGTTGGAGTCCTGGGAGCGCTCAGATTGTCCGCCGGCGTCTGCGTTGTCAATGATGCGCTTTTTGCCTGAGGATTGCACTCTCATGCAGCGTGGAATTAACCGATACGGTCGCTGCTGAGGACTGCTTATAACTGCTGTTGAGTGAGAGGCGGAGTGCAAAAGCCAGCCGCCGCATCAGCTTCGGATTGCTCCAACAGCACCTCATCATCCTTGCCTGCTCGCAAAGTTTGCAATATGGCGCGGTTGTGCCCCACCATCCTTCCAAGACATCCCGCTGCGAGATCACGCACGCTGGTTGCTGCGGGAAAACACCATAATGCGGCGCGGCGCGAAGCCAACCGCTGGCAAACCGCGCACAAGTCCAAAACAGTACGAGGTGTCAGCCCAGGACTGAAGGACGATGAGCAAGGCAGTAAAGCCCAAATCTCGTTTTGCAGTAACTCTCTGGACGGCTTCACTCTGGAAAGATCGGAGGTGACGGTCCACTGGCTGCCATCTGCTTTGCAACCGAGATGCCGCAAACTCTAGGTCCTCATCCAAGACTGTCTCTTGCTCCATCGGGAGAGGATGCCGGCTGATGGCCATTGCCTGGCTGAAGCGGTCATCGTCCGACAGGCCAAAAGGGAGCCTTGGTGCTGCTTTGTGCGACAAGGAACCTTTGGTCACTCGCTGCCAAAGGCGAACCCCCGCTCCGGCCAAGTGCGGACCTGACGGCCCATCCCATTCATACCCTGCCTCTCTTCGCCAGCTGGGGAAGGCAGAAATCGGGGTGCAGCTGATCAAGTCCTCTACCATGGGGAACTGAAAGTTGTGGAACCAGTGGTCTGGGAAGAGTTTGCGAAAAGCTAGCACCAAAGCCTCCTGACTCCACTGTGGCACGCTTGCTTGGGCCTGACCCAGCATTCCTGCCAACAGGACTCGGCGACCTTGGGGCGCTCGCACCTTGCGCCTGGAGCCCCAGTGGAGTAGAGGGCGAAGCCGGGTGCGTAGCCTGGAAAACCAGGCCTGCTAGCAGATCTGCTTCACACAACTGGTCCCAAGCACATCACAAGCCAAGGCCGCAAGGTCGCAGTTCAAGTCGGACTGCAGGATGTGCTGGATATACAAAGCCGCCCGCTCATCCTCCCAGCAATCCACCCCTGGGTCCATGGGGACGCCCAGGTACCCACCGGCAGGCGATGCGAGTGGTGGTTTGGTCACATAGATACAGTCGGACGGGAGCCCTGTCTCGGTGAGCACCTCCTCTCTCCTGGAAAAGGCGGGCTGCTTCTTGTGGGCAGGGGGTTCGCAACCCCAGCTGGACTGCCAACGGCTCCATGGCCCATTCCCTCACAAAGTCCAGCCAGTGCTCCCTCCTACCTGTGCACTCAGGTTGAGGCATGCGCGGCACGTGCAACTTGGCGCGTCCCATACGCACTGCCCACCAGGAAGCCGCGACCGCAATGGCAAAAGAAAGAGGCGCTGTAGACTCAGCTTCTTCATGGACGGGAAGTACCTCTTCCCTTGCACTGTCGTCGGTGTCCAGCCAGGCTTCGGCCAGCTCGGATCCCTCTGCATAGGCGTCCTCCTCAGACAAGAACGCATTCTGGAGGACCGCGAACCGCGCGGGCCAAAGCCCGTACCTCGGGCGGGGCCGTCCCCGAGCACCCAACGGCTGCGCGCCATCTCGATGCCCAAAAGCTCGAAGGCATCATGGTGTTGATGGTATCGGGCCCAAACGATTGAAGCGCTCTCACCATCTCGAGCCAGGACATGCCGCCGCGTCCAGGTGCCAATCCACGGGAATCTGAAACCCCCAACACGGTCCCTGCACCTTCGACACTGTTCCTCAGTGCAAGGCAAGAACAAAATGGGGGGCAACCCAGGGACCTCAAAAGCACTCTCCCCGTCACCCGGGGGGAGATGCAGCACCATCCCAACTGACTGCCACAGCCGAAGAGTGGCGACCCGGTCCCCCCGGGCCTGCACAAGGATGATGTGCTGCTTAGAGTCCCACCACGCCGCTGTAGACAGCATCCGAAGCTCCGTGTGCACCGCCACATGGATGCCAGGACGCAGCAGAGGCATGGTGAACTGACTCAAAAACAGCCACTTTTGGATCAAGGCCACTTGAGTCCCAAAATGGCAAGACATCAAGGAATGATCATTGCATACCCAAGCCTACCAAACTCAATGCATTCACATATATACTATACTGCATTGCATGATTTCACGGGATCAAAACCCATCCGTGCCTCGCCCACCTGAGGCACCACAATGCCCATCTGAGGCTTCACGGTACCCGAGAGCACCGTACCTGACGCTGTGTGGGGGGGTGGGGGGGTGGGACAGGGGGCGCGGGTTGGGTTCTGTTGAATTACCTGGACCCTGAAACTACCCAATTGTAATACACGTTGCCCCCAAAATGACCCCTGAAACATCCTCAAACTGGCAATAGAAATGGCTTGCCCCCAAATTTGTGTGTTTGCCAAGTTTGAAGGAATGTTTGAGGGCCCAGGGCAACGGGTAGCCAATGGGTTTCCCCAGTAAAAGACTGACAGCAAACCGGCTGGTTCCTGCTGGGTGCAAAGTGCCATCCTCAAAGCTACAGGAGCTAGATGGTGACTTAACGGGGTTTCCCACCCGCGCCTCCAAATGTGCTTCTTCCTTGTTGCAAGTTGCCACTCCGCAGTGAACGCAGCGGCGCCAGCAAACGAACTCGATCCGGGGGGGGAACCTTCAAATTCCCTCCAAATGTTTGCTTTAAATAACCTGGAGTCAGTTTCACGCACCCAAAATGACCATTGACTTGTTAGAGGCATGTCCTTGTGGGGTTCCATGTTTATTTGCAGCGGAGTACATCAGTCATGATCGGTGAGCGTCTGAACAAAGGACATACTCTTTCTCCCACAATGGAAGCACGATCGGAGGGGTTCGGAAGACTACCATCCTCTTGAAAAGGCCTGTCAACTTCCATTGCAAGTTGGTATCCATCCCCTTTGGTTTCCTGTTGGATGACCCCCATGGGTTCTAACAAAAGATGTCCAATGCTGCACACCTGACTGTCCTTGGGTGCAAACGATCTTCACCTATTAGAACCCGCTGGGGCCCCCGGGTCAACAAAAAAGCGCCCAGGGATTCAACTGGCGTACCTGTGTTTTTGCGCAAAGGGTCTGTTGCTTGCCCATTTCACGTTGGACAACCTAAACCGGAAACTCGCCATCAGGGTGAGGCATGAGGAGCAATGCAGCAATACTGTAGCAAGAACAACCCACAAACAATGGATTGCAGGAAACAACATGACACCAATTTGCAACTAATTGCAGTATGTGCCACTTCCACCATTAAAAACTTCTGTCGTTGAGAGAAGCTATCGGTCGTCCTGAACACGCTGTCAATAAAAGCATAATCAAGTGAGCCCTGCCACAAGCGCGCCCTTCAGAACAAAGCCGTAACATGTTCTTAGTAGGGCCTTGCACATGCGGGACAGTCTATATTCGTTGAGCCGTTGAGTCCTCAACTAACGGGTAAGCACCACTCCCCTCATTTCTTGGTGGAAAACTGGTGAGTGTGAACCATGTCATTCCTCTTACAACGCAAATACTAAAACATGGCACATTCTGAATAATAGGGGCGGTTGCTCAAAACGTGCGCCCCGTGTGTCCTCCCCAACCAACAAAAGACTACCAGTGATCAAACGCTCGTATCCAGAGTAAGCATGCCAGTCGGTCGACCCTCAGACTGGTCAATTCAGTCAACATCCTACATCACCAGAATGTCCCCAAATGAACCACGCCTGAAAGCCTCAACTTTTGCAAGCTGCTCCAAACTCTGCTGAAAGAGTTCCGTCACTCAGATGGCCTGTGAGCACAGTGCCTTGGCCCTTGATCGCAAAGGCGTGATCAAAGGCGAACCTGAGTCGCGCTTCAGGCTGGCCCAACTCTGTACGCCAATAGGTTGGACCCTCAAAGGTGGTTTTCCTGTTGGTTTCACTGCAATACCAGCAAGAAAGCGGCAAACCAGACACACCCATATTTACAACTAAATCGCAATGAACCTCCCTATCTACAAAAAGGGGACATTCGGACTGACCCTGCACAGCCTATAAGACATTACACCTTCGAAGGAATGATCCGCCTGGTGCCAGCAGCCTGGATCGGAGTTTTCTTCTCTGCCTTCGAAACAAAGAGTCCTTTCAACAAAAATGTTGGTTGGTTGGTTGGTTCGTGGGTTGGTCGGTCGGGCGGCTGGCTGGCTGGCTGGCTGGCTGGCTGGCTGGCTGGCTGGCTGGTTGGTTGGTTGGTTGGTTGGTTGGTTTGTGGCCAGCACTTGTTAAATTGTCATCTTTTGGAAAGACATGAAAAGTGATGCTTTGAAGTCGACATGCTGCTGGCCAGTGCTTTCACATGCGCCCAGACGTGCAGGCTCTAGGTGCTCAGGTGCCGGCATAAAGGGCCCGGAGGGATCTCGCTGAGGTATCGCCAGGGTGTTCTTGATGACCTCCAAACAGGAACGCAAAGGTTCTTTCAGAGGTTCTTTCGACTCACTTCTCGAGTAGACTGGTCAGAAAGCCACTTGTTTATGTACACTACATTTGTCTTTCCAACAAGTATCAAGTCACGAAGCTCAGGAAGCGAGTAGATGTTTCTCATGTCATTAGCCTGCATGGTATCCCAAAATCCTCAAGGGTTTCCAATTCAGACCAGGCCAAAAGAACACCCTACGCATTCTGGGCAAATTGATGTACGCCTTCACAAGCCTTATAAGAGGAACCTTCTTCATGGGGGAGCTCGTGTGCACCCCCCCACCTCAGGTAGGTGAGCTCAAATGATTATGGGCAAAGGAGACTGTCCTTCCAACAAAAAACAAGTTAACGGGCATGTCCTTTTTTAAAAGGGACCCAGAAAATGGCGAATTTCCCTGTGGTTTCCTTGTCAAACCATCCCAAAACGAGTACCAACTAAAAAAAGACACACCCAAACGGACCTACCTGCCAGAAGACTGCGGACAGCAATCGCAAGCATTCAAGACACATCTCGCTTGTGCAGACTCAAACAAAGCCAAAGGGCTGTCTTATGTGCTGCTGTGGACATGTGGACCTGTGGACCATCGAGAAACCAGGTCGAAACCAATGCTTTGGACTTTAAAAAGTTGATCGGAACATCAGCACAAGTGCCGCCAGCCTAGACTTCATTGAACCCGCGCTATAGTTGACGTCACTTCACATATGGTATGAGCATGGTATTCCAAAATCTCCGACTGGCGGACTCCGAAAAAGGTCAGTGGCTCCCTAAACCATGAATGTTATGGCTCCAAGCGTCTGAATAAACCTCTGAAAAACTGGGCTAATGTTCAACAAACCCTAAACTTAGGATTTCCATTCGTCGGAAATGCAAGATGGCACCCAACGCTGAGCCAGCTCAGCTGTTTCCGTCGCAGGGACCAAACCCAACGGGTTATGAATTTGTCCTCTTATGACCCTTTCAAACGGACCACACACTTGCTGCACATTTTGACCGAGCCTCATTTCTGGGCTGTCCTCTGATCCCCCGCTACAAGTTTAACTTTTAGTGGGTTAAATGCAAATCCCCACTAAACGCTGAAAGGCTAAAAAGCTAAGGGGATGGCTGGGAGCCAAGATTTGCACCTGTTGCTATGCTCTTTTTCTGTGGCCCGGACAGTGATCAGCTCATCAGACCCGATCGGATCCGAGCCGTCCTCTCTGGCATGGCGACAAAGGAAAGGGACAGCTGCAGATGCTTGTTTAGCTGGATTTTTGGGTTGTTTCACATTAGTTTTGGTATTTGGTGTAGCTTAAACAAAAAGGATACTGGTTTGTTTGAACAAAAAAAGAAAAAGAACAACAGGCGAGAGGCAGCGAGGGGAGTCCACCGACGTGTTGGACATTTGCATCCACCATTGCTGCACCAGGCAGGTTTAGATGTACTTGCCCCCCGACCACCCTCTGGCTGTGTCATTGCCCCGATACTTGCCCCAAAAGATCAGAAAAGGAATGGGGTTGTCAAGGGTACTTAATAAGCATATTTGGTCCTCATAGGACAAGCAGGTATGTAAGCATTTATCTTGTTTTATTTTTTTGAGGGGGGGCCCGCTCCAGCCTCAGGCTCTGGGGCAGATTCTGCCCTTCCGGGGTAAGGTCGGGCAAGCTTCTTGCTTGTTGAAGCCACAACTCGGCGTCCCTTTCATTGGTGGTTGGATTCGAGTTTCCCCATTAAACAGCTTCCCTCTCATTGCTGGTTTGGGGGTGTATCGGCTTCTTGGTTGATTGGTTTACTCACTGCCGAACGAGTGGATGGGCCAACAAAAGTCCGAGTTCATTATTACCACTAGTTTGGTCTTCCCAAAAAAATACTAAAGCCCAAAAGTCAGGGAGTGAGTTTGATTGGTGGTTTGGAGCCAGGTGGTTTGGCGGTTCAGGGATTTGTCCCATTTACCCTCTACAAGAACCAGGCGAACAAGAACCAGGAATCCAAACCACTAACCCAAACCACCAACTATTGGACACCTGACCAATTGCTCAAACAACCTGCTTGTATGCCATTTTCCAAATTGGTCCACTCATTCCATGCTGCCAACTTTGGGTCATGAGTGCCATTTACTTCAACCTTCCACTTTCCATTGAAGGGGGAGGGGTGAGATTCAATGAGTTCCCAGTCCTGCGGATGCGCCGACACGCAAGCAAAGGGCAGGTTCTCGCCGAACTTTGTGCGAGCAAAGGTCTGCGCGCGAGGGCTGCAAATTGCCAAGAGCCAAAAGCAAAGTAACAGAACTTGGCCCGAATCTAGGCTACACAAACAAAGTATTGAAGGGGCAGTATTCTTATGTAGCTTGCTATGAATCTCAGAGGAGTTTTACCCCCAATCACCTACTGGGACCCATGGGCAAAAGGTATCCGATAAATAGTTTGTACCAGCTCTTCCTCAAATGAAATGCGGTGACGGTTTGGGCGAAGAGAAAACCAGGTCCACTCATCATCGGTCCACAGCGGCTGCTGGAATAGAGACAGTACTTCCAAAGCCCAAATAATTTCCAGTAACTCTAAGAAAGCCACTGTTGCAAGCAGCCAAGGGTACCACATTCATCTTTGGTTAGTCTTGACCCGAAGCAACTCGAGGTAGAGATGTTCTCGGGAGACGCCAACAAGGCCGCTTCTCACTTCTTTGAGTCGAAACTTGCTGTGTACCGCTTGAATGGTCCGGCACGGAACGGGAGAAAGAGATTCTCAAACACCTCTCAACTAGGCTGGAATTAGAACCCCAGCAAACAAATATCTTGTTTGCCTGGGTTTTTCGGAAAACAAAGGGACTCATTCTGGGGAAGTCAAGAGGGAATGGTTTAACCCGATGGATCCCAAAGAGGTGAACCCAGGGAACCCAGGGACAAAACGTGGGGCGCGGGTTCGCGGACGAGATCCAAACTGTCCTTCACACGTCACCTCTTTCAGGCGAAAGGTTTGCCCCAGCAAAATGCAACAGCTCCAAAAATGAAGGAAATGGGTGTGTCTTTGTTTAGGGACCCTCCAAAATGGAGATCCATTCCTTTGGTTTAAAACAGACCAAAGGGGGTACCCCCAAAAAAAAAGTATTTTAAAAAAAAACGCCCAAATGGACAACAATCCCAATCACCAAAAACTAGGATTGATGACCTCCGTCTGTTCAAGGCACCATTGCTGGTGTGCTGCAAACCATTCCGAACATTGTGTCTTGATGTTCTCTAAAATCTGTCGGTCTAGCCCAGTGGTGTGTGTTTGGGTTGGTGGAAGACTTTTGAAGGCTGATGATATGTTGGGCATTGTGCTCAGCAGAAGCTGTTTGCACTGTTTTACCCTATGTTCGCAGTTGGAACAGACGGCAACCTAGATCCAGCAAGCGATAGACCAGGCAACTTCAACAAAACTGCAAGGATTGCCTGGCTCTTGCATACATAAAAGGGGAACGGCAAAGACGGGACCTTCTTCGAATCAGCTGATGTATTTCCTGTAGGTGGACAGGATATTTAGGTTTGTTGGTGGGAGTGCGATCAATTTCCCACCTGAGAGCATCATCAACATCTTGTTCTGCCCGGTTGTAGCTGTAATACAATCGGCTGCAAGGCCCAATCTCCTCGAATTCCAAACGCGTTCGGCTTGAGGCCCTCACTTTTCGCAGCTCCTTGATGACTTTGTCCAGGATCTTCTTCCGCTTGTCCTGAAACGTTGCATTGAGCAATCAAGAGAGATAACATTGTGGGACGCAAACAGCGGATCATGTGTGCCATCAAAATAAAGCACATGGAAAATTCAGTGAGCCTGTTTTTGCGGGACAGTTGATTGGTGTCTCCCAATTCCCCTCCCAATAGAACCATAGAATGCCGGTATTTGCTTGACCAAACCTGATGTCATGTGGTTCAGTGTGTCAGCTCTTTGATGGAAACTGGGCTGCCTCTCTGCAGGGAGGCTATCCAAGTACAGGCAAGTAGTCAGTCGTTATAAAGCAATGTCCTGAGCTTGTGATCGCAACCTGATTGTGTAATGAGGCTTGCAGTCTCACGGATTTTGTTTAACCCTCCCCCTAAAACACAGGTGAAGGGATGCCCTCGTGCCTGTATTGCTGCCTGTTCTGTGTTCAATCACTGTTCGGATTAATTTCAAGCCATGATCACAGGAACGTGGACGTGGACAAAACACGAGTCATAGCCTGCTCTGCCTGGAGGCGACATGGAACTGCTCAGTGACAACTGTCGTCCCCCCCCGGCCCCCGCGCCCTGAAGCAACCAAAACCATCATTGCCATACTATATCATTCATGGTTGTCTATTGGACATGCAGCGCAGAATCCAAGCCTCTTGCCAGGTCAACGTAAACTGGCTGAGGGATACTTTGTATATCGCGCCGTATGACCTTGCAGGTGTCTCCACGTGCACTCAGAGAGGCCAAGAATCGGCAGGAACCATGTCGACCTTATTGAGGATGACCACCTGCACGCAAAGACAAAGAGTAAGTTAGCACACACACACACACACATGCATGTGAACTTCATTAGGAGTCATGTAGCCACTTTTGAGCTGGGTCCTCCTAACATTCATGGCCACATTTTGGCAGAGCCCGGGGAAATGGGCATTGTGCCCTGCTGTGGTTGGAGGATGTGCGCCTCTTCTTTGGCCTATCTTTCCCAACTGCCTCCGCCATCACGTCAGTGGTTAACATGGCCCTGCGTCAAAACTACAATGTCACAAGCCGTTTCGGCGGGGGGGGGGTCCACAGGAAACCGACTTCGAATTCAACACTGCATTCCGCGTGCAAATCCCGCCTTCTTGACAAATACCAGTTGAACGCCCCTTACAAGGGCGTTTTTCTTTCTTCCTCATTAAGGGTCACAGGGTGAAACACGCCTTGAAATTGGGGTTGGTGGATTCTAGACAGCCAATATACGAATTCCTAAGTCTTGACCATGGCGCCTGCGAAAACAACTCCGCTACCTCAGCTTTGGTTCTGCTCGTTGGTGGCGGTGCCTGTTTTTCGATGGTAATTACCCCTTTTGGGCGGCTCTGAAGGGGAACCATAGGGACAACCCGCGTTTTTTTGTGGGGTGCCGGATCTAAGAACACACTCATTTGGCTGTGGCTCAAAAAACCGGTACCAAAATGGAACCCTGGTAAGTGGAAACATGGACCAACACCTGCGTAAGCCCTCCTGTTTAATTTTGAGCCACACCCATTTATCGCCAAATGAGCCTCCGAAATGAGAGGTGCATCGTTAATTTCTCTTTGAACCACTCCCTATTTTGGACAGCCTTGATTCGTGAAATCCCAAGAACCATCTCAAAAGCAAAGGTGACCTTTCGGACAAATCCATGGGTTCCCCCGGTAACTGGGGCAACCAATCAAACTCCAGACCCATCTATTCTTAACCAAAACCGGAAAAGGACACCTGAGTCATAATCAAAGCCCAGTATTGACATGGTCGACCCAGAACCATGTAAAGAACTAAGAAAGCAGATATCCGCAGCTATTTATGGTTGGGATTGTCCCTTACTAATATTCACTTATCCGGGTTTTGATTGTGACTCACCTCTGGTCAACCAGACCCATTAAAATTCAGACCCATCAAATTTCAGACCCATTTGTTCTTTTGGGCCAAAACCTAAAAAGGACACCTCTGGTCAAAACCAAACCCCAAAGGTCCCTCGAGTTTCGCAAAAAACCGACAAACCGTCGGCCCCCGCCAGCTGGTTGGCCAGGATCTCCGCAACCACCATGCACTCCGCCGTCTGGGTCTGGATGCCCTGAGCGTCCGAGAAGTGAGTCTCCAGCCTCAAAAGGTGGAGTCCTTTACCTCAAGACTCCTGGTCCAGCCTTAGAATGCGGAGTCATTACCTCAAGACTCCTGGTCCAGCCTTGTGTGGAGTCTCTACCTCAAAAACCGAAGTTGTTTGTCAACAACCTTCATCTCACTTCAGCAAGATTATTTGCCATGTCTTGCCTCTTGAGGAGCTAGTAGCCTAAGGAGGTTTAGCTACTGTCACGCCAAGTAAGGGAGACCGCAATACCTGACAAAATGAGGAGTCATTACCTCAAAAAATTGTGGCATGCGTGGGTACATTCTCCCGTTTAAAGGGTCATGGAGAGTCCAGGCAGCAAAGATGCAGATGCAACGGCTAAGAGAAGGCTTGACCGATAGAAACACCAGCTACGGTTGTGTTGCTTACAAATAGTTGCTTGTTTCTGGTGGTTTCCTAGCTGGTTAATTAATTATCAATTATCAAACACGTTGAACTCGCTGGAAACAGTGGGACAGTTGCCCTAAGACTAGAGGGCCAAAAGATCAGCCGCGTGAGAAAACTAGGCGTCCAAAAGGGTAGGCTCTTTTTTTCCAGCATCAGAAAGGCAAAGATCGAGCGTCCCGTTCAACGGGTGCAACCCAGAACCTATCCAACGGGTCTGACAAAGGATGGCTTCATATCGTATTTCCAATGGGGTCGAGTGGATGGCCGGACAGTCGCCCCGCCTTGTTGACGTCAATCACCAAAGCGCACAGGTCGATGATCTGCGCTCCGCCTATTCCACGCAAACAAATTGCTTACGCCTTGTTTGCTGGTACATGGGGAAGACAGCATTCCAGAAAGTTGACAGCTTCAAAAGTTGACAGCTTCGAAAGTCACAACGTTTCAGTACAAGTGCAGCAAACAAAGTACACTGTGGTTCTACCAGTGCAAGTAAGTGTAGGGAACGAAGTCCACTTTGGCAGCAACTGGCTTCGGCATGACGGCTAATGAGTTGGCTGTCGGTTGGTCATCGGTTTGAGTATCGGTTTGCACGCTGCAAATTTCTGACTCTGCAAATCCTGGCTTACGACAACTTGGGCCTGATGCGCCTTCATGGTTTCTACGGGTATCGCTCTTGGTTGAGTTCCCCAGCACCGGTTCAGGTTTACAGGGTTCCGGGCCTGCAAACAAAGTTGGGGGACGGGCCCTTACATAATGAAAAGGCGCAGGAGTTCTTGTTTGGCCCATGTGAGTTGGTAGGATGTCGTTTTACTTCTGTGCTTGTTCTGAACCATGCTTGGTCTTCAAACTTCAAACTGACTGTATTGTTCGAAACATATGTTGCTTATTATAACGGTTCTGTCTTCATCTCGTGCGAATACAAGGCCACCCGTTGAAATATTGGATGCGCCATGTCACTGCGGAAGGGTCCGGGAATATCAAAGTGGCTGTTGTGACCCAGGCAAAGTGAAGCGGAGGTCAGACAAAAAGGCTTGGAGCAGGAACAAAAAAAGCAAGAAACGGGTCCCCCCGCCAGGAGTCGGTGATCAAACATGCTCAAACCACGATTCCTTCAACGTTTCAGCTACTGTATATCCTTTGATTTTGCTTGGAAGGGCTCTGAGCCGGGTCTGGTTGTTCATTCTTTAAGGGACTGAACCATTACTGTCGTTCTCCTGTAATCACCACTTACAGTAAATGGGCTTCATCAAGTAACAGCCTCGTTCGAAGTCTTTAGGCCCACAACCAGTTTAAGCTTTCTGTTTCCACATCACCTTGTGGACCTGGTGAATCATGGTGACTCAGTTCCTGTTTCTTCCCAACCCCTTTTACCCGGGGGGTCCCCCCCCGACCCCCCGAGCGCGCCATCGCTCCATCCCTCGGCCTATGACGGTGCGGATCAGCGAGGCGTGGCCCGGGCAATCCACCAGGCACCATTGGATCGCCTCATAGCCCGCCGCCTCGTCCGCGGGGAACGCGACGACCCAAAGAGCCGTGGAAAAGGGCGTCTGCGGAGTCACTAAATGCGCTGAAGTAGAAAAACAAATGCGGGCCGTGCCCGCTTGATCTGCAAAATAAAGGGCTACAGTGACTAGCCGCTCGCCTGGATGTGCTCAGGAGCATCCGTAACAAAGGACGAGAAGCCCAGGTCCAGCGTGATACCGCGCTCCTGCGCGTTTTTTGCGGGTGCAGCCGCCGCAAGGCGTCCATTGAGGGATATATGGGTGAACTCCAAATTTTCAACATGGGGGTTGATCAATATTCCAGGCCCCCAAATGAGCATAGGGTAACTGAGTGAGATAATATGTTTAGTGGTTTTCCCCAATGATCATCCCATGCAAAGGACCTTGACCTTTTCATCTACCCCCACATCGGGACACACTGACGCAAAACAGCAAGTTGGCGACTTTGGCTCAAACAACAAACATGACTGGGATTCTGCCGGAAGCTCTTTCGGCAGAATGTCATCATGGACTTCCAGGATTGAATAGTTGCTCTAGGCTCCCTAGCGCCATCGCCCAGCACGACCTACAGGTCCCGATTCTCTGATTCTCTGGCCATTTGCCGATGATCTGATTTTCAGAGCCCCGAACATTCGATTCGGAAGGGGAATCGGACTGATACCCGGGTGTTTTACAACTGTGTCACAGAGTCTGAAATCAGTCGCATTATGTCATAGTGAGATGTGGGCCACGAAGATAACCACAAAGATACTGCAGAGAGGGTTTGGCAGAGTGCTGGAAATGAAAGTGCAGGGAGAAGGCCCATGGCACACAGGAGGTACGAGGGCGAGACTGACCACTAAAGTGGCGCGTCCATGACACTCTCTGCTGGATAGGGCGGATCCCCTCCCAAATCTACCCTCTGCCTTCGGGCTCGTGCCGAAAGGGGCGCTTCAGTTGTTGCTGGTTGAAAGGGACAAGTCAGGAAATCATGCAAGGCAACAAACAAACACAAAGTCCGCCAGTGAATTCCCAGCCTCCATGTAGGGGTCTTTCTGGGGGGGCGCAAAGCACCAGATGTTCAGAATCCGACGATCCAATTTCGTCTATACACTCCCATCAACATTGACTGGAGGGTCCTCTGTTGAACCTTTTTCCTCTCAAAGGAAGCCTCCGGGTCCCATGCCAACGACAGCAGACCGCTCAATCGATCCACCCGACCTGGGATTCTCGACTCTTGTCCATCGAGGCAGTGGACGTGACCTGAGATGCGATGCTGCACCGCCCGGGGGCGCCAAAAGGTGACAGCCCAAAGCCGTCATCTTGATGTTGTCAACGTTCTTTTTCAACGTGATAGCGTAGAGCCATCTGCTTGGCGCAACCACATAGCTTGTGCTGGAAAGGGTCGTCTTGATGTACTTGAGCTTCTACAAGATGAAAGAGTAAATCCGTTTGATGATGACAACTAAGCAATCCGGAATGGCGAGAAGATGAAGGCAAGTGAGTGAGAAGAGCCTTTAAGCAGAGGGGGAAGAAGGCCTTCTTAATACTTCCAGTTGGACATCAACCTCTTGTGCTCATTGTGATTCCAGAGTGGTCACTGTTGGTGAGGACTAAGCTCAACTGGGTGCGTCTCTGTTTAGGGCACCCCTTTGTGTACGTCAAAAAGGATGTAACACGTGAAAGAGCAACCGTGTCTTGGGGGACCCTTGGGTCATAAGCAACCAAGAACATGTCATGGTTTTCTGTGGCTTTCTTTGGGGAACAAAAACACGTTCGCAGCATCGAAGAACGCCGATCGATGGCTCCGGCTCTCCGGCCAAGCTTCAGTGGAAAGCATCCGACCTGAGACGGCATCCATGGTCCATTGAGGCAAGGGCTGGGTTGCGGTCAAATAGAGCCTCAAATTAGAGGGGTGGTGGCTTCCTTGTTCCTTCTTAAACCACCCCATGCACAATGGTATGGCTGGCGCGTGTGGCTTTCTGAGTTGGCAGTAAGAAGATGGCCGGCGGAATTGACTTATAGGTTAATGGGGCTTGATTCACAGGTGTCTCAGGTGAACAGGGCAACCAGGCTAGACCTCTTGGCTTTCTTGGACAGGTCATTCTCCAGATCCTCAAATGACCTCAACTTGTGGTGTTCAATGGAACGCACAAGCGCCTGTCCATTTCCTCAGCATGCGGTACTTTCTATTGGCCTCCAAGCCACTGCCCTTGGCTTGACTGAGAGAGGCCTCCCTCATGTGGCTATAGTATCTATATGATGGTTGCATACCCTTAGTGGCTTCCGCCACCGCCACCACCAATTCCACCACTCTAAAGCCACCAACGGATGAACGCATGGGGCGGGCACCGTCCACCCACTAGCCCTTGTCCTCCGGAACCGTAAGGCGCTCATCTGACGAAAGGGTAGTGGTACCTACCTGCACAACCGGGATAGTCACGATGGTGATCTTGCAGCCTCCCCTACCCGGGGGGGGGGGGCGGGGGGTGCGCGGGAGGGCGAGGTGAGGTGGACATTAAACACTTCGATTGGGGCTGTGGGGTACGTTTGTGGGGCCATTTCAATGAAAAGTTGTTCAGGACTAGTCTACCGGCAAAACTTTCTTTTGGGGTCTTTGCGAGAACCCAATTTTCCAGGAGCCAAGACCGACCGCAACACACTTCCAAGATGTGGCCGGCTCCTCCATAATTAATGCAGTTCTTGCTTCAGCTCTTGATTTCGAACCCGGATTCCAAGGGGTGCTCCCCAAAAAGTAAATGATGGCCTTCCAAATGGGACATCCTACACATCAACCAGACCAGCGTGCTTCTCAACGCCGTGTTCCAAGATGACATCGTGTGACAAAACCCCACTTCCCGTTGCCGTCCAGGTTCGTGCGATGGCGGAATGGACCCGCAAATTGCGATGATCCCCTTGTTGAGCGAGCAAGCTATGAGCGAAAACACGCAACAGATAGCAGGATTTGTGTTCCCCCGAAAGTAAAGGGCCTGTTAGACGGGACACCCCATAAATCAACCAGACCAGTGCGTTTATCAATCCCGTGGTTTCTATACCATATCGTGCGGCCAAACCCCCGGTTCCCGTCGCCGCCCAGGTTCGTGCGGGAATTACCAGCAAATGCGAAGATCCTTTTTTAGCAGTAGCAAGCTATGGGAGAAAACACGCAACCAATAGCAGGTGAGGATTTGTGCCGCGCGAGCCTGTTGAGCTCTTAGACCCTCGGCAAGCCCGCGCGTCGAGAGAGCGAGCGGCATATGGAGGTCTTGCCACTGTCGATGTGGCCCAAGACGCCAAGATTCACATTGAGCGCCTGCGATGTGGTTCATGTGGCCAGAGCCTTGGAACTTTTCGGGGAATCATACCGGCATGAACCAAAGTGCTGACGGAGTTCTGGTGTGGCTAGGAGTTTGTTCTTGGGGAACACCCTCAATAATTTTTGGAGAGCATCGATTTCCATGTAAATGTCGCTGACTTCCTGGACTTGCACTACTTTAGGAAGACCATTGTAGTGGCAACCAACCAGTTTGGACTTTGCTTGCCAAATCCACTCAGGAAGTGAGATGTTCACCAAAGGATCTCCAACTAGAAATCATATACATATCAAGATTGGCAGAGTCAAATGGCTGCAGCCGAATCAATGGACTGGATGAACAAGGCCGCAACTCAGGTTGGACAAATGTGTCAGGTTGTGAAGACGGCCGTATCTAATACAATGCCCGGAGTTGATCCCTGGACTCTCACAATAAATGCAAATGCGTCGCTGGCGGGGAACAAGGATTTTCCCTGTATATGTACTCTTCTGATGCACTGACTCGCATTTTTTCTGGAGTCAGCACTGCAGGTGCTTCAATTACTCCGTTGCAAACGTGCCAATCTTTGCCCGCCAACACAGACATTGCTCTAGGAACTCCGTCAACCCCAAAGAACTGCAGACACATTGGGGAGTATGCAAAGGAATATGTCACTGTTGCGGAGCTCCAGCGTCTTTGGTGCGTGTCATGTTTCGATACTTTCCCTGGCGCTGCATGCTTTTGGCCTTGAGTCGTCCGGCTTGAGAGTTGAGCTGGACATGGCATACCCCAGATATGGTCTGGTTCAAGGCTGACTGTTGCCAGATCCATATGGGCTTGTCAGTCTCAAAACAGAATGTGTGGTTTCCTTTTACCTCCCCTTTCAACCAACCCCAAAAACGAGTGCCCTCTTAAAACACAACCCCGTATACAACATATGGCTACTGAGGCAATGGTTGATGACATGACGGTGATATCAGCAACCATCCCTTAGCCCACAGCAGAGCAACAGTTGCCGACTTGTTGAAGGTCCCCTTTTTGTAGTGTTACATATTCACAAAGTAGTTCACATTTGCTTGAAGAGCGCGCATGACATTGCCTACGTTTATCTAATTCCGGCACCCCCCAAAAAAAAGAAAAGAAGAAGAAAGAAACATACAACAGAAAACACGAGTGGTTTCCCTTTGGTTTCCCTTGCAGCCCTAAAAAGCTTGGTATGAGTAACTGCATCTCCCGAATGGTTGGCGGGGCTTGCTTCTTTGCGCAACCTGTAGCCTTGAATCCAAAAGCTGGAAATATAAGGACATCATTGCAGCCAATGGAGAAAAATATGATTGCCACCAAAGGAAGCGGCGTACCATGGCTTTCTGTAAGGAAGGCCATTGCGGAATTTCATGGGAGACCCTTTGTGGGCATCACTCGCATGGATATTAGCCCACCACGATTGAAAGTGCTTCCCATTAGAATTCACCCCTTTTCAACCGACCATTCAAGCGTTGGGTTGCAAAGGGCGCCACAAGGCAGGGCGAAAGCTGCACCGTTGATGTTTGGGGCCTCAATCAAACGTCATCTGGTCTTTCTCACGATGAGGAACAGTTAAACATTCCCTTCTGGTTTTCCTTGAGATTCAGAACCGGGGCATCTCAACAAAACACACACACACACACACACACACACACGCACATGTATATTATACATATATATATATATGACTCATATCCAGCCTTCAAGCTTCGACTCCCCGCCTTCTTCTTCGGAGCCTTGTCTTTATCCCCCATGGCAATCGAAACCCGTGTGCCCGGCGGCTGCGGGCCGGGCAGTTCGGTATGTCTTCTGCGTGCTACTTGTGGAGGTTCACCAAACGGGGGTCACAAAAGGACCCTTCAGGTTTCAGGGGGTGCAGAGCAACTCCATTTGTCATCTGCAGAGAATGAGAAAACATGTCCAGTTGTGCTAGTCCCTCTAAAACCAGAGAACTCAAAGCATTCTGAAGCAAATAGAAGGCAACTTGCCATGTCTCAACCATGATACAATCTAAACAAGTCCAACAAGAGCAGCTGACTTAGATGGCAACGCTGCTGAGTCACCTTCAGGCTTCCAGGCGATGCGTGGCTTTCCCGAGTTGCGCTTGAGCTGAGGATCGCTTGAGCCAAGCTGCAAGGGAAACAAAACACTCACCCCCCGAATTAAGGAAACCCAAAAAAACAACAAACGTGTTTTCTCCAGCGTTCTTGGCCGAGGTACACACAAATTTGCTTTGACTCTGTTTCATATCTAGCATACACTATAAGCTAGTGTTGGAGACCTCAGTTTTGGGGGGATTTGGAATTGAGTGTCAATGCCTCGAAACTTGGGCAAACACACACACACACAACAGTTAAGCCCGGACTCACAACACCAGCCAGTGTTCTGGCTTCAAGATCTCTCCCGAGACAAGCACGTGTGAGTCGGTTGAGGGGAGCCAGGGCTGGGTGGGTAGGTGGGTGAAACATGTTACATGGCTAGCACCCCGTGTACAAAATAGGCGAACAAGGGGCGTCAAAGGCCACACGTTCAAGCGGTGGTGTCGTAAGGCTCAGGTGAGGCTAAGTTACCAATTGGAAACCCAAAGGATTCCAACTTCCAACTATGTACAACCTAAAGCCATCGACCGGAAATCTCACCAAATATCAGCCTCCCGCTAGGTGGGTTGGTTGGATAATTGAGGCTTTTGAACCCCTTCAAGAGCTTTTGACCTCCGAGCGAGCTTCCCTCGAAGTGGTGGTTTGGTGGTTTACTTCGGTTCCGGGCCTGCGGAACCCACCTGATGTTTTTCTTCTTAGCGGTTTGGATCCTCGCGGCATTTCCAAGTTCCTCGAAGAGGAGAAGCCAAATGGAAGTGGCTTTCCATGTGCTGGGTAATGTTTAGTTTTTCTTTGTTCTGGAAATACAGTATACCTTGTATCAGGTTCCATTCAGGCGAGTCTTATCCCCCATCCCCAAGCCTGTTGAAATTTTGCCTTCGACGAGTCCTGGAAGGATTTGAACTCCTTTGAAGCTTCGCTTCTTTTGAGATTCCCTGGAATTGTCAAGCAACCCTTGGTGCTGTGGCTTGTGGTTGCCTCGGTTCTTGTAAAGGGTCAAGGGAAGCCACCTCAGGGGAAACAAAACGTGATCACCAAACAGGCAGCCGAGCGCGGACCGGACCTCTGTGCTCTGCTGCCACTCACGATGTTCCTGAAGTCGGCACGCCGGGTACCAACACTGGCTTCTTTAAGCGATTGGCAAAAATGCGCGACTTGCGAAACAAATCAACGTCCAAAATGTTCAAGCAGTAAAGCAAGGTTGGCTGGGTCCTCCAGTAGAGAGGTTAGAATAAGGGTACCTTTTTTCTGGAGTCTATTTTAGTAGGGAAACCCTCCCCAAAAAAAGGTATATAAAAGGGCACTACTGGGGGACCTAGTTAGCCCAAAGAGCAACCAGCTGCGCAAATGAAGTACTATAGCTGTCCAACCCCTGAAGGGAACTTCGTAAGCTGCTTCTTCGTCTCTGAGCTTGCTACTGGTAGTGCAGACCTATGCAGAAAGGTTTTTATTCAGTGGGAAAGGGTAAGGGCTTTTCAATTCGGATCGTTCAAATGGTTTCTCAAAACTGGGGACCGCTCCAGCCTCCAGCTAGATGGTGTCCTTATTGGGCTTCCCTGCAAAACCCTCCAAAAACGGGTCCCCCTATTTTGAGAAACCCCCAGATGGCAACCGGGTTTCCTGTTGAGCTCTTTGCTCTGGCAGAGCATACGGTCGCAAACCAAGTCCCTTAGGTCACTCGAATTTCCCCTGCTGCCCTTGAAAAAGAAAAGCCAACATTAATTTCCTTGTTTTGGCTCGCCAGATCAACATGCGCCTCTAAATGGAGCCCCCCAAAATGGCCCTTCGTGTTATGTTTGCTCTTGAACATATCCTCAACGATCGACACACCAAGCAGGCAAGTGATCGCTGAAAGAACAGGCCGCCATTTTCAGTCACCAAAATCACCCACCAGCTGCCATTTTCGGGAGCCCCGGGCCGGACAAAAACAAACAAAAAAGACGGCATGTCGTTCAGCGGCTCCATGGAGTCCCAAAATCGGCTGATCGAATCCAAGTCCCAATGGACCTTTGTGGCTCCCTGTGGCCTCCTGTAATTCGCTTTAGTGACCTTGGTTTACTTGAGCAACTGGCAACTCCTGGTCCCGGGTTGCTACATTTGGCCAATCAGACATGGGATCTTATGCAAGCTTCAGCACGTGATTGGAACCCCGGATGAAACAAAAGCCCTGGCTGACAAGGACCAGAGGCGTGTCCCCTGGCGAAAAGGCTCCCTAATTAGCGAGGCTCTACCTGATGCAAGCCCAGCAGGTTCCACAGGTTAGCTCCAGCTCACGCCCCATGTTCATGAATGGCCCCACCCAAATATGCATTGCATTTCTTGTATGCCTTTGCCAAACAATATGAAAAAATAACTCAGGGTTCAACCAAGCCGGTCACTGCCTCAAGTCACGCTCAGATCCAGAACCAGGTCCTCCAGTAGAGACGGAAGAATAAGGGTACCAACTGCTTTCTGTAGTCTATTTTAGTAGGGGGAACCGAATCTCCCAACAAAAAAGGGTGGTAAGAAAGGGCACCTAGCTGGGGGACCTAGATAAGGAAACCGAAAGCTCACGGAAAACGCTCCCGTGGATGTGAAGAGCTCCAGGCCCGGTGGGCCTTCAACCGGTGCCCAAGTTTTCCCTGTCCCTTGAAAGACTGTGGGTGGTTGCGAAATCCACTTCGCACCACTTTAACAACCATGGTTGAAACCGCTGTTTGTTGGTATTTACAGGGGAATCGAATCATTCTATGGTTTCTCAGGTGATGCGAAATGGATTTCGTCCATCCACAGTGGGGATTCCGCCATGTGAAACGTTATTTTCCCTGTGAAACCATCCATGCGGCAAGGAACTGGGGTGCCCTCCAGCATCAATCAAACTCCGGGTCCAAGGACACCAAGTACCTTCACACCTTTTAAGCCCCCCAAAAGCCGAAGAACTGACTCGAAGGGGACCCTTTCATTTGGCCATGGGTCAAAATCCAAATCGTACCCCCAGCGAACATCCCAATCCAACCACAAAAATAGGTCCCTAAAATGGGTGATGAATTCACCTACCCCAAAATGGGATTCCAAAACGGCTTTGACCACAGCCCTTTAAACCCCCACGCCCCCCCGAAGCCGCAATCAACTCCGCACCTGCAGGGCCTCTTGCCGCAAGCGCGCCTCCAGGGCAGGCAGGTCCTTGCGCGCGAATCACGCGCAGTTTTCGATGGCACGCCTCCTGGGCACAATGGGTCTAGCTTTTCGTCGGTGCACAAGGTCGACGTGGCTTTTTTGCAGGCTTATAGAAAAATCCTTTCTTTTTCCAGAAGGCCTCAGGGATTTCTATTGGGCTAAGGTCACACCCAAACACCAGCCATGTTTTTTCAACATGGGGAACCTTTTTTTTCAACCCTCCGAACCTTTTTTTTCAACCCTTCCCTTTTTTGCTAACCCTCAAACCTTTTTATTTAACCCTCCCCCCTTTCTTTTCAACCCTCGCACCCCTCTTTTCTAACCCTCCCCCCTTTCTTTCCAACCCTCTACCCTTTCCTTTTAACCCCTCTGCCTTTTAACCCCTCTGCCTTTTGCCCTGATGGGCCTGTAACCGAAGCATTCGGCAACTGCGCTAAGCTGCGATAAGGAACACAGCTGCACGCGCGCACACTGCTGCCTCGCCGAGGCCTGCGACAACTGCACTGAGCTATAGGAAGACAGCCACAGCGCACACACACACACACGCACTGCTGCCTCACCAAGACCTGCGACAAAAGGCTTTCGCAGCTCAAGGCTCCAACCGAAGTCTTCCACAGCTGCACCGAAGTCTTCCACAGCTGCACCGAAGCCTTCCACAGCTGCACTGAGCTAGAGGAAGACAGCTGCAGGGCACACACACACAGGCACACTCTGCTGCCTTGACCGAAGCCTACACCAACTGCTTCCCTCGGAGAAATGTTCTTTGGCCGGCAGCCGCTCCCCTTGTTGCTTCACAGCGTTGCCCCATCCACCCCGACCGCCCTGACTCACGGGCCTGGTGCACCTTGGCGCAACCGGGCTCTCGACGTGATGCCGCACCCACCGCCTAGCCGCAAAGGGGAAGACATGCGTATTTGCAAAGCTTGGAAAGGCAGGTGTAGCACACTTGCTTCAATGAAACTACGCTGCCTTTTTCTCACGGGGCATGTGGCCAAATGGCTTCGCAGGCGTGTGGCAAAGTGGCTTCTTCACCAGGTCTTGCGTTTGCGTCCCCGGCGTCGTTGGGTTGGAATGTTCCGCATGTCAGCAGTGGGGTCATCTTGCAGCGCCTTGACATAAAGCACATGTTCGCAATCTCCATGTAGCAAGAACTCACGGCATGTACACAGCTTGCCTGGAACTGGTTTCTTCAGCTTGCGGCGCACGCGGGGCCAGGAAGCTTGTGCAAGATGCCCCTCCAACACTGCGCAGTACTGCTGCATGTACTTCTGCAACGCTTTCAATTCCAACTCCCCATCCTTGGCAATCCAGCCTTGCACAACCATTTTTCGAGCTGCGGGCCTTCGGAAGCTATGAGGTTTGCGACCATCTCGGCCACTTGCGGCGTCACGACCGCCTCTGCAGGCATCACGCCTCCCTGCAGTCTGCTTTGCAGAACCCAGAAAGTTGTCACACCGTCCACATCGGTTCCGCCTGCTTCCCCAGTGCGGATGTAGACCTGGCGGTAGTTGAGATTGCCACACAGCCGCGGCTCCCGATGCTCCCAAAAATCCCTCGCAGGGGATCTGCCCGCGGACCGCAGGCTTTTGCTGTTGAACAATGCATCTGCGGAGCGGGCGGGCCATGTCACGAAAGTCTTCTCCTCCTCCCATGCAAACCTGGATGCCCAATCGTTTTCAAACAGCTGTTGCATAGAGGCAAAGATTTCTGTCGGTGATACCCTTGCTTTGGCCCTTGATGCTGCTTTGCCAGTATGCATGAAAGGACTCCAGTGTTTGCGTTCCTGAGCTACTGCCTGGGTAGGTTCCCAAGATCCCTCCCCAGAAGCCACTGAACCAAAGTCCTTCTGCCCCCCAAATTGTAGAAGTGCAGCTGAAGCCTTTCTGCAGACTGCCAACTGGCACTTTCTGAAAGTACGTGTGCTGAAAGTACTCTGCAGCTTGCGCACTTTTCTTCCGTAGCCACGGGAAGGCCAATTGCCAGACCGCATCGAACAATTGCACAGTCGGCACCTCGCGGCTAATCTGGACAATTTTCTCCCAGTAGCCAAAGGTGCTCCCGTCCGGCGTGCTTGTCAAATCTGCAGCCGGCGTGGCAGGTCTCTCCGGGCTTGACGAGGCGCCCCGCTTCTTGCCCTTGTTCTTGGGTGTCCTGCGCAGTTGACGGCGCTTGCTCTCGGTACACATCTGCACAATTCTACAACTGCAACAACACGAGCCTGTTTGTCTTGCTTGCTCTTGCTTGTGTGACAAACTGAGGTTCCGGCGCTTTCACCTTTGGGGTCTTCTTGGCCGGCAAGTACTTCTGCATGCCCTTGTAGGTTGCTCGCCGCATGTGAGCATAGTCATCACATGGGCGTGCGTAAGGAAACACTTTGCGGCGCGAGGCCTCGATGCCTTTCGCGTAGCACGTGTGCTGTAGCGCTGCGTTTTGCAGCTCGCTCAACGTCACCTTGCTCTTGGCAGAGCGTGGTGGGCCTGCGTTGTTGAATCGCACTACAAAGTTGTGCAGTTGAGTATTGCTGCATCGTAGGCTCAAGTTCTGGGCCTTCGAGGCTTCTCGCACATCCTTTGACGTGACCTTTGGCCGCTTCTCCTCCAGCCCTTCCAAAGCGCACGCCTCCGCGCATGTCCACAAGCAGCCGCCGCGCGGGGGCTGCAGTTTCCCATGGCACCCTTTTTGCTCCACGCAAAGCAGCGGCCCTTTCTCTTCGAAGGTTAGGGTTGCCTTCACCTGTCGTGTGCAGCCGGCGCACACACTTTGCTGGCAGATCCCCAGCAACGTTTTGCCGTCCCTCTTCAACTGCTTCTCATGGAAGGTGTAAATGCCTTGGTCTTTCCGCCGTCCAAGAAGACGCTCCACTGCCTTCCGCAAGCCTGTGTAGGTTGCCACATCTGCGCCATCGCACGGCTTCCCGTGAAAGATTATCGCCCAACTCTCCGCTGGTGTGCTTGGGCCCTCCTCTGGCGCGCAAGGCGGCTCTCCTTCTTTTACAGTCGGCGTCGTCGCTGACCTTCCAAGCTGGGTGATGCTGGGTGCACCCACAAAATAGTCATTCAATCGCACGAAATCATATTAGTGTTCAAAGCTCTCTCCCATCATGGTTGCAGCCGCAATTGACCATTGTCTGAAAGATGAGTGGTGGAGCGAACTAACTTGCAATGAAGGTACACTTGCCTGTGAACAGCGGTTCAGCAAACCCTGTCACTTTCAATGCAGAGAAGAACAATTCCAGCCTGCCCCTCCTATCTCTAACTCGCCTTTTGGAGCATGCGCTCTCCCAGCCTCTTTGGAGCAATAGCCGGCTTCGGCTGCGCCTTCTTCTCGCTGCAAAGCTGCCTGAGGCTGGTAAGCAAAGTTTCGCCTCGAAGCGAGACACTGCCCGAGACAAGAACACAACTCCGTGCCTTGGTTGCAGACAATCACGCGCTTCCGCTTTGGGTGGCCCAAATGACCAGCTAGGCACGCCCATTTCCTTCAGCGAATCCTTGGCTTCCTTGGGCAACACTGAATAGGCGAACTTGACAAAGACTAGCTCCTGCCCATTGTCGAAGCATTGCCCACGCACTTGTCCAAGACCACGCTCCGCTAACAGCGCCATGACCTCCTCATACGGGCCTTCTTTCCATAGCGGGGCCGGCAAGTTGCGAAAGGGCGGGCCGCACCGCCGCGTCCACTCTGCGCGCCACCCTGAGCCCACCAAGGTGCGAAGGAGCTCCCCCATCGCTTCCACGCCCTGCCGTGCGCCCAACCACACATCAACCACTCCGCACTCGAGTTTTCATGCAGTTTACATGGGTCGTGTCTTGTGGTTGTCAAGGCTAGCATGTCCGACTGCGTGCATTTTGCAGCTTGAACCCAATTGAACCCACGGCCTCTGCTACAGATGGCTTCTGGCGTGCGCCGCGCTGAACGACCATGCTTGCGCATATCCACCTCCAAGACAGCCACAAGCCGTACAGAAATCTCTCCTGAAAGCATAGTGTGGCCATCTTCAGCCCCTCCGCGCTCAGCTGGCCACTCCACGTTGGCAAGGTTGTCTTGGTCCTGAGCTATAGACACTTTTCCCAGCTAAACCCTACCTACGGCCCAGGCACCCACACGCAAGGGGCCACAGCTCCTCCATCAAAGTTCCGAAAAGAGCCACTGTGCTAACCCAATAAGGCGCCTTGCGCAGTCCAGTTGCCAACGTCTCTCAAAAAAAAGTGCGTTTGGTGACATCCCGGCAAGTCAGACGGTATGCGTGGAACACCTCCTTCAGAGCCGGCGTGAGCTTCCACTCTCTTGCAGGCGCATCTATAGCCATCGGCGCCTTGCAACCTATTGACTTCAGCACAGACTGAAAGATGCGGCGCAGAATGGGCATCACCACCTGCTTCTCAAAGCCCTGCAGGCGAGGCGGGCCTGGATCCCGGAGAGCTCCGAATGAGAACATGCACCGCTGCGGCAAACCAATTTGGCTACGAACCTCGCTAGCCACCCACCAGTTCTGCCACACGGACAGCTGCTGCAGCAAAGCAAAGGTTACGTTGGTCTTCTGCAAGGGTACACCTTTGACCGGCACAACCTTGTCCTCCGCCGACTCTTTCTTGGCCTTGCGGTCAATGGCTGTAGCGCTGTCCAAGAACCTGGAAAAGTTGATGTGTGTGGATTGATTCCAAGTGCCATTTTGAGGATAGGATGGGCAGAGCAAAGGGCCGCCTTCACCAGCTATGAGCGTGGCGTAGCCATCTGTCACCTTTAGCTTGTCGACAGCCGCACAATGCGTGCCCGGACCTAACAAATGAAACTTGTCCCAGCCACATCCAGCTGCGAAGGCATTCAACCATCGGGTCCACTGCCGGACTCTTCCCGCTTCCAGGGCGCGCTGTGCCAATGGCCCAGTATCGGCTGCGACACGGGTAGCCCGCCACATCCACGCAGATCTCTTTGTGGAGCAGACCCATTAGAAGCGCACAGAAAGCATCGTAGTAGAACACGGTCGGCATGCCAGTGCTCCGACTCCATGCCTCCATGAGGACCAAGATTGGGTAAAAACTTGTCCGCCACAGCGGGTACTGCAGCTCCACCGCCTGCTTCCCGCCAAACTCATCAGCTTCAAACCCGGCAATCACTGCTCCTTCACGTCTGCTTGCTCCATTGCCAAAATCTCTGCCTAAGCACATAGCAAGCAACACTCTGAATGCTTTTTCTTTACCCAGTTTCGTGTGGTTCCACCCTGCGAGCAGGCAGCCATGCGCACCATTCTTACAATTCCCCACCCCAACGTCGACCGCCCTCGCAATTTGAAGCCCGCTAAGGATCGCACGCTGTAAGCCGGCAGGTTCGCGAGAAACGCAGCTACATCCTCACCGGCTTGGAAGATGGACAAGGCAGCGACCACATCCCTTTCGAACTCCAGGGTGCCATCAGCGGTTTCCGCAAAGGGCAAGGTCTGCAAGCCAAGGCTCTCCGCTTTTGCGTCCACCCCTGCTGTTGACTGCAGTGCCTCCCCAGCCTGCGAGTCCAGGACAGTGGACGCCAGCTCTGTCTTCCGCGTTGGCTGCAGGGTCTGTGGGTGTCATATCAGCAACTGACCCAGTCGCAGCCTGCTCTGTCGCAAAGCTAGTCACGACGCAAGTCTCGTACACAGCCAGCACCACGCTCTTGGCAACCTTCTTCGGCAAAGCAGATATTCGTGTCACCACAGTGTCATCGTACCGGAGCCAGCTACCACCCTCCATGGTCCATGTCACAAAGTGCCCCTGTTCAGCATCACCACAATCTAAAGCAATATGCTCCACTAATGCTACAAACCTGTACAAGGTGCCGTTGATTTCCACTGGCCCTGTGCAGTCCACCTCGCGCTCATTCTTGCACCATCGCCCTGTGTGCGGGTCCACGTGGCCGTTTCCGTTTCGAGGGAAACTTACAATCAAGACCTCTGGCGCTGACGAAGGCCTGGACTCTTGAAGAACGTCCTTCTGGCCCCCACAAGCATCACACCTCAAGGCTTGCGGCAGCAACTGGCCTTGGAACTTGCGCTGTATCAGCGCCTGTGCAGTGGCGCGACTGCGCTGCGTGTTCTCAACAAGGAGAACTGTCCAAGCCTCGGTCATCTCCGTGCTGCGCGCGACATTGTAGCTCCTGCAGGTGTCCACGCTGCACTTGTGGCGCTGCTGCCGAAGCAGCTGCATTCCGAAGCACCCTTTCACAGTGTCCTCTACCTCGGGATCTCAATGCTAAAGTCCCTCAAACTTGCAGTTTCCCTGCGTCCTTTGTGGAGCAACCCAACGAAAGGGCCCGCAAAAACAAGACACCCCGTGTAAGACACCCCGTGTGCCCGCAAGCAACTCTTCGCGCGCCCTGTCTACCAGTGTGTTTGGGAAACTGCACCTTCCTGTTTCGCAGGGTTTTACCGGCGCTATACACAACCGGCTTGCTGCCCCGCGCCTTGGAGCACAACGACATGGCAAAGTCCGCAGCACTTTGCTGCTCACCGCCACCTAGCCCAGCTGCTTGCAAGAAAGGCTTCCACATCTCCATGGTCGCACGGTCCGCTTGGCCAAAGAGTCGAAGTTCGTTGGTTTGCCAAAGCAAGCATGTGGCGCAGTCGGCCGCGCACTTTTTCTGCGCAACATGTGTTTGCAGCCTAAGGCATAACTGCTTGGAATGGAAGAGAGCCTGTAGGACGCCATTCATGTAGCATGTGTTGCCCGCATTGCAAAGGCCTGTGCCTTCGAACTGCTCCTCTCCGCGCTCAAGCTTGCACTCTTGCCTTTGTTCTTGCTTTTCCGCGCCACCCCGCACCGCATAACTTTGCCTGGCGCCAGAACATCCTTGCCAGCTGGTCGTCCTCTTGCCCCACAAGAAGGACTTCCATCCAGCAACCGCAATGCCAAGACAAGCCACGATCGCTGGCGGTACCTGCAGCAGGCCAGCAGCCCCATGCAAAAGCCCCTGTACTGTTGGTAGCAACATCAGCGTGCCCAGCACGCCCGCCATCGCTGCGTGGCGCCGAACTGCCCCCACGCATTGCCTTCGGCCGCGGCGGCGGCCCTTCACTTTCAAAACCTTGCCGCGCGCCACAACGCCGCGCACTTGCGGGCCCGCAGCCATCGCGCCCATGACCACTCCGACCAAGAACGCCACCGCGTAGCACATCGCCATCTCCATGCTGCTGATGAGCTGTTTGCTCTCCCACTAGACACGTTCCGTTCGTGCACCTAAAAAGCCGTTCCGTGTCAAGTCGTTCTGACACGTTGAGCCAACACGAGCCACCCATTCACGGCTTGCGCTTGCATGCCACTGTCTGCTGGTGATTCGCGCGCTTGCTAGCACTCTTGCAACTGCTGCACACGGGCTCAGTCTGAGGCGCGAGCCCGCCCATCAACGGAATCTTCGTCTTGTTCGCCTGCGTCCGAGCCTGAGCGATGCGTCTGAAACTCGCGGATGGGAAGAAGTTATCTGCATCACCTTTACACCTTTGCTCTCTTCTTATCTGTCTCTCCCTCTATGTATCTTTCGCTCTCTTTTGTGCGGAGTGCCCCTGTTTGACGCTGCTGGTTCGGAACGTGGCAACAGCCTTTTATCTTTCGCGCTCTTTTGTGCGGGGTGCCCCTGTTTCACGCTGCTTGTGCGGAACGTGGCAACAGCCTGCTACCGCGAAGACATGCTCGACGGAGTATCCGACAGCGACATCAACTGCGCCGCTCTACGGCGACGTGGCCGAAGCCTGTAGCAATGGCGCTGACATAAATGAAGACAGCTGCCAGCGCACACACTGCTGCCTCGCCAAGGCCTGTGACCGAAGCCTGAACCAACTGCGCTGAGCTAGGGGAAGACAGCTGCCAGCGCACATACTGCTGCCTCGCCGAGGCCTGTGACCGAAGCCTGAACCAACTGCGCTGAGCTAGGGGAAGACAGCCGCCAACGCGCGCGCTGCTGCCTCACCGAGGTCTGTGACCGAAGCCTACGGGCCACTCACAGTGTGCGCGCGCCGCTACCTTAAACTCCGCGCATGAGACGCTGCTCGCGCTACCTTGTTCAACAAGTATGGATGGTGACAAGAAGGTGGCCCACGCTTTTGCCATTCGTTTAATCTTGCAAACCACAAGTCGCACGAACGCTGCTGGAGTAAGCTCCCCTTAAGCACGCGATGTCCACATATCGGTCGCAGTCAACCTATCTACCTCGCAAACACTTCCCTTCATCGTTTCTGCCTTGAGTAACATCTGCTTCAGCCCGCATCAATACGCCTACCTAGCAAACCGTGTACGGATAACCTATGCGCTGAACAACTTCACTTGAACTCAAGATACAAAGAAGCAAGGCTGAAACTACGGTAAGCATTATTGAGGAGAAGTTACAAGAGGTGGGATGGGGCCATAAGCTCACAACTCCAACTAAAAACAGCAACGCGGCGAGGAACATAGGACCAGTAACCAGAGTGCAACCGTTGAGCCCGTTGTCTAAGTGACTCGTGATCCATCGTTATCTTCCCATGCAAACTGCCCTGATTAACTCAATCCGCTGATGTAAAAAACAGTCGGGGATGATGAAAGCAAGGTCGAGGACAAAAAACCATTAAGAAATTGAACAACTTCTGCCTGTTACACACCAAAGCTGCTGTCCAGTGCGCCAAACCAAAGTTTGAGGGTTAACAAAACCAGGGCCGAGGGTGAAAAAGGCAGGGGGGAGGGTGAAAAAAGAAAGGTTCGGGGTGAAAAAAGCAAGGTTGAGGGTGCAAAGAACAATTTCAAGGGTTGGAACAAAAAGGACTCCTGAGGGTTAGAAAAACAAGGTCCCCGTTGAGAGGTTCCAAAAAGGTCGGAGGGTTAAAAAAAAAGGAAGGGTTGAAAAAACAAGTATGAAGGGTGAAAAAAAAAGGGAGCCCTTTCAACATTCGTACGCCAATTGCGGGTCATTTGGGCAGAACCCAGGCGTCCTTCTTTCGGCTCCAGGCAAAAAGGGCAATCTGCCCCTTAAAAGCTTTTAATTTGTGGGCAGTGAGAAGAACTTGAAGGACAGGACGGGGATCAAAAGTCCACATTACCATGGTCCTACGGGTGCTCTAAAAACCTGCGAGGTTGACAACATTTGACCCAAACAGAAGGAAAACCAAAGGAAACATTGAAAAACAACCCACCGGTCAGACCAAGCCTTTCAGAATACCAGGTAGCATCTATGGAAGCTTTGAGCATCCATTGGAAGTAGTCTGTCCTGCTGAAACGATTCTGGTGTCGCCATCATTGTCCACACCAAATAAAAAAGAGGTTCCCCCAACACATCGACCAGCGCCTGACAACATTGGTAGTTTACTGGTGATTTGGGAGGACAAATCCGGAGAGAAGCCTCATTTCCCACAAAAACCGGGGGACAACCCAATAATCCAATGCCCTTTGCGTGCTGAGTCCTCCTCCGCCTCTTCCAGCAACAAGCAGCGATGCCGCAAAGAGTCCACCTCCGCCTGCCACGGACGCAGGTGGCTTAGCTCAGCTTCCCAGTTGGGTGGTTCGGATTTGTGGTGCGGATTTGGATCTGGACCTGAACCTGGTAGCGAGTGGATGGGATACCCTGCCTAACCATCAAACACCCAAACCACCAGAGAGAAGCTGATCTGGAGGAAATAACAAAGAGAGCTGCCAACATGGTCAATACCCACGTTGCTGCCGGATTAGCCGTAGTGTCCATAAACAATACTAACACCGTTCCCCACATATGCCCCGTTAGATGGATTGCATTCCCCTAGCATTTTGTTTGTAGGGAAACCCGGGCTTAATTCCCGTTGCGCCCATTGCGTCCAATGATTCAGCTCAGGTATACCCGACAAATCTTCAGAGAGGTCTTGTGGAATTAGCTGAGGGACAACAAGCACGCGAGGTTCTAGGTAACATCTCTATACCAGCCACGTAGCTCTCCCAGCTTTGCCAAGTCCCGTGGTAAGGTGTTTGTTTGACTTACCTCAAAAATATAGTTGAGACTGTGAATCAGGTCAGCTTTGAATCGTTCACCTAGGTTGATGTCATGCACGTCTCAAGGAGTACCCCAACTTAAGCACTAGGACCCCATAGTCCTTTGTTTCCGCTACCCTCTACTTATAACATATATATATATATATGTTCCAGGCCGTGGACCCCCCCCCCTCCCCCCTCCCCCCCCAACCCCCCCCCCCCTGTGGGGGTGGGTGGTGGGGTGGTGGGGTGGTGGGGTGGTTGGGTGGTTGGGCCAACCCCCCCCCCTGTGGGGGTGGGGTGGGTGGTGGGGTGGGTGGTGGGGGTGGGGGTGGGTTGGTGGGTTGGTGGGTTGGTGGGGGGTGGGTGGGGAGGGGGTTGCAGGGTGGTTTGGTTTAGGGTAGGATGTTGCGAGAGGTGCGGGGGTGTTGGTTCACGGGGTGAAAGGGGGTCTGGGACCGAAGCTGCAGGGCTCGCACGGTACTGGACAGCATCCCCAGCATTGCCAGCATCATCCCCAAGATGCGGATGATGCGGGGGAGTGGGGGGACCATACCATTGGGGGGGGGGGGGGGTACGTGGCCCAGGGACTGGTACATATATGTATGTATGTATATTGTTTGGGGTCAGTAGGCATGACAAGAGGCATTACAAAATGCGAGTGTATTGTCCCAATATGCACCATGGTCAACATAGACAGCTGTGCCTTCTGCGTTCTTTCCTTTTAGGCTTTGCTTGCCAAATCGTGGATTCCCTAAATAGTGCTTGGGTGAATCAGCCTCAACGCATTGGCCAGATAGAAGGGTTTCCTTGCTCCCTTACTTGCAATCACTAGGGCAAGCGCAGACTTGTCTTCCATGGGACCAGATCCTTGAAAAATGCTTTCTCAAATGTCTCAATTGCCCATGGGAATTTCGCACGCGTGAGAACACGAAGGTACCAAACCATGTCAGGATGCCTTCGCGCCTGCAACTTCCGGTTCTTTGATGCTTGCTTTGAGAGGGACACCCTGGGTGTGTCTTTGACCGGTACCTTGGGCTCGAATTCAGGGAAGATCAAAGGGGAACCAATCATTTTGGAAAACCCAAAGCGGCACAATTGCCAGGACGTACCACACGATTGTGGGACGAAGATTCCGGACGCCAAGGGCGTCTGTCATCAGACCTCATCCTGTCATTGTATGGAAACCAAAGTTGAAGCACAATATAGGTTTGTGTCAAGAAGGGATTTGGAACCCAAAAGTCGTCTGCCTCAAGGGTAGCTGTGTGAAGCGACGATGACATGAGAGCTTCCACACAATAGCAAACCATCGCTACCGAAGTGGGATTTTCCGAGCCATTCTATATTTTATCCCTTTCAATGGGATTCCCTTCAGCACAGAAAGTGGCAACCTAAAACCCTTTCCAAATCCCTGGACGCTCTATTCGGACACAATCCAAAGTTTGAGAATCAGCAGCGTCGTCGTCAAAGCCTGAAAAAAAGGTGTACCCACCATGTACACAATTGTCCAGCGACAATTTCGGGTACAGTCCCTTCCCCATGTGTTGATGTTACCGTGAAATGCGAAGGTGCGCGGCTTAGAAGCCTCACAAGCCCCTGGGAAGCTGACATGAGTTGAAGGGTGAGAAGCAGTTCACGCTATAGGCCAACCAACCAACCAACCAACCAACCAACCAACCAACCAACCAACCAACCAACCAACCAACCAACCAACCAACCAACCAACCAACCAACCAACCAACCAACCAACCAACCAACCAACCAACCAACCAACCAACCAACCAACCAACTAGCCAATAACAAACAAACCGACAAACCAACCAGCAAAACATTCTGAGAACCTTCCTCGGGGGTGGGTTGGGGCGGGGGGGCCTGAACCGAGAACCTTTCTGGGGAGTGGGGGGAGGGCTTCATATGTCTCCCTTAGCTGGTCAAAGCCTTCAATGCAGAACCCTTCGAATGAATTGTGAAACGGACAAGAGGTGGGTATTATCGTGAGCAAAACGAGCATCCTTCCACAACTTGTGGATCCTGTTTCCAATTTCGATCGTGCCTGGATCCCAACTTGTTTTGACATAAGGGGCCATCGTCACTGTGCTATCTATCGCTTTACCCGTCTTTACCATGATCAAAAGCAAGCCCTGGGTCCCTAAATGAGGCAGGACTTTGAAGCATGGAGCATTAAAGACCTGCAACCCACAGAGCCCAGGTGATCATTTGAAACAAATACTCGAGTCGATCCAAATCCGTTTACTCAATTGTCAGTACAAACTGCAGGGGGGATCTAGGGGCGCCCCCTCCATGCTTTCGTGGCACGCTCCTCTTGGCGGGCAGACCTTTTGAGGTATGTGAATTTGCCAGTTCGGCATTCCCTATGGAAGTTGAGGATACTCCCTCGCAAGAAAACCACAATCTCAAAAAGTTGAGTTGGTTCCCGAAAAGGTGGCAGCAAAACACGTTTGTCTAATTTTTTGCAGCCCCCCACTAAAATGAAGGGAACCAACAAGAAAGCAACATGCCAGCATCAGTGAAGAACACCTCCAACTTTGAAAGGAATCCCACAAGCCAAAGATCCTTTCCTTTGAATGAATCACTTGCCAGGAATTCCAAACAAACCTTCGGCGAGGCCGCGGAAAAAAACCTCCCCGGTTGGGTATATAGTATGCATTCCAGCCTCCAAGCTTTGCTGCCGATGTTCGCATTGTTGCTGCGCCTGGATTTGCCAAATTGCACACATGTATGCAAACGCAAAACAAGAGATATATTCGGAACAAATGCATCTGCATATGAATGGAAAGAAGCATACATACAAACCCGGGCCTACATAATTCAAATGTGGTTGTGCGGTACTGAAACACACAACAAGAAGCTGAGTCATGACCATAGAAGCAACATGGTTGTTGTTTTGAACATCATATACCTGGGTTTTTACAGGATACATCCACAAAATACCTGATTTGCAAGGGATGCTCTAAATCAGCTGGTACCGATGTGTTTGCTTGTCGTGTGTCAAATAATTGCCAACCACGTTGCATCCCGAGAAGATGACTTTCGCATGTTCACCCCACTCAGATCCAGGTCGAAAGTCTTTGCAACAAAACACGCAGCTTAGCATAAGTTTGGTTCACTATTGGTCGGCTTTGAATGTAGGATTTAAACATGTCCAATCATCACAGTTTCAGTAGGGGAAATATGAAACCCTGGGTGAATTCTGAACTAGTCAGGCAACTGGCACGCATCTGATCAGCGTCATGGGTAAACCGTTACACAGAAACCCATGGCCGGGACTGGGTCCATTCAGGTGACATGCACAAATGACCCTTTCAATGGCAGCTCAAAACCAAAGCTACTGTGGATGGACAAAATCCGTTCGCACCGCTTTAAAACCATGGTTGAAACCACTGTTTGTTGGTATTGACAGGGGAATCATCATTCTAAGGTTTGTCAGGTGATGCACATTTCGTCCATCCATAGTATGTTAACCCCCCCCCCCCCTCAACATATTTCCACTTTAAGTTGCTCATTTGCTCGGCAAGACATAGCCAGTGCGCGAAACTGAAACCATGACGCAGAAACATGATTCAAGGCGAGCATCTCAATGTGAGAGCACACAGTGAAGCAGCGTTCTCGGCATGCATCTCCGCTGACAAGGATGGGATGAAGCAAACTAAGAGAAAAAACATCACAAGTAGTACTAGTGGCAAACAATAACAACAGCTGAAAACAAACAAGTCAACGACAAACCATGTCCTATCTCTGTTCCACCACAATGTGCTTCCGAATCAAGTGCATTCATCGCATGTGTACCTCCACGTTTTCATCCAACTTTGAGAACCCCCGGAGAGAGCTGACAGCAATCAGCTGATCCACTTCCGCGCCGAAGCTGAAGCCCATTGAACGCCTCACGGAACCCGAGTGGCCAAACGAAGCTCAAGCTAAAATGATGGTCCCAAATGGTTGAATCGAAGTCCAGAAACTGAACTCGGCTTTGCAACTAAAATCATGTTGCCGAGTATCCAGGAACTCGCCGAGTCACACCAGCCGCTCTTGCTGTTTCTTGCATCTCCGCATTCGGCGGGCGAACGGAGCAGGCGACAGGCTTTGAGACGGAGAGCCAACCAATTGGCCAACCACGGGCGAAAGGGAAACCAATCAGAAGAGGTAAAAGCGCAGCAAAAATGGACTTGATTTTGGAAATGACCCTAAAGTGGGTGTAGTCTCACTCGTTTTCTTTCAAGGTGGATCGCCACGTATGGCGCTGAAAGCCATGTTTGTCCAACATCCACTTCTACGCAGAGGGTTCACCCACCAAAGGACACCCACTCTTTTCAGCGGCCAAAAAGGTGATATGGCTGTGAGCCAAAAATAGGTACCCAAAATGGAACCCTGGTAAATGGAAACATGGACTAAAATCTGCGGTCCCCTGGTGGTTTAATTTTGACCCATACCGATATGTTCCAAAGAGGGAAATCTGACTCTGCCGCAGATCCCTTCGGACAGCTGCAACTCGTAGTGAATCCCAAAGCCGCGCTTTGGACAACGGTGGAGGACTGAGCACACCGGGAGTCTCCGTGACCCTTTAAACATGGGGAGTCTTCACCTCCAGCAGTATGGAAATTGCGAAAAGTCCTTTGAAAGAACAACAAAATGGAAATGGTCGCAACTCACAAGAAAAGGAACAAGATCATGGGTGCCTCAGGTAAGCTGGTTAAACATGGCCCGAATCATGTTCTAGGCACACCCTCCCCCATTAGAAGTCATGGAGACTCCGGGTAGCGTGGCCCAAGTCCGGATCAACTCTGTCATATCTGCATGCCAACCTGGTGGTCAGGGAACATCGAATCAAATAAAAGCAATCGCCTTTTTGAGGGTATGCCATCTGGGATAATTAGACACAAAGGAGAAAATTTCAATTAACTACCCTTGCCCATGTCCCATTTCTGGAGTACCCGATTTTCAAGCAACCAGTGTAGTTGCGCTGGTTTGGTGAGAAAATATGTATCATGTTCCTCAAACTAAGCTGGTCAAAATGCATGGAGGATCGGGAAGGGGTCCGTTGCGTACCAAACAGTTGAGAGGGTTTGTTCAGTACCGCCCCCTGCTTTTGTTTTGTCATGTCCTGGCAAACTAAGACCAGTCCAAACATATTTGAATATACGCGGGCGCGAAGTCAATCGGCAGACCGTTTCTTTTGTGTGTGTGTGCCTGCTTCCCATCAAAGCTAATAGCCATATTTCCTCATTGTCAGCTGTCGCCGTGTTCCCTGACTGTCCCAGACTGGCCTTTCTGTTCTAGTGAGACCTCCTCAAGAGTCTGGAATCTAAGCTAGACAGGCCCAAGCCCAAAAGTGTGATAGGACTGCCACGAAACCGGAATGGCATGCCTAGGGATCCGGAACGTTACTGGCCATCTCAAATACTTCAAAGTATATATATTCCCAAAATTGCAATGTGTCTTGGAGACCCCAGAAACATGAGCAGTGTACATCAAAAGGTCAGTTCACACTTGGATAGATAGTTCAATATTCTAGAACGAGGTAGCTTCATGTTGTTGGATTGTGATAAATATCCCCTCGGTGCGATTGTTGGTTGACCTCAGAAACTCTGAAGAAAAAGGATGCGTAGGTTATGGCCAACATCCCAAAATGTCAAGTAGAGGACCTTCATGGTGAGCATCGTTTCACCGGCTAAGGCTCGCTCACGCCCCTTTCGGCCGATCGGCTCAGAAACCCCTTTGGCCTGGGCGAAACTTGCCGGAGCAAAGAATCAGATGGACAAACTACACCCACTCCTCCAAAAGTGATTCGAATCCCGAGGTGCACAGGGGTAGAAGTGTCAAAATGGGGACCTGAAAAAGGGCGCGCAAACACAGAGGCACACACATAGAGACACAGAGGCACGCATCTAGTGGGGGTGTCAACTAAAGTGGCCCCATTCTGACAGAGCCCCTTGCCAAAGCAAGGGGAGCCATCAGATGGTCATGGCCAACGGTCCTTCCTCACGACCTCAGCAAGGAAAAGGGCATCCTTTCTTTGCTCGGTTTCAAGAGAACCTAACATCCCAAGTGATACCAGCAGCCCCGCGGAGCCAGAGAGAACCTATAGCTTTCAGAGCCCTGTGGGCTCCTGGCTTCGGCTTATGGAAGAAGCCCTCCATTAGACACGTCTGAGGTGTTTGGGACCCGGTCTCAAAACCCGGCTGTTTGAGGGCCCTAAATTGATCCAATTGGAGCGTCTGGGAAGAAAAAACAGAGAACAGGGCACCGTGTCGGATGACCTGAGCTTCTGGCCTATCCGCCCAGCTTGTGGCCCTGAGCACACCGACTACCGACTGACTGACGGCTCACCAAAGGCCCCGGGGATGTTCCAATGCTTATGGGTCTGAATTTAAATTGGGGGCACAATGACTCTCCTATCAAGTTCGAGGACAGATGGATTTCCACAGTCAAATGGGCGGGAGTTTTAATGAGGGGCCCTTTGGTGGACATCATTTAGGTGGAGATCCATGTCCACCAACCACTTTGGAGGGGGTTCCCTGTTGAACCATTTCATAGCCACGTGAGTTTGAATCAAATGAGCCCATGGTTTCAGGGCCATGTGGAACATCAGCAGGCCGTCCCCGTGACTCCTCCATCACTTTGAAGCAGATTCCCTTGGTATCGCAGAAATTGACCCTAAAACCAAGTTTCCCACAACCATCACTTCCATTTGCTCAAGTCCCCTGCAACAAATAAGAATGTCTTTGCAGCTGTGATAGATTCCCTTTCAAACCAACAGGGGAACTAAACGGCATTCTTGAGCAAATGGAGCCGGTTGCCTTTTGCACTTTCCCCAAACAGAGTTCCCGGCTTTGACACACGCCCAAAATTGTACGCTTGAATCGCAACGGCAGGTGGTTGTTCCGCTGAATCCTGAAAGCTTTGTGCAGGTGCCTCCAACGGGAGAACACATACGTAGTTGAGCGGACTGGCAACCCAAGACAAGGCAAATCAAACTGCTTGGCTTCAGTCAGGCCTCAGTCAGTCTTTCGTTTTTTGTTTGACAGCTGTAGACTTGCCCCGAGCCATTCGACAGTGCAACGGGCCATTCTCAGTAATTTGCCTCCCTGATCTCCAATAATCGCTAAAAGAAGCACTCAAATGTGTACCCATGGGAACTATAATACTTCAGGAAGACAGTTCCTTTCCCGTGGCTCTGGGAACCGACCAATTAACCTCATTTTGACTGGCACTGCGCAGAAGATCAAGGTGATCCGCGAGCCGAATGTCCGTCTCCGAAACCCCTTGTAGGTGTCTAAGAGGAAAGGGTTGTGCTCAACTAAGAAGAATATTCTTTGTCCTGGTGTACATGCATGTATTCACAGGACAGCATTTCCTTGGCAGAACTCCGCCTCTCTAGCCGAAAAAACGCCGCGAAAACGGTGGGCGTCCGGGCGGTTCCCTGGAAGGGCTTCCAGGCAGGCTGCTGCGGCACCACGCCTGGCGTCCAGTGGCAAGGGCCCGGTGGCAAGCAAGCCAAGCATATTCTGAGTGTAGGTCACAATGGGGGGGGGGAACCCTGCAGAAAAAAACACACACACACACACCATATCAAACCACAAAGATCTCTATTTCAGTGCGGTGCGGGTTGATGCCCTAAATATCCCAAGAGCGGGCACGGGAAGCCTGTAAATTTCCGCGAATTGCAAGACGTGTTGTGGTGGGCTGGATGGTGGATGAAGATACTGGGATAAACTTACCGACTGGCGCAAGTTTTGTCCACCCACAGTATGTTGCACTGCGTTCCACGTCGGTCAGCAGGTCGCTTAGTGCAGCAAAAATTCCGTCACTTAGTGCAGTCAGAACCCAAGTGTTAAACAGGTCACTTAGTGCAGCAAAATACCCGTCACTTAGTGCAGTCAGAACCCAGGTGTTAAACCGGTCAGTTCAATAAAATCAACGGGCCCAACGCGCTCCATGGGCTCAACACGCCCAACGCGCTCAATGGGCCCAACGAACTCAACGGGCCCAACGCGCCCAACAGGCCAAACGGGCTCAACGGGCCCAACGGGCTCAACGGGCTCAACGGGCCCAACGGGCCCAGCGGTCCCAACGACCCCGGCGGGCCCAACAAGCCCAACAGGCCCAATGGGCCCGACGGGCCCGACGAGCCCAACGGGCTCAGCGGGCCTACGTTGCGCTACATTACATTACATACATACACTACATACATCGCATTACCCACATAACATAACATAACAAAACATATAACAAAACATAACATAACATACACACATTACAAACATACATGCATACATACATTACACATATTACATATATTAAACACATACATACATTCATACATACATACATACATATATATATATATATATATATTATATACATACATACATAACCTACATACTTACGTACATAGCATACATAACATACATAACATACATACAGGCATACATCACATTGCACTACATTACGTCACATTACATTACATTACAAAACATACATAACACTACACACATAATAACATAACAAAACATAACATAACATAGCGCAGCGTAAAAAAACATAACATAACATAACACACATATATACATGAAGTTTACCCCATATTCATTGTTCCAAAAAGAGTCTTCCGCCTCGCCCTTCCGCGAACCTTCCGCGAACTTCCGCGATGCAGGTAAAACCACACTTTTTGGCACGTGTCTAAACACATGTAAGTTCTTGTAAAGGAAAAGTAAAGCGAGCCAAGACGAAGAGCCAGAGCAGGGGACATAACATAACATACATACATACATACATACATACATACATACACGTACACACGCATACATACATTACATACATACTCACATAACATACATACATACGTACATAGCATACATAACATACATACACACATACACGACGTTGCATTACATTACATTATGTTACATACACAACACTACACACTACATACACTACATACATACATAACATAACATAACATAACACAACATACCATACCATACCGTACCGTACCATACCATACCATACCATACCATACCATACTTACATTACATTACATTACAGTACATTACGTTACGTTACATTACATTACATTACATTACATTACATACATACATACACACATACATGAATGCGTGCATGCATACAAACACACATACATACACATATCATATACGTACAAAAATGCATACATACACAACACAACACAACGCAACGCAACGCAACACAACACAACGCAACGCAACACAACATACATACATACATACGTACGTACGTACATACATACATACATTACATACATACATACATACCTACATACAACATACATACTTACGTACATTGCATACATAACATACACAACATACATACACGCATACATCACATTACATTACAAAACATACATAACACTACACAAATAATGTGATATAATAACATCACATAACATAACACAGCACAGCATAAAATAGCATACATAACACAACATACATATATTCGTGAGCCTTGTTCCAAAAACAGTCTTCCGCCTCGCCCTTCCGCGAACCTTCCGCGAGCCTTCCGCGAACCTTCCGAGATGCAGGTAAAACCACACTTTTGGCACGTGTCTAAACACATGTAAGTTCTTGTAAAGAAAAGTAAAGCGAGCCAAGACGAGCCAGAGCAGAGGGCTCAGCGGTCCGAACGGGCAGGCCCCACGGGCCCAACGGGCACAGCGGGCTCAACGGTCCCAACGGGCCCAGCGGTCCCAACAGCCCAACAGGCCCGACGGGCTCAACGGGCCACACGGGCTCAACGGGCCCGTGAAGGTGAAAGTGACTGCCGCACTAAGCGACAGGATTTGCGCCGCACTAAGCGACAGGATTTGGACCGCACTGAGCGACCGCCTGACCTTCCACGTCTACAGAACCTCATTCAACAAATACGTCTACTAGAACAAAATCCGAGAAGAAAAAAAAAAACGAAGCGGGTCCTCAGCTTCACATTCTCCCGGTCGTGTTAGTTGGGTAGCCACGGCCTCTATACGGGGCCCCTAAATTTCCACCGCTGGATCCGCAGAGGGGGTTCTTTCAAAGTCTGGTTGCAGACATGGCCAACCGCCCCAATCCAACCACATCTAAACCATCGGTTGCTCCTCCATATACTCCCCGACCCATTTTTGCCATGGAGCCCAAATTTTCAGGGCCCGATTCCAAGGACATTCCTCTAAACAACTTTTACCCACCAATCAACCATACAGAAACAGCTTCTATTCAGCAACTCATGCAGCACTTGCTTTTTCGGCCGGCAAAAATGAGAACATATTTGTTCACTAGTGATTGATTCCCTTTAAAACCAACAGGAGAACATCAAACACATCCATTTGGGTGTGGGTCAAAATTAAACCACTGGGGGACCCAGGCTTTAGTCCATATTTCCATTTACTATGGTTCCATTTTGGGTACCAATTTTTGACCCACAGCCATTTCAGCCAATGGGTGTCCCGCCAAACGTCCCGCCAACCGCAGATAGGTGCGCCCTCGACATGTCAGAGCCTCCAGGCCCGGCGCCGCCCAAGGGCCGACCCGGACGACCTGGGAGAAACGTCCAACATGGCAGCCCCAAAAAAGAACTTACGCCCGTTTGGACCCAACACACCACCCACCCCTTTCCACACCTGCAAAAATGGGCTGTGTGTGGGGGGACGCCAAACATGGCCTACTTGAGTCGCTGGATTTGTAGATCTTGCCAGTGAACCAATCGTGTTCGCAATCATAGAACTTGTCTGTTTGGACCCCACAAACACACACACACACACCCACACACACACACACCCACACACACACACACACCTCCAAAAATGTCTCTTCATCTTTCCCAAGGGGTGTGTTTGAAAGGGGGGGTGTTTGGGGGTCCGCTTCAGGGAGGAGGGAGGTGTGAGCAAAGGGGACCCCCAAAGCCACAAAAGGAACCCTATAAGCACCTAATAGGCCTGTCACTACTAAGTTACTAGCCCCTATCCAAATTGGGGGGGCTATGGCATAAGGGGGAGCCCTTGACAACCAAAGGGAATAACAGTGACAAACAAGAATACGTACCCTGTTACAACAATCACAGCTGACAGGAAGGTACAATCCTCTTGAACAAAAACCCTGTCCACTTCCAAGATTGTTGGAAAAAGGGTACATGTTCATTTTTCCGAAAAAGAACACAACATTATAGGCTGTGTGGGACAATAGTTTTCCTGGAAAAAAACGGCTAATATGGCAATATTGTTCTTCATATCAGCTTGGTGGGCGGTACTAGTGCTTCCCTGAAGCATCCATCGTCATTTCATTGCCAGGTCGCATTGAGGGAAATTGGCCAGCACCAGCGCTAGTCAGCCAACTGCTTCCAAATCTATGTCACAAGACAAGACGTCGGCTTGCCTCTTGATTACTCGCTTTGAACAGATCCTCAGGTGCTTCTGATTGCTTCCACGGCCAACACAGTTGACGCGCTTGCTAAGCTTGGTACGTACTGTGGATGGACAACATTCTGCACCACCTAAGAAACCACGGAATGATCATTCCCCCTGCAAATACCAACACACAAAGGTTCTCATGGCATCGAAGTGGTGCAGGATTTCGTCCATCCACAGTATTGCCCTCAAAGCCCCCAACTTTCTGACTGGCCCCAAACAACGATCCAGCGGGCGAGCGCTCTTGACGCGTATGGTTAAAGGGGTAATCACAGGCCTTAACCAATGGTCTGCCTTTGAGGCTTGGTCGTGAGGCGTGGAGCAACCCCGTAATCCAAACGTGCTATGACTCCACCAAATTGAGGAATCGGGGTCGACATTACCACATCTGGGGAACACAACAAAAAATCACATATCATGTTCTAACTCTTCTCCGTATAGTCCTCCGAAAACTAAAAAGATGTACATTGTTTTCGGAGGAGACCCCGGCAAAGGTGCTTAAACGCAAAGGCCACTGCCCCAGTTCCCGAAGCCTGCTTGCGCCGGCCCGTTCGCCAGCTCCTGGTAGCCTGGGTGTTTCAAAGAAGCAGGAAATGGGCGTAGCCTTTGTTAGGGGACCCCGGTGCGCTGGTGTGCTGGTGCGCTCTGTGGGTTTTCCACTCAAAGAAAGACAGACCCAAGCAAGAAATCCCCAAGAAATACCCAAGAAAAGGACCTTGCTTGGCTTGTTCACCCAAGTCCACGACTGAAAGGGTAGCAAGGAAGGACAACCGCCGGCACCCATTGGAGTTCCTCAAATGCACATGGTCCAGCTCAGTTGCTTTCTGCTCCCCTGCTAAGAGTTTAACTTTTAGTGGTTTAATGGAAAACCCATTAAGTTGGCAAAAAGTTAAAGTCCTAACATCCAAGCAAACTGCGCCAAAGCCAGGATAAAGCCCGTTTCACTGGCCGCAAATTTGCCGCTGGTTGACGCGCCACAGCTGCCAGGTTCGTATCGGCAAATTATAACACCTCACAAACCAAAACATCACAAAAAATATATGAAAAGAACCTTCATGGGTGACGTCACAACCCCATTTTTTGGCCCACGCACAATGGCATTGTCTGTTTCGCGTGTAGTCTCCAGTGACAAGTAAAATGTGTGCCTCCTGTACCTGCATGATTTTTATATTGCCCCAAAGCGGGCAAAAGGCCAAGACCCCAGTTTCTCTGTTGATACGGGACTTCCTAGATTTCCTGAAAAAAACATCCCCTCAAGGAGGGCTCACTTGGCTTCCGAATGTGTTGTTTGCCGCCCAGGAAGCGACCGTCCCAATGACTCCGGAGACCACCCAGTTCCCGACGGGACTGAAGCAAGTGACACAGCCAGGTGACATAGCAACATGGTGCCTTGCAAACAAACTGCTGGATTTTCCGGAAACACAAAGGTCTCCTCATGCAGCGACCTTGGAGACAACTTTGCGGACCAAGAAGTGTTTCCCCATAGAAGCGGATCTCACCACTCAGCCAGGCTGCCATCTGCAAGCCTGGCATGTGCCGCGGGACCAAAGAATGTGAGGACCATTATCAAAATATAGGTCTGTGTCAAAATAGTGGAAGCCCTAAAATGGGTGGGGTGTGGTTATCCGGGAAAAACAGCTACACGCAAATCATGTCCGCGGGAAACTTAGCATTTGTCTGCTGGTTTCATGCCGCTCCCAAATTGACGCACAGAGGTAGACCGGACATTTTGACGGAAAGTGGCTGACAATGCTTCTGAATAAGCCCATTGCCTCAATCCCCGAGCAATGGAAATGCCCACATTGACGTTGGCGTGCGGTAGATCTATGTCCAAAGGGAACTTCCAAATGTTTCAAAGTTGCGCCATGCCAAACTCCATGGTCCTAAATGGCCCCGAGCCCTGCCTGTCCTGACGGACACGGATTTGTCTTAAAGGACGTGTTTGCTATAGCTGCCATAGTGTCAGGGTTTCCGACTGAATGGAATGCCAAGACGATCGGATACCATTCCACACACACAAAAATTAAACCTTGAAGCTAAAACAACAGCAGCAGGGAGGCGCTATCAAATGATTGATCAGCCGCGCGGATCTATCTTCCAAACGACCACGGCTGTGCCATCAACCTCCTTGTGCTTCAACAAGCCTACAGCTTCAAACTTTCCAGTGGATGCCCCGCAAGTAAGCCAAGCACCCTCGACCACGAAACCGTGGTAAGCTACGGTAAGTTAGGAGGTTTCTGTGTTCCCTGACTTGCAATATTGACTTGGCGCCAATCTATATCTACCATGACTAGAGGTCGGAAGAGCAATGTTCTAAAAACCTTATGCCATGCTCCATGCTGTGCTCGACATCTAATACACAGCCAAGCGGTACGTACAACAACTGGCTGGTCGCCTTTGTAGTATAGCCATAAGGTGGATGATGATCTTTGACACAATCACACAAACATGTATCTTCATTCAAAGCAATGGACACCTGCAATTGGAAGAGTTCCAAACGACACGACTTACATACACACTAACTACTACCGGGCCTGCAACTCGCCATCCCGACGAACCCCATGATTTACCTTGTGTGCCAGACCGGCAAAGATATGGCTGTGATTCTCAATAGGGGGCCCTTAGGACACCAGTTTGATGGGCATTCATGCCCACCAACCACTTAGGTGATCAACAATCATAGACTTCCCCTAAAAACGATCAAGCTCCCTGGGGGGCCGAATCGGCTGGGACAATTTGAACATGACCCATCCGGTGTCCTTTGATCAAGAGTACAACCAAAAGTATGATCCTAACAAATGGGCAGGGATGCTACACACATGAACTGTCCTTTGGCGCACGGAACCATGTGGATGTGGCTCCAAAAGATGTACCCAAAATGGCCCTAGGTACCCAAAATGGCCCTAGGCAAATGGAAAAAGAGACCAACACCTGCGTAACCCCAGCTCTTAAATGCTGAGCCACATCCATTTCTTCTCAGAACCCGTTGAACGATCGGTCGCCCCAGCAACTTCTTACGCAGCCACCCGCCATCCTCTTCCCTTCTCGGCCAGGCCACGGGCCCGTGGGCAAGACCAGCTTCAAGACCCGGTAGCCTCAGTTGTTCAGCGACCCTGGAGAAAAAAGAGGGAACCCTTTTTGGGGAAGACAACTTTTAGTGGGGCCACCAAAAAACAAGGCAAAAGAATTAGTGCCACTGAACTGAGTAGCTGATGATGCTGCAGGACAGCTCGCAGAGGAAAATCCCCAGCAGGGCGTCAACCTCAGCCGCAAGTCTCTGTCAGGCCGGTCTCTGGAATCAGGGTAGAAATATGGCTGTGGGTCAAAATACGGTTGCCCTGGTAAAGGAAACATGGACTAAAATTTGCGGTCCCCTGGTAGTTTAATTGTGACCCACACCCATATGGCAACGCTGGAAAGGGAAAACCAAAAGAAACCAAACCACATGTCTACCTTTCTGGTTTGACCATCTTTTGGAAGCTTAGAGCAACCCTGATGTCTGTTAGAATCTCTGAAGCCCGGTCAACTGGTGCTTTGTACTACCTGAGCCGGCCAGCCCGGCCCGGCCAGTGCCAAGCACACGGAAGAAAATTAATCACTTTAAACAAGCGGATTCAAAAGGAATGACACACTACGTCTGATGCATTCAGCCTCGCCCCACCCTCCACCTATTTATATGTTTGTGCTGCATATTGTGTTGCTTGGCGGGAACCTCATGTTTTCTGAATTTGCATGTTTTCAACCATACATCGTACATAACATCGAGCGGACCAATAAGCTGCTCCTTTGTACCTCCGTCGCTTGATTCCAGGCAGTTTCACAAGCATCAGCCTACCCTCTGCCTTCTGTATTCCAAAGTAAGCGTCTAAGTGTGCGAATGAGTATCACATGCAATGCATGTGAGCATATCCGCAATGCATGTTCGCATGCTTGCGCGTGCGTCTACAAGTGTGCGTGTGTGCGTGTGCGCGTGCGCGGTTGTGCGGTTGTGCGTGTGTGGGTGTGTGGGTGTGTGTGTGCGTGTGTAGGTGTGGGTGTGTAGGTGTGTAGGTGTGTAGGTGTGTAGGTATGTAGGTGTGTAGGTGTGTAGGTGTGTAGGTGTGTAGGTGTGTAGGTGTGTAGGTGTGTAGGTGTGTAGGTGTGTAGGTGTGTAGGTGTGTAGGTGTGTAGGTGTGTAGGTGTGTAGGTGTGTAGGTGTGGTGTGTAGGTGTGTAGGTGTGTAGGTGTGTAGGTGTGTAGGTGTGTAGGTGTGTAGGTGTGTAGGTGTGTAGGTGTGTAGGTGTGTAGGTGTGTAGGTGTGTAGGTGTGTAGGTGTGTAGGTGTGTAGGTGTGTAGGTGTGTAGGTGTGTAGGTGTGTAGGTGTGTAGGTGTGTAGGTGTGTAGGTGTGTGTGCGTGCGTGTGCTGTATGGCATACTGCGTGTGTTGTGTAAGTTGGTGTGGTGTTCGTGCATGTGAGTGCAAACAAACATCCTTCGCGATTCCAGATGGAACAATGCACTCATTGGAACGCACTGAAATGGTGTTTTGTTGGAAGCCCTGACTGACTGAATAGCAGAGGCTTGCGGCTCAAAAGGCCAAGGACAATCCTACGTCGCCCACCCCAGGCGAAAATGTACATGTCTTGGACATATTCCTCAGTTGGGGGGGATCCTTTGATGGAAGCTATGAACATCAGGTTTTATGTACACCAAGGAAATTTCAAGGAGTGCCGTCAACATAGGCACTTCCCCCCTGTAAAGTTTAAAGGAATGGAGTACCATTCGGAGAGTTCGCTGTACTTCTAGTTGCACCTTCCTTCATTGAGAACAAAGAACCATGGTTTATGGATGCCCTTTCTGTTGGCTCAGTAGCTACATGAAACACCATGTAAGACCAATGAGTCACAGTCAAACCCTGGTGATGGAGCTTACCCAAGCCAGGACCCACCGCCTCAAAAGGGGTGGGGGAAAGCCGCAACTATTCGTGCATCGCAGTGTCGCTACTAATGTTCTCCCTTTCTTGTGCGAAAAAGTGGGTCAACCAGTGGTTTCTAGAAGCACCAAATTTGGAGCACTTGGCGGTGTCACTGCTCTAAGGCCAAAAGTGGACGACTGGGCTGCAATGCTCAGTTGGCCTTGCCCCAAGCAGGGTTACCTTTTCACCTTGTTGGAAAACAAACAAGGCCCTTGAAGTGCACGAATCCCCAGAGGCTGCCTTTCCTCCGTTCCCCCTAATATTAAACACGGCCCCAACCCCTAACAAAACGCTTTCGCGGAAAAGAAAACACATTTTAATCTGAGGGGGCCCCTGATTGTTTTTGTTTGTGTGGCCGGCGTCCTGGGCCCCACTTCAGGCTCACTCCGCGGCAATGTCTCCGAAGCCGAGTCGCTGGGATCATCTCGAAGGTCTTCCAACCGTAGGTGCTGAAGAACTGGCGCGACCACCGCGTTGTTTCAACTTCCCGCCAATTCAAGGCTCCCTGATAATACACATATTCACACGTATATGATATAATTCACATGCATATATATATATATATGTATATGTTAACTTCAGGCTTGCGGCATCACCCCAGCGACAGAAAACTTACGTTGTGTTGGCAACTACAAGGTGCCGAATCAAAATCTAAATCCGCCAAAAGGGGCCAAAGCGCAAATTAGCTGGACACCGCTCAAGGATCGCAGGAGATTTCCGCCGTTCTCCTACCGCAAGTTGGGACCGACAAGTCGAAACCAGTCTTCGGCTTCTGTGGCGTCCACTGGTAACCTAGAACCTTACTTAAAAGTGACCACCAAAGTGACATACTTCTTGACCCAAAATGGGAAACCAGCGGTGGTCCTGCTTGTTTCCCTTTCAAAGAAACCCTTTTGAGGGGTACCCACCAAAAGAAAAGGCGCGCATCCACATGTTAGCAGTCATCATGCCCAACACCAGTCCAAGGATACGCGATGGGGCTGATCTGGGGGAGGCATAGCGAGATCCTCATCTAAAGCAAGTTCTCAATACAGGTGCCTCCCTCTTTCTTGTTGTGGTAAACATGTTTGATCCTTTTGGTGGTTGTAACAAGAAAACCAACAGACAAACCGGAAAACCGTTGGTTTCCCATGATTTTGGTCGCGCAAAGACGCATCCAAAGACATCAGCGATGCCGGCCGCCTGGATCAGGGATGCCGCATCCACCATGGAGTTGATGGAGCCCAACAGGAAGAAAGGCATCAGCATCCTGCTGAAAAAAAAACCATGCTCAAGTTGCTTGGTGCTTTATTCTGCGTTGCCTTTTGAACCAAGAAGGGGGGCGTGCCCTAAAACACCATTTGAACCAAGAAGGGGTGGTGCCAAAAAAAAGAAGACGGTTGATGTGCGTTGGGGTTGACTGAAACCCAAAGGGGGATTTTTAAAACGCCCGCATGGTCAGGGATCCTACCGCCCGGGACACCAAAGACGCCCCACCAAAGCACTCGACTGGCTTCGGACGGGCAGGAGATGGTGTGTCTTCAGTGGGTTGTTGGTGGAGGCACCAAAAAGCACGGGATCAAAGATGCATCGCACTACACCTGAAATTAAGAGAACTAGTTTGGTTGACCTCCCAAACACCCCCCTCAAACACACCTCGTTGGGAAAGACAAACAACACTTTTCGCACTTTTCGATATGCTGCACGCGCTCGGCTTTCAGCAGAGCGCGTCCCCAACCCAGCGTCGCTCCTCACGGAGACCGCAACCAACGATGCAACCCGTGCTCATTCGGAGCGACGGGTGTCTTGAATTCAGGGTCCACCCGGGCGATCGGCAGCGCCCCTACCCCTTTGCCACCTCGCTGGACTGCCCCAGCGGGCAAGTGCTCGCGGAGCCACTCCTCAACGCGGCGGTGCCTGTCAGGTTTCCACTGCCAAGGCACGCTACGGGTCCAAACTCTGACGGCCCCGCTGTCAGGGCGCACGTACCCTGAGTCGAAAGTCAGGCCCTGAGCCCTCCAGATGGATTGCACCACCTGGAGGAACCACTGCATGCGCTGCTGCACTGTAGCAACAACAAGCCCTGAGGGGGTTCCAGGGATCATGAGAGTCCACTGATGATCAGAGGTCTTGCCAGGTCCAATGTTTCCGGTCGACTTTTGATAATCGACCATAAGCTGGATGATGCTACACCAAGTTACGGTCTGACTGGCGTCATACGTGGTTGGCCACCACTGGAGAAACGATGCTACCACAGTATACCCATACTTTGAATACACTGCATCAAGGCTGGTGCTTAATTCCATGGGCATCGCCAAACGTGGAGTTGCCTGAGTGATGGACACTGCGGGCTGTTCGAGTTCCCGTCGGTCGCCCCTACGCACCTGCTCTTTAAGTGCCATGTGAGCGACCCGGATGTGAACATTTTGGACCTTTGCTACAAAGGTCCGCGACTTTTTCAATTGGTCCACGAGTATTTGATGCAGTCTCTGGAATTCCGGGGGCCTATTTTTATTGATCCACCCCGCTTGACTGTCCACCGCTGCATTGTGGACCCTGGCCCATGACTCAAGTGGTCCTACATCCGAGCTGGGCTCCGTGTGCGAGGCTACCTTGATGACTTGCACCTGCCGGCCCGCTTGCTGCATCAATGTGATTGCACTTTGCAGCTGCAACCACAAGTCATGGTCTGGGCGATTGGGCTGTGGGGTTATCTGCTGCTGCCACATTAACCGGGTTTTATGAACAACGTTCTGGTTGTCGCACCAGATGCGGGCATCCCGGTTATTGGTAGCCGCAAAGTATACGGCACTGACCATGGCTGACAGTTCTGCCCTGGCAGCTGTTTGAACAAGGCCTGACACAACCCCTCCTGCAAGAGGTAAGGACTCCTCCGCCTGATCCGTGAGTTGCACAAGGTGAACCGCCCAGGATGCCAGGCGGACAGCTGGATCCGTGGGGTGCTCACATGCGCCATCAACAAACAAATCTAGTTCGAGGGCATGCAAGTGGCATGACTCATACACAAACAGGGTGTCTGGGACCATCTGGAGCGCCTGGAGGAATGGCTTCTTTGCCCGCACCTCCTGAACCCAGCCATGAGCCTGGAGGCATGGTGCCTCGGTATCTACTCGAGCAAGATCCTCCGGAGTGCATTCTGAGCGTGCGGCGTGGAAGAACGGGCAATCCCACACACGATGGATGACTCCATCTGAGGCTCCACAGAAATCACAGGTGTCGTCATCCACTTGCTTGACATGCTTTAGCGCGTCATTGGTAAAGAACGTGCCGTTGAGGGTGACTCGCAAGACGCTTTTGTCCAAGTCTGGGCTGGAATGCAGCAGCTCTAGGGATTCACGCATGTCAACCGTAGCGAGGCCTTCAAACCCCGGCCGGCCGGCCACGATATGCCCCACTGTGCGCACCCATGCTCTTTGTACACGATAGCTGACCTCTTGTATTGGGGCATGCGTGAGGCAGAAAGATCCCAGGTCGTCCTCGACTCGTCCATGGGAGTTGATTCTGAGATGCACCCAATGCAATCTTTCCAACAGCACCCCACACGGGCCTGCTGGGTACCTGGTGGCCGGTGCACTAGCCAACTCACACACGTGCTCCCACGCCTGTTCTGCTGGGCCAAGCTCTCGCATGTCCTTGATGGCATCCATGAGGGCCAGAAAGGCTGGGTCTGATTTTGGGCCTTCTACGACCCCCAGGTGGAGCAAGGGGTTCGCTCCAGGCTTGTGCGCTTTGATGCCCCGCATCGCCCCTGTTCGGAGTGGGCCAAACGCCCGCCAGGGAACCTGGGCAATGCTGGCTCCATACAACGCTCTCGGCCAGGCAGATACACGAAGGGCCTGCACTTTGACATGATATGGGCTGAGGCACTTTTTGAGTTTATTCCACAAGTCTGACATCTCATTGAACCGCTGAATCTGGGCCTGGTTACTGCTTCTGGCGCAGTAATTCATCTGGGCTCCGAGATCTTTGGCACCCAGTGAAACATTCAGCCCCTGCCGTTTGAGGAAAGCTCGATCTGCAGGGTCAGTGGACCACACATAAGTCTTATTCAAGTCCAGGGTGAGGTCCACTGCCTGTGCAAAATTTTTAACCGCCTGGTATGCTGCACTGACGTCAGACGCCTTGTCCGCCTGGACTGCCCAGTTATCTACGTACGACAGCGGTGTGGCTCTGGGAACCTGCAAGTTGATGGCAACTTCAAAGAGGATATCTACCAGAACCATGGCGGCACACGACAATGCGCAACCTTCGGCAAATCCGGTTGAGGACCGAAGGGCCGGGCCTGTGCTGCCCCGTATGCGGAACCTGCGTTCCATCGCACTAAGTGCGCTCCACCAGGCTCGAAGGACATTATCCGGCACTCCGAGTCTGAGGGCGGCGCAAAAAATTGGCTCTCGGGGCAGGCAATTGAACGCTTTGCAGATGTCACAGATCAGCCCGGCCGCCGGCTGGTGGTGGTGCACCGCAAAAGAGATTTGACACTGCGTTTTCCACCACACTTGCTTGGCGTGTCGCTTGGGGAGATTTCCATACACATTGTGACTACAGAAATTTTGGAGGTGGGCCAAAACTTGCCGGCCGCGTATGGACGACCAGGTGCGGTACACCAGGCTATAGATGGTGATCGGGCGGTAGTCCGCTACTCTGGCTGCACTAGTGCCTTTTTGCAAGGAGCTCACGATCCCTGTGATGACCTGTTGGGGCCACGTACCACTTTGCTCTGCTTGATGGCAAATACTGACTAACCCGTCAACGATACCATGCGGCATCTGAAGAATGTCCGAACGGGCTAGCCCATCTGGCCCCGTGGCTGCGGTGCACTTCTTTCGACGAACCTCGCCGATGAAGATTTCACTGGTAATGGCAGGGCTCAGGGCAACCGGCGCCTGAGGCAGCTGGTCAATCAAGGCGTGGACGGGATCCCACCGGTCCGGCGAGACTGCGCGGTGCTTGTCCCACCGCAGCATCCACTCGATTGCAAAGGCATCAAACATGGCGGGCAACGATCCAGTCCACTGATCTTGTGTGAGCTGGTCTCCGATTTGGGGTGTGTGCTGATCCGGGTCTATCCATGCTGTGTCATGGGCAACTACGATGGGATCCAGGGACTTGCCATTGAGATAAACCTGTTTGTCACTGAAAACGTCTGGGGGCTCAAACTCAACTGTACCCTCGGCTTGATCCACTGCTACAACCACGGCATGCGGGGCATGTATGAGCACATCAACCGGCTGAGGCCTGTCACGGGCAATATCTTTGAACACAAGCCTTGCACGTTCCCTGCGGCGTTGCTTGGCCTGTTTGACCCTCTGGGTGGTGAGGACATACTCCAGATGCCTGACCTCTGCCTGGAATGCCAAGAAAATTTGTTGGGCAACCTCTACGGTGGGTGGCTGCTGTGGTATGTCTTCAGGATCCCCTACTTGGCGCACATGACGTGCCTCCCACCACAACGTGAAATTGGGCTGAAACCCAGTGGCGTGAATGACCGAGGACCAAAGAGAGACCCTGTGAATAGTAGCCTGAACCGTATGGGTGGCCTTCTTAGCATGCTGTACGTAAGCCTGAATGCGTCTAAGCTGACGAAACCATCTGGCATAGTGCAGGGATCCTCCGTAAAACAAGGGTGCAACTTCCCCGGTACGTGCAGTACGGACGGGAGCAGCTCGCTGCCTGGTTTTTCTGCTCTCGACGATGGCTCCCCGGCCGGTATGCTGTTGCATCACGCTTGGGCCAATTGCTGTGGCGGCTCTCTGCTCATATTCTTGCATAAGCTGGTGATATTGCTGCGTGGGATGAACCCCATCCGAGGACTGTTGTCCCACTGAGCGTCTGCATTACATGGCAGGGGACATGGCATGGGCCAGAGCCACTGTGTGCTGGCAGTTCCGATTGGCCCGAAGGTGGCCTTCACTACGCTGTGATCGCTAAAGTAGTCTGGCAGCACGTCCAACTGGACCATGGCTGAGGCCAATTCACGAGAAACGTACACGAAATCTTTACGCGTGCAACCTTTACAAGTGGATTGGACCTCGTGATGCCACCTGGCGGCTGCCAGGTCCTGTACTTCAACGAACCCACACTCCTGCCATTCTTGAAGGATGGGCAGGTGATGTTGCAGGTGGTTGAAATCCCCCATGATATACCGTGGGCCCGCCATCTGATGCACGATGCGTTCCCCGACATCTGCAAGCAGCATTTGCGTTTGCTGGAGCGCTTCCGGGTGGGTGGCGCCTGTGGGATACCCGT